TAAATATTCGAAATAACTCTAACTTATTGAATCGCAATAGTTATTACTTCTTACTGAAGCTATCTTAACGCTAGAATCGTTAAAATTACGATATTTGGAAAACCTTCTCGTAGTTTGTTATTGATCTAATTCTTATCATGATTACTTCGATGTAATTATAAATGACGGTCAATTTCTTTTTCAGATCGGCAAGCTAGCTGTTCGAGAGTTTATACAACATCCAAAGGTTCGCTGGAGATTGACTTAACTAAGAATTGCACTTACAGTATTCGAAGCCAGGATGATGGAGTTATTGCCTTGAATATCCAAATTGATGGCCTTGAACTACTCAACAGCAGTGAATTAACCGATTTAAAGTCTCATAAAATAGATATTAAAGACGCAATTAAAGCCTTTTCGCCAACACTTAGCACAATTGATCTGTCACTGATGCCTTTCTCTCTAGAAGCATCTAGCAATCAAGTTGACATGCAATATATAACTAAATCATCAACACTATTGCAAAAATCTTCGCTGGCTCTTTCAGTCAATGTATCTTGGATAACTGTTGGGAAAATAATCGGTAAATTTTATCTTCGTTGATATGTTCCTGTAATAGTAATCAATTCTTTAGATCGAGCTTATCTGCTGTATAATAATTGTTATTCATGTGCTAGCTTCAGCATTAGGCCAAGTTACACAATTTAATCCAGACCGTAACATTAGCTACTGGCATACTGAGTCTGCAAAAAATTATTGGATAACGAAAGGATCAGGTACTGGTAGCATCTGTTGCTACGGTTTATATCGTATGTTATGAAACTTCAGCTAATTTATCTTTATCGCATAACATTTGCATCAGTTAGCGATAGTCTATAAGTATATCAACTTATTTGGTGTATAGGTAACAGTTTACAACCGATAAATGAAAGATAACTTACTATTAGAACGTAATATTAATAGATTTCTAGTAGTCTCAAAGATCTGAGTATTATATGACATCATAGATATACAATTGAAAGTCTTCTATAAACTACTCGTATACGGCACATTATTTTATCAAATCATATCCTTTACTTAATACCATACTAGCTACTTAGCACAGCTTCTTCATAATCGTTCAGGCCAGTTTAGAAGTATATACAGGTTCCAATTAGCCAACAAGCCAACAACGATTTCACTAAAGAGCCCTTATATCTCCAGTACTACAAATGGTTTATGCATGATCTTATGGTATAAATTCCCAATTGAGTCAAGTATTAATTTACAAATAAAATATACTACCATCAACGACAGTAAGCCAATCCTGGTATGGCTATCTACGCATCCTGTAGATAACCAGTGGAGAGTTCAAACTATTCCTATTGCTCTCACGAAAGTTGTACAGGTTAAAGCTTTATGGATTACTAATAAATCTAGTTTCTATGCTTATGTGATACCTAGATAAGTACATTAAATTCCAATTTATTTCCACATCAGTTTAATTAATTATAAATAATAATTAACATTCTGAGATAGATTGAATTAATCATATCAAGTGGAGGATACGGTACTAGTCTAAATACCGTAGATATTGGATACATGGAGATACGCAATAGTCTATGTACCCACCCTGTCCACTATTCATTAGGTAACGCTATTATCAGATATTTTTATTCTTCTTTCCTACCTAATAAACTCCTAACCTATACCACTTTTAATTTTATTTCCATTAGGTTCTAGCTGTCATCAAAAAGTGACATCCGATTCATCGTCTAGTTTCTTTCAATCACCAACATTTGATTCTTCTATTAAAACCGTAGCTAGCGATAATTTCTGTACTTACCAACTACAAGGTCGTGATCGCTTTTTGAAGTTAATTTTTATTAATTTCAACATCGGTGATAGAAATTCCAAGCATTGTGCGGAAAATTATTTAGAAATTCGAGTAGGTGATAGTTCTCAAGGCACTTTACTTGGTCGATATTGCGGTCAAAAATCGCCAAGTATGGAAATTACACCTGGATCGACGTTATATCTGCTTTACAAATGGAATGCGACTGGGATTCAAATTGGTAATAACACGAGAAATTTTGGATTTAGAGCGTACATTGTCGATTCCAATACTCAATTAGGTATAAAATTTATTTTTGGGGGTAAACTTAAAACATTTTCCGATACTGTTTCTGATTCAATTATTTCACTTACCTAAATTTTTATAGGTATTAAAAGCGGTAATTGCGATTTTACAGAGACAGCATTAAAAAGAACAATGATTCTTCCAATTCCATCAACTCTTACATATAAGCTGGCAACATACTGCTTTATAATTAATCACAGGCAAGGTGTTGGCATCCATTTTACCTACAATATGTTTCATTTAGGAGTTAATATTGGTAATCAAGATCAAGTTGTCTGTTCTAAAGCAGCTATTCAACTAGACAGTTTGAAGAACTTTCAAGACGGACTAGTCTCAAACTCTCAATGTGGCATTCATACCTCGAATACATTCCAACGGCTAATAAACGGAATTAACGCAACTATAGCTATGCTCAATTTTCAGTACAATCCCTATGGAGTATTTGATCACCAATATGTTGTAAATATTACCTACCAAATGCAATTTGGTAAGTTTAACAAACCACTGCATTAAACTTGCAGAATCATTTTAAATAATAGTGCCTCAGTGCGACAATTTCATGAATTTATTACTTACTTGTGGTAGTTACTAAATCTGCTTCAGTCGTTACGATATATTATCCCCTCAATTTTTTAAGATCCTTTCGCATCTTAGATGATTTCATCTGATGAATTTTGTAATAATTTCAGCTAATTGTAGTACGTAAGGTGGCTAAGAGGATGAAACGACGCACTTGTACTATTTATAGTATAAGACTAGGCGAACCAATACAAATTTATATGTCGTCAATAGTCATCATGCTATCTAATTTTTCACGTCAGATTTTTCATTATTTTATGATTCCAACTCCACTAAAGTATTTCCTCTCCTCAAATTAATTATTTAAGATAAAAACATAGGGTGTATACCAGGAGAATATAGATGCAGCGACGGCCTATGTCTACCTATGTTAGCTTTTCCCGATACCTATAGATGCAATTCCGTTATTGACTGCATCGATGAATCAGACGAATATAATTGCGGTAATTAAAATTATAATTTCGCTCTTTGAAACTATTAACGTATTGCAAATATAATTATTAATTTAAGAATAAATAATTTTATTAACTTAAAGTAATTCTTAATCAATTAACAGTAACAAACAGCTCTGGTTGTAATTTCAATTACAATTCCAATCATGGAATTATTCAGTCTTTTGGTTATCCATCGCGATATCACATTGGGACAGAATGCTTATATCACATTCAGCTAAAGGATCCCAATAGCAGAGTAGTCTTAACGTTTAAAAGATTCTATCTGAGACCATCTATAAACTGTAAAGAAGATTATCTCGTTGTTCGAGACGGTAACACCTTAGCCGCACGAAGAATTTATCAAGGTGTATATTGTGGTTCGGCTATACCTCCGGTAATGATTTCTTCTTCATCATCGTTACTGATCCAATTGAGAATTAGCAGTTCCGCAAGTCTATTGGAACTACCTAAGAACGGGGGTGGATTTTTTGCATTCTATCAATCTTTATCATGTAAGCTGTGAGAAAATCAGTAAATTGTGCAACATTAGCTGATATATCTCTTCATCTTTTACTATTTTCTCATTTTTAATACGGTATGCATAATGTGTGCTTTAGAATTCGTGATGTGTCGATTATATTTAGGCTATAAGTACGTATTGATATAAATAAATTTTTATTTTAGACTATACACCTTGCCCTAAAGATAGTTTTCAATGCCAAAATGGAGAATGTGTAGATGCAACAGAAAGATGCAACGGTGAATTCGCTTGCTCTGATCATTCAGATGAATACCTATGCGGAAATAAGACTGCACGTAAGGGTTTTACTATAGTTATGAAATATGAAATATGCCCATTTGAGTGATCATTTGCTTAAATGTCTACCAAGTTATTGCGGTAGAATTTCAGCACAGAAACTTTCATAGATTTTCTTCAACAGCAAAAAATTCTTTTACACGTCGAGATTTATTTATTACATGAGTTTTTAAATAGATTTGAGTTACTAACGGTACCATGCTGGTTTAAATTTTTCGTTTATCACTATCGAATATGCTACCATAAAATACTGCTTTAGTTTCATCATATAAATACATCTTTTATACCAGTAGAGAGTAAGCTAACATCGTACAGGTTTCTTAACATTTCGCCTAAATATCTCCTTATACGCATATATTCTATTCTAACATTATTCTATCATGATTTTTATTACTAGTTCAATCGTGCTGGCCATCAGAATTCCAATGCAGTAACGGCCAGTGCGAAAATAAACACCAAGTTTGCAAGTATTCATCTCATTATTGCCAAGATAATTCTCACTGGAGTTTCTGTGGTATGATAACTACATCTTAGTTGATGAATTTAGCTAAGTTTTGAGTAACTTAAACCCATATACTGATATTATGTCCTCTCCTTTGCCTTATAGGAAGGAATGCTTCGAAATGTGATGAAATTTACCACGCTAAATCCGATAAAATTAGTTCATACAGGTTCCCACAACTGCCATCCAATCAATCTCAGTGCATCTATACTATACAACCGTCTGGAAATATATCGGAAATCACACTACAATTTAGTCGTTTTTACCTACCTAATAGTCGTTACGATTGCCAGCAAAACTATTTAACTATATCAACTGAATATGAAAGACTAGATACAACCAGGCGATACTGCGGTAGCCAAAGTCCAGAGAAAATGACTTTCGTTGGCAACGTGTTGTACCTGAAATTGGTGGTCATAAACCATTTTAATCAAGGAGGAGGATTTAGCCTATTCTATAGAAATAATTCAAGTAATACAGCATAAATTACTATCCATTTTCTTAAACAATAATGAAATCGATATACCTTAGTTTGCTCAAGTATTAACTAATATCTCCATTCCTCAATAGATTTATCAACTTGCAATGAAAATCAATTTCAATGTTACGATGGCAGCTGTATTCAGCTTGCAAATACATGCGACAACATTAATAATTGTCTCGATCATTCTGATGAAATTTTTTGCCGTAAGTTTGAAATAAATTAAATGTAACTACATCTTTGATTGAAATCAGGCTCACTTCAAAGAATTAGTAACTAAAACTTCTAATAAATACTATGCTATAGTACGGTACTTCTCTTATAATCGATCATTAAATCTGCAAATGGCTTTTATTTTATAGTATAAAAAAGTAATTACTTATTAGAAGTAGCCAGTAATATGTTATCATAATATTTTTAAACTTTGTTAATTATATTTCATGCTTATTTACTTTTTATATCTATTCGACCAAATTGGACATGAACTTAAATAGCTAACGTAACGGCGTGTTGGAGTAATGATTTTAAATGTAACGATGGCCAATGTGTGCAAAATGATTACAAATGCAACAATGGATATAAATGCAAGGATAACTCGCAACAGATTGCATGTGGTAGAAAAATTATGAGGATATACTTTCTAGCTCTTATTTAGCAAAACCATATTCCGACCTAAATTCAATTCTATGTAAAAAAAAATTTCTCTAACAGGGCAATCAGCATGTCCAGTTTGTCGGTGGACTAAATGTCGTAAATGGGAAACATTGTGTAATCACGTTATAGATTGCCAAGATGGATCAGATGAACTTCATTGCGGTAAATATTGGAATCTAATAGGGTTGTATCATAGAGACTATCTACAATGCTTCAGAGATTAATTTGAATCATTAATTCTACGTCTATATTATAACATCATAAATATATACTTATCCATACTTCATATAGCCAATATTACTTGTCCAAACGCTTGCATTTGCAATAGCACCTCATTAGACTGCCGAAACAGAAAACTACAAATTTTGCCAAGCCCCCTCAATGTTGATCTTACCGCCATGTTAGCTAATATATTTAATTCATCTCTATTCCTATGTGCATAGTCGTTTAAAATGATATTTTGAAATGTTAAAGGATAGCTTGCACCATTAATCAATTGAAATTAAAAATTTCTTATATTGTCTTGCTTTAGTCAATAAAATTTTACCACATGCTGCAATTTTAGTTATATAATACGCTGCATAACAACTTATATTGGTTTACTGTAGATACTTATCGCATAATCAATTTGAGACATTGCCAGCCCAGCCGTTTTCAAAATTATCTGATGTAGGATTCCTGTAAGTCGTAACGTTAATCTCAACTTCAACTACTACTACATTAAAATCGAGCAATCTTTATATCAAAGCTAAAGCATGGATTGTAATCTCTTTTAGCGATTTAAGCCATAACCATTTATTCCACGATGGAAGCAGTAATGAATTCCTAAAAGGCTTGATTCGTCTTTATGCTCTGTATGTTGAACTATTAATATGATGATGTCTTATTCAATATTTAACAATTATTCATCTTAATTACTGCATTTTGAATATTTTTCGAATCGATTAGGGATCTAAGCTACAATAACATGACGATCATTCCACAACATTTTCTTCAAAATGTTAAAAGGCTACGTTCTCTGTTAGTAATTCTGTTTCGTGTGTAAATTTGTGCTTAGGAACACATTAATCTTTTAATGAAAACTGACTATATATTTTCCACGTCAAAATAATTTAGTTTAATAATGAACAAATAGCGCAGCTAAATTTTCTTACATTATTTAGGTATATTCAAGGAAATTACGTACAAGAAATTGAATCTGGAGCTTTTTCTGAATGTGCAGAACTTCGAATTCTGTTAGTACTATCTTCTCCATACAATAATTTTCTCGTACACATAGTGAATCTATTAAATGTATCTATTATTAATTTAATCATATTGACCGAATTTCAAAAATTTATCGATCTCTTATTACATCTGTAGCAATCTAAGCAACCAACAGCTATCTACCATTCATCGATCCTTTTCTCAGTGTTTCAATTTAACTGTCTTGTAAGTTGTAGCCGCATTGCTATTTCTCTCTTATATTTTATCATTTCTAGAATTATGCTGATTTTACCATCTTTAAATTTATAGGAATCTGGCACAGAATAGTTTAAAAAATATTTCTGCTTTAGCCTTCGATGGCTTGATGAACTTAGAATTGCTGTATGTTTACTTTTAATATCAACAAAATATTAAGTAATCTTTGTAATCACTTGGTATTTATTTCCAATAGCGATTTAAGTTATAATTGGATAGAATTCATTGAAAGCGGCTCATTTCAAGATTTAGCTCAATTAAAAACATTGTAAGTCATTTTAATTACTAGCTGCTTTCACTGAAAGAGGCATAAATACATACATATAGTACTAGCTTGCTCATAATATTATATATCTATCTGTATTATAATAATATTTATTCAAACTATCACTATCAATTTCACTAAATAGATTATTACAGAATAATCAATTGAAATCAATTAGCTCAGATGTATTCTTTGGAATGAATAGTCTTTCAGAATTGTAAGTCAGATCGCATTTGAAGAGGATTAAAAGATCTAAGCTAGCATAATTTTATTGAGCTTAATACTTTATCTAATATCTAGGACAATATCAAATAACCCTTTTGATCTTGGATTAATCGCTGAAAATACGTTTCAATATCTTACTCATTTGCACTATCTGTAAGTATATATAAAAGTATATATACATATATACATATATGTAATAGTCAAACGACTAAAAATTAATATTAGAGGTCGTAGAGCAAGTAAATCTGAGTTACGATAACAGTAGAAAGCTTAATAATAGAATAGCTTGTAAATTTAAAATTCTGTAAACGAGTACAAATTATTTCAAGCTACTATAATTTTAAGGACCCATACCTGTTCTATTATTTACTTGTATGTATGTATTTACCTTATGATTACTTTCATTTATTATTACTAAAATTTGCCAGGCGGCATAGCTATTTCTGATCGTTACCGATATATTACTTACAGTTAAGAGTAATGCAATCCTCTTAGGCCAATGGAATTATTTAATCTTCGGAAGCACTCACTAACCCTATATTGATCTCACTAGAATAACAAAAGCAGTAATTGAAGTAAATATTGCTAGCATTTTCAGTCTTCAATTTCATTTGATACTCTTATCTTCAATTTTCAGACGTTCAAGCAGTACATATTTCTGTTGCTTGAAGCCTGGCATTAAACAGTGCTACCCCGCTTTAGATGTATTATCATCATGTCAAGATATGCTTGCTGATAAAGTCTTGAAAGTTATGGTTTGGGTTATGGGTGTATTCGCAATTCTATGTAATCTTGTAGTATTACTATATCGCTGGAACGTTAAAATAGAACAGAAAAGCGTTCCAAGCTTTTTAATCTTAAACTTAGCTTTCGCTGATTTTATGATGGGAGTTTATTTAATATCAATTGGTATAGCTGATCGCTATATGCAAGGTAGATATGCTAAAGAAGAGAAAACATGGCTACATAGCCCATATTGCAAAATTTGCGGAATAATAAGCTCAATATCAAGTGAAATGTCGGTTTTTACCCTATTAAATATGACTATAGATCGTTATTTATGGATTGTTTATCCATTTTCTATCAACAAACTGGGAATAAGAAAAGCCAAATTCATTATGTTTTGTGCTTGGCCTACGACATTACTGATCTTTTTAGCACCAGCATTTTCACAATTAATGCCCTACTTCAGTGGATTTTACTCCTCGTCTAGCGTATGTCTACCCTTCAGCTTATCGCCAGCTCGTAATACCGCTTGGCTGTACACTTTATGCTTATTTATATTTTGCAATACAGTTATTTTTATCATTATACTTACATTATATTTAAATATGTTCATCGTAATTAAACGAACAAATCAAGCTGTTCAATCAACTGATGCTCTCAATCAACGCCGAATTATGATTCAAATGATGCTGATCGTATTTACTGATCTTGCCTGCTGGTTACCAGCTATTGTTTTAGCAATATTAACATTTTTCGGTGTCAATATTGGTGCTCGAACATTTTCGTACTACGCCGTACTAGGCTTACCTATTAATTCAGCAATTAATCCGATACTATACACAGCGACGACAAAAAGTTTTAAAGAAAGATTAATGAGGTCATGGGCCAGCTCTCGGCGAACATCTGCCACTAAATCACAAGTTTATTCCACCAGTTCAGCTAGCAATACAACTATTAACAGCACAAGAAGGACCATTAGAAATTTTACGCCCACAGTTCCACTTGAAGCCATGAAAAGTAAGTATCGAACACAGAGTCATTTATTAGATACCAGCATTCAATTAATGGAATATATAAATATATGGTGTTCTAAACTGATTTCATCAATCCATCTAGAAACCGCTGATAAACCGCCAATTGTAAATATTAGAAAATGTGGCCAGCTAAAAGAAGGACAGGTATTAAATTTAATGATAATACGTATATAAGGAGCTTGGCCGGTATATAATGTTGCTTTTGTAACGAACAAATAAATTGCTTAGTAGCCATTTTGTCTAGCTCGTTTATGTTTATAAGCAATCTAAAAGTACCTAGCAAAATTTAAATAATGTCCTATACACCAACAGTGCAGTATATACCTTAAGATCCTTTCATCTATGTTCGTAACAGAATCATAAAAAGTATACTATTCCTACACTCAAATATGTGTGCATAATCAGCACCACTGAGATAATGATCTCCTTTTTTCTTAAATATTCCTACGTGTCAATTTGCATAGCTACACAACTATTAAGCGATTTACGCTTCATGGCAGATCTTCAATATCGCAATATTTAAATAGGCACCTAGTACTTCGATAAGCATATAATATTGGATCTGTGTTAACCGTATTTCTATAAATTACAGCTATGTAATTTTATTCTTTTGCTCTAAAACTTCTTTATTAATTTACAATAAACATAACACATAACTATTGCATGTTAGTATATTTTCCATTTTCTTATTGACACTTCTTCTCTTCCTTCTGTAGTTTCTTATTATGGCAGCTTGGCTGAACTGGAAAAGCGATAAAGTATTTGGTATGTTGAAATCATTCAGTAACAAAGAGCGCAATATGTGGGCTAATGAAGCTAGAATATTAAGACTATTATCGAAAGAGTCAGGTAAGCCAGAAGGAATTGTCAAATTTCTTTGGTTATCTTCCTACTCTGAACTTCGATATACCTGTTCACCGGGTGAAAATGTAAACGATATTCTTTTGCAACTGTAAGTCTTCACTGCATAATTGCATATTGTAGGTTTTTGGCACTACTACATTAAATTAAGAACTATTATTTACTAATAATTTATAGTAAACAGAACTCTAAATAAAATAATAAATTTTTAATGCTTTACAGAGTTATATGCACCGAGCTAATTTACGGTGAAATGCTTTGCAAAGTCATGAAAACCAATTCTCAATCGCTTAGCATCGGTAACCTATACGACATCACTCTGGATATATTGGAAGCACTAGTCTATATTCATCAAAAAAACATAGCTATTAATCTATTAGAGGACGACTCAATTTTATATGGATCTAGAACACCAAAGGTATGTATACTCTAACAAGCGGATTTACCCTAGGCATATGGAAACGAACATAACTATTTCAGCTTATTCCAATTTGACTACTGTTAGTATATGTTAAGAAGATAATTTCACTAAACTTCAAACTTCATTTCTACAGGGACCTAAAACTGCAATTTTATATAATTTTACTTTGGCAACAAATGTTGATAATGGTACACAAGTAGAGAAAGATATACAACTATTCGGACACCTTATATTAAAACTCTTGAAGAAGCAGGATGAACCCGATAGTAACTGTAAAGGTATTGATAATGTGGGATTAGTACATGATGATGGTCAGTGCTCGGATAACGATTATGAAAAGAAGCTACACATGCTAAGTATTGTAAGTATATTTTATGTATTATTAAACAATTCTATGTATGAAGCTATAAACATACTTCAGCTATTCAAGTTTGACGCTGGCCTCACTTTAACTATTTTTTGGTTCTATTGCTCGCTCAAAAGATTAATAAGCGTTCAACACCGTATCAAATTTATTAATGAGATCAATCTGATATTTTTTGAGGAAGTGCCATAAATACACTTTCAACTTGTAGTTTGCCGACATAAATTGTGCCTAAACCTACTGTATTAATTTAATCCAATCCAAAAATATTGGAACATTACAGATTTTGGTTCATTAAATATTCTGTAGAATTATCTTATCAGACAGCTGATAATATTTCTATCGAAAATTTCTCAAGCTATAGTTACAAAATGGAATTGTAAAAAGTCTAATTAAATCTAACTAAGTATACGCCTTTACTCCTATTTTACTCTAAAATTTATATACTAAGACAAAGTCGAAATTATTTCCTTTTAATAACTAGTGCGAGGAAATTATCAGGCCTCCCAGCGATGAAGAATTCATCAAAAGTTATAATAGTACAGAAGTATTGGCAATGATGAAAAATTGGATACGAAATTTTTAATTGCAGCTTCAATTTATTGGCGCATAGAACGAACCATGAAAAAGAAAATATATTAAATCCTGAAACATAGGAGAAACAAATTTTTATTAATAAAATGTTATGTAATGATTTTTAGCTCACCATTATATACCCGGTGCGATCTAAGCTAAAAGATTATAAATAGTTCAGATTTATCATATTATAATAAGATAATGATGAAACGCAATGGTCGTTAAACCCATACTATTAAATATCAGACAACAAATTATGTTATTGAATAAATAGCAATGATTACGTACTTCTAATTATAGTGAATATCAAGCAAGGGTAAGATATATTCTTCTGCTTGTACTGTAGCACACATACAAAGCATATTTCTTTCAAAGATTACAACTTTAATCAAAATATAAGATATGAACTGTAGACCAGGCTTAGTAGTTGTGTTTTTAAGCAAACTTTTAGACTGATATATCAATTATGAATTATTCATAATGATGAGACCATTAATTTACTACAAGATACCGCACTTTTACGAATTTTAAGTTGATATAAAATACTAGGATAAAGAATATAAGCGTATGCATGTGATGTCAAAGTCTTCATATCCTTTACGCTATCTGTATTTATTTAAATACTTCTACGAGATATCATATAAGATCATTGCTTACTTAAAAGAAACTAAAGAATACGGGGCTGTAAAGTTTTCTCTTTTCAAGATTCATTTTTTTAATTTTTTTATTACAAGCTATCAATATAATCGTTATATCATTAATTGGATTAAAGAAATATTCACGTTTTAATATTAAATAAGTTATTTAAATTTATTGATCTGACGTAATTCAATATATATTCATTGAAGTTACTTAGGTGCATATAGAATGCGATAATAAACAAGCGAAATCTTACGACTATCAAGATAGTTTCATATTTTATTCCTAGAATTAAGGTTAAAGTTAGCACTTGTCTAGGATTAAGTTCAAACTACGAGTAAGATTAGAGTTAGAGTTAAATCTATTTTCGACCAAAAAGTACAATTATTATGAGCTAAATCGCCATTAGTGATGCAATTTTATGCACTTTGTATCAACTAACCGTAGAAATAGAAGCAAAAGGCAATAATTAATAGCTACGATTGGGAGATAGATATTCTATCTCCTGTTCTACTTTATACAGAATCTCTGCGATAGATGTGCTGGCCCTTATCTAGCTGACTGAAATATCAATAAATGAACCTTCTTTCACGTACCTGAAATTTAGGTTACAGGTGTTAATAGCTAGAGTCATCACGAATTAATCACATTTGCTTACTGCTAATAATGCAAAATTTCAATAGATGTCAGTTCGTAAATTTAATGAATTTATAATAGGTCTACATAGAGTAGTATTAGAAACTTAAAAGCAGGCCCTACGTTTTATAGTGGCACCAGAATTATAATGAGCTCTGCTAAAGGTTTCTCAAAAAGTGGTTCAACTTACAGGCGCAATATTTATAAATACAGTCGTCTTGTACCGTACCAGAAGCTAGCCATAAATATATAGCCGAATAATTTGACTGATTAATTGCTAATAAATGCCTATTATGATGTTTCATCATCTATTCTGAGCAGTAATTGTACAAAAAAAGTATCCAATTACTTTATTTAATTTAAATTATCTAATTCTTACACAATAATAGTCCTAGCCTAGGTGAAACTTTAAAAATCTTTTACGTATTATTGAGTTTTAGAAAAGTAGTAATTAACTACTGAACATTAAAATCTGATCTAAAATATCCTGAACCGAAACCATTACAGACTCTAAAATTCTTTTGTTTAAATACATTTGGTTGAGTCAATTTACAGTAAAAAAGCTGTAAAAAGGATGGAGTGTTGCTGTATTGACTGCAGCTATCGATATTATGAGAGGTAAATAACCCAGCAAGTTTAAATATGCGTTGATCTTCCTAAGATTCGATTACTCTATTATCAGTGTCCAACATAGTAAATTGTTATGCATCTTCGCAACTATAGTATACATTCTAATGCACGTATTAATTCAAATAAATCTGTATATTATAATTTATTTAATTAATTAACCATCTATCAATAGCAATCGCCAATGTCTAATATAAGTAATCAACTAATATTCAGATACACAGCCATTATTGGTAGCTTAATCATGTTTAATGTAGCAATCAAGGATATTAATGGGGTACATATCACCTCCTTTTTATGCTATATTAAGTTCTTTTATTAAACATAAATAGTAATATCCTGTAATTTATCAGTAGACAGAAACTGTTTATTGTATAGTTACGAACTATTATATAGCGATTTCACCATAATAAAGAAAGGCAAATAAAATACAGCAGACCATAAATATCTGTAAGCAGACTAATCAGGAATTACTTTCACTGTAACCAATATAGCAACCACAGCCATAGCCACATAAAATACCATCAAAATTGACGCAACATAGCGAAACATAGACGACACAGGCAGAGGAATCTCAATATCACTAATAACAAGGTAAAAATATAGTTCTAATAAGAATATTCAAGAATTTGGTCATTCTGGAGGCATAGTACATATTAAACAGTTGCGTAAATTTTCCTGTTATTCCATATGAACTAGCAGCATAATAAAATTTATAACCACATTTAAATTATAGAAATCATCACTGGTATTTATTTAAATTGCATGAAATGAAATATTTTCAGGAATTTTCTTAATTTTATTTTTAAAATAGATTATAATTTTACAAGACTTCGGCACGTCGCGATCTGACTCCTCATTGGTAGAGAGGTAAAAAGATTACAATGATTAATTGGCCATATTTGTTTAAAACAGTATACGAACAATTCCTCTTTCTCCTCCCTCATATTTGCCACCGGACAACTCTCTCGGATAGTTGCATATTAAATTGATATTGGTAATTCAATAGTGTTAAGGTTAATACCTTGAACGGCTCTTCCATAAAAAGTTAGCTTTCATAAAGCTAATTCTATTTTTAACATATCGCAAATACGTTTAGTTATCGGGGCTAGCTGTCAGTATAGGAAAAAAGAGGAATTTCCTAGAATAGTTCTAAATTATATTCGTGTAGTATGTTTTCAAGTGGTATTTTTTTTAAATATTCTGTAAACTGTCAGAACTGCTAGTATCCTAACGTTTTTTTTCTCCAGTATAGCCGTATCCTTCAAGTAAATTACGTTGATAGTAAGAAGGAAACGATATGCCACGATGTTCTACTTCATCACTAATGTTATTAAGACTACTTTATTATGCTACAGAAAGTAAGCCTGAAAAATATGTAAATGCAAATTTAATGACATTAAACAATATCTTAAATAGATACTTTTTAATTAGTGATTCACTTCTCTCCCTTCCCGTTATCGCTATTACTTCTAAAATTGACTACTAGACAGGCAAGCTTAGGAAATTTATGCCCGTGCAATAGAGCTAAATGACTTCTAAATGTTTATATATTAATAGAAAACCATATTTCCTCCTAATATTCATATAATACTAGCAAGATCTTTCATGCTTCTTCCTGAAAGAAGCCTTAAGTTGTTAAACCATTTATATTTAATATAATACTCTCTGCTCTTAGTAGCATCTTAGCTAATTAATTTAAAATTATTTTGGAATAATTTTATAATGTCCTTCCTGATTATAAATAATGCTTAATTTCTACTCATAACTTGATCGTACGACAGATTTAAAAATATGCTTTAAGCGGAAATACAAAAATATCGTAGGATGTCCGACGGCTACTAGGTGAAAAGCTTCGATATATGACAGAATAGAAGTAATAGAACTAGATAAAGGGTAAATATTAACTTACTCATATTTTTTGCTTGTAGCAATGTAAAAGAGAATCGGAATGAAAATACCACTGTATAGGAAACTTGCTAATGAAGCACCATAATTGGCGAAGATGTAAAATGCCTATTTGCAATCAGAGAATAAAGTAAAGCTATCTTTATATTGGACCTTATACTAGCTTCTTTCTTTATCTAATAATCTTTATAGTATTAAATAATGCCTAATAAAGTTCAATGTATCAAACCTGAGGACAAAATAGGCAAATCAAATAAAGGGCAGTAAATATAATCACTTGAAGTAGAATTTCCGATAATCTAGATCAATGTACATTCAATAAGCCTAAGTATTGTCATACTTTTAGCCTGAGGGATAGGTTATATATATGTAAATACTGAATTAGCTACATGTTGATTTTACCGCATGCATAAACGAAAGTTACGTTTTTTCTTATTCGACGAATTTTTTGCGACTTGTTGATTGTCTTCTGATATCACTACAGGTTCATCAGGTAAAAAGTGATGCCATATTCCCTCATTAATGCCACTTGCTGAATCCATGTCAATGAAATAAAGTATATTATAAACGTGTATAAGAATTAAAAATAACCATTAATGCATTGCTCTATGCTTTTGAATAAGCTAAAAATTTTGAAATAGATTGCAAATATTACGATGAAACGAAATTTAAGGTAATCATAGCATAGTATAAAAGAGCTTGAAGAATAAGCTAAAATTACCCGACAAAGCCTATCCAAAAACTATTCTTTATCATAAAAATTAGTAGCTAAGTTGAAGTCAGATTACTGTTTTAACCATAAAGTGTATCTCATCGTTAATTCCAACTAATAACAATCAAGAGTATTCAACAATTCACTGCAGTCATGGCCTATTATTCGTCCAAATTTACTTAAGGAGCGCAACAGCAGTAAAAATTCAAGACAAGGCTATCACCACAACGATAACTACATGGTCAATGATCAATGTTATTTCAAAAAATTATAGTAATACAGAAAATGCATTATAAAACAATGGCAATAACATATATCCAATGAATTAAATCATTCATTATGATCATAATACTTTACCAAAACATGCCACAATCATGGCTATAACGCGTATAGACGATAACTGCGTATTATAGCAAATAAGAATATGGAGTACAAGCTAATATAATGCTTATATAATTACAAATATACGTGGTGAATGACATAATTTATAGCTAAAAAATAAACAAGAATGAAGAAATTACCTAATGTTATTAATGGCATTCCGTTTGCCAGAAAAGACATTGGAGTAGATAATACTAGGCAGCCGATTACAACAGACGCAACCCATTTATATTGAACGTAATATATGGTCAATATCTAAATTGGATCAGATGAATTATAAGTATTAAGTAATGCTACTTTCTTGATTAAACAGTATGTAGTATCACTAGAATCAACAATATTATCGATACGACCATATGAAATTAGGGATAATCATGGTGAATATCATATACGCTTAAATAAACAGATAATATAACTATTGTTGAAAAGATCTAGCTATTAAATCTTTTACTACTTGCAGTATGAACATTAGCACTTAGCTAAGACAAATAGCAAAATGCAATTTTAAAACAAAAATTTAATGCCTTTATTATCAAGAACACAAGTAGATTTATAATTATAGGTATTGCTCCGCCATAATTAAGTAAAATACACTTATGCTACTAGTATTAATTAGCTTACTTTGACTAACGGATTAGTAGCTATTTCGCCATGATTTTTCCCCCTAGTTGCAGCCAGGTTAAAGTGATAAATAGTAGAAAATAAGTAAATGTTTTCAGATTATTTGCATTAATACAAACAAGTTCACTCATAATCGATATAACTTAAATATTGTTGGTCCGTATGTCTTACCATAACAAAGTCAGATCGCAGTGTGAATTTTCCGTTGTTAAATTTTGAATCATAAAGGTACTAGGAATATCATGACAAGTTTGAGGTACTACTGATACAACTGCATAAACCCTAGAAAGACGAGCATACAGTAATCCCATAGGTATCAATTTAAAATTAATTCGGTAATTGATTCTTCAGTAACCCTCTATAAATATATATTGGTAATCTTAATAGTGTTGGAAATACCAATTAAGGCAACATTTTTAATCTAGGTTCTATTCATTGTAAAATCGTCCGCTGATATTTTCAATTTAATGCAAGCATAACAGTTACTGATGTAACAGTTCATCTTACCATAATATATTAAAGAGTGCAACAGAGCATTGAGCCAACGCGGTTGTTAAAATCAAATACATAAGCTAATTTATAAAAAATAATCCAAAGTGAGAAGATAATCTATACATTGCTGATTAGAAGAATTTTTTATGTAATTTAATATACATTTTTCCTTTCGAACGGCACAAAGTTAGCCAAGTATGGCATTATTCTAGCCATTCCTCCTATTGAAACTAGACAAATTAGGAACGGAGATGATATACGCTGCCAACTATTGTGGATCGGATGATGTACAGAATGACCAACGATAAAACAAATAATTATCTATAAACGATGAAGAAATGAACAGTGCTCTCAAATAATGAAATATGAAGTATTTATATCGATATTAGTATCCTTAATCAAATACTAAAACTGGCACTCGAATAAATTTCGTTAAAGCTACATTTTACTGCTTCACGAAAAGTTAATTTATACAATTGAGACTTAATGTATAAATAAACTATCCATTACGAACTAATTTAAAAAAATGAAACATTAGATATGTACATATTAGCGGCCTTTGATCTTTGTTTACTTTCTAAAATGCAGGTTGTCGTTTTAATTAAGGTATTAGCAAAAATTTGGCTTACTAGAGCGACGATCATGTCGGCTTTTATTTGTTAAAATTAAAGAAAATATCTTGAGTTTAGCTATAAATGATTAATATTATGTTAAAGATCATATCATTATAGATAATTAATGATCTAATTTTACGCAATAGACCGTAAATATTTAAATAGTAGGATTAATGATCAATTTCAATCTACTATTCAAAAAGCCATGATGTTGATTATTAAGGGTTTGAATTATCTGGAAATTACTTTCTTCAATATCAATGATATAAATTTAATATGATACTATTGTTAATTTATTAATTGTCTACTTCAATAGAAAGAGCAAAAATTAAGTTAATAATGACTAAATGTAATAAAAATGGTATTGTAAGTTATCAAACCATCTAAGTTTAACTGAGAGACTTGAATCTTACTTGTTAACAATCCAGATTTATTAGCTACAGGAAATTTTCTCTACTATTAATTTAAATTAAAATATGGAAGCCTTTCAATAGCTACAGTATGAATAATAAAAATTTAAAGCAAAGACCTTAGTTTCGGTTGTAAACTACCCCAAACTGAACTGAAGATCTTAATCTTAGCTTAAAAATAATTAGATTGAATTTAGCAGAGACAGGTCACTAATATATCGTTGAATATTATCTAGATTAATAGATGTACTTGTAAGTCAGTTAACTTACCATTATTAGTAATATAATACATCTAACTAAAGATGCTATCGGAATTACAAGATTTAAAAGTCTTCGAGCAAAAATCAGTAGAAATACTTCAATCCAAACAAAGAGTGCTAAAATATTCTTAAATCTGAAAGCAGTAACAAATAAAATAACAATTAGGATGAGATTAACCTATAAATTGAAAGTCAATACGCTGAATTTGCTATCAACATCTGATGCAAGAAAATTTAAAATCTTTATTATTGTAAAAATAACTTAGCTATAATTATAAACAGGGATGAAAATCTGTAATCCCAGATAGCTTACTTTATTCTAAGAAGATGACCAAAAACTTGACTACCCGACAAGGCATTAGCAATTTCTGCATTAAATCTAAACGTCATTGCATTATAAAACAGAATCTTACTCAGATACAATCAATCTAACTCAATTCAATACCATCCAAGTTCACGGTATGTATTGGTTTTAATTCATTTCATCTACTTACAGCAAGCCGAAGCATAGGGCATCGAAAGCAATTTGTAGAAACCATGGTAGAAAAGACTCAGAAAGTAGATGAAAATTAATTTCCGTATCGTTGAATTTCTTCTCGTTCTCGCTGCCTTTAGCATCACTATCAATATCATCATCCTCGCTATTATCGGCATTAAGTTGCTTCAGCTGTTATTTACACAGTATATGAAAAAGTAACTGTATTATCGGATATTTTATAGAAATTTATTAGACGATTTTTATTAGTTATTAATGTAGCAACATCAGTATAATCTAATGAAATTCAAATAATTTAAATTCATTATATCACGACATTGAATACAGTAACGCAAATAATCAATGCCAAAACATTATAAAATGTAAATTAAGGTCTTTGCTTGCAAGTTTAAGCATATTCAATATTCCATTTAGGTCAGTAGTGCTTCATCTTGATAGCCCACGGATTTTGGATACTTGAATTGAAAACATAGAAGTGCTAAAATAGATTATTACCTTGGCATATAATCGACCACTTTTTCTTAATACTGCAGCTTTTTGTATGATTACCAAGACCAAGAAGGTTAACGGAATCTTTTGGAATCGAGAAGGCATATAAAATATTTGATACAGATAGATTATGAATATAGTTCGTTGCTATTATGTAAATAAGTTGAAATCTATATTGGATAATTTGATCATCTCATTTTCATATGATAGGTCAAGCTACCGTATTCATCTTACCTCTACAACTAACGCTATGAAATAGACACCAATAAATGGCTTTATACCAGTATTAGCTATGCTATTTGGTAATGCTGAAAGAAACAAGGTGAAACTGTTATTTACATTCTAATCTCAACTTTTCATTTTTAGTAAGTATAAGAAATACAATTTCAGGGTTTTATTCAGTAAATCAACTACAGCTGTCAAATCTTGCCAAACAGTTAAGTTTACTAATTAACATTAAGTACCTAGATCTAGCAGATAACAAATTATATTTCCAAGATTACAAGATACAGTACTACATGATAAGCTGTAAGTGTTTCTAGTTTAATACCTGGTTAATGAACTAAAAATGTAATATTTCTTGCGATTGTTTATATAATGCATTAAGATTAGGGATTATTGTTCACTATTCAACTAAATCGTCCAACATATACTATGAATTAATCAATCAAAATCATTAAAAATAGATTATTAATCAATCATCCAATACAGATCACACTGTAAATCAATTGAACTAAAATCATTTAATATAGATTTTTTTAAGTCAGACACTTAAATTATCCAATAAAAGCTACAAATATCAAATTGATAAATCAAAGGTAATCCATCTAGACAAAATAATGCCCAATACTTGATTTTTATCAACAGTTATCTTCAATTACAACTATGCTACTTACCAAGGAATGAGCAACCTTGCATATAAGCAATGCAAATAAAATCTGTGAGGTATGGCATATAAAAGAACGGAAAATTATTATTACAAATATTTGGCGTGTTTAAATACATATCAATCCTGTAGTAGTGATAAATTATTAATGACTGGATATCTTCCATCTTAGATATAATAAGTTTGTCTACTAATTATTATAAACAGAATTACACTAGAAAAGAAAATTTTATCGTAATCATTGCTAATCAAGAATTTACCAAGATAAACTTTTAACAAAATCAACTAGAGCAAACATAGAAAGGAAATCAGAACTAACAGTCATCAGACTTTAGATTGATTTTATGATAGCTAGTCGTAAATTAGTAATTCTACATCCATCTATAATTTTTTCTAATTCTCTCTTGATATTAGCTATTTTCTGTGACTTTTGAATGATGATTCTATCTACGAAGTGTGACAGTGTTTAATACTGTATTAGAGTAGAAATATCTATGTTGGATAATTTTGCTAGCCTATCCTTATTTAGTTAATTTCTAATCTGGATATACTGTGTTTTAATATAGTACTAGCTTTTTATGACAGTGACATATATAAATATACTGAAATTAATAGTTATATTAGGGAATGCAAATTATCTAACTATAGTTCGAATCATTGTGATTGTAACTTACTTACGGCAGATTGTAAATTATTGTGGAAATGTCCCGTAATATAACATACCGTAATCTGACTATTCTGTATTAGTCATCAGATGTCTATGTTCGTAAATACTGTTGTCTGCATTAGAGAGCAGTAGCTAAAATTATGTCTAATTCAGTGAATGATTCCAAAGTTAATCGTACTAACTATGACTCATGAACTGTCGAGGAAGAGTATATAAATGCAGTATATCATGTAATTAAGTGGATTCTTAAACTTGGTGTTTAACGTAAAATACGAAGCGTCTAAGTCTTTGTGTAGTCTACTAGTAGAACAAAAGTGTTCCTGATAGTGCAAATATCGTTCCTTGATACGTAGTTCAAGGAATTGACTTATTGATCGTACATTGCGTTATCTTGTTGCAGAGCTATTTTATGATAATATGTAATACAAGCAGTTACTTTATCGCGTATAGACTTTACTATTGATATACACGATTGTCTCGATGTCTTGACTAAATTATGCAAACCGATCGATAAAATAAACGTGGCATAAAATAATTAAATAATTCTGTCAACTTTCCCATCAAATAAACATATCTAATACTTACTGCATTTGAAAAAGCATACTATACATCTGTAACACTAAAGTGAAAATAAGCACACAGTACTGTAGTTTTTGCTTTAATTATTGTCGGATTTAATGACTTAGACATGAAAAATTAATCTTTTCCAAGTTATTATAAAAGAGAGAGATAGTAAATAGCTCATATGGAGATACTTCCATGATCTATAGCCAGAAGTAGATCTATTTTAGTAATTTTAATATATGAATAATTTCACGATTATGTACAATTATCATTTATCTATCTTTGAGATCATACAAAATTTATCACGATAAACAGGGTAGTTGAAAACTTACAAATTCTTAAATAATATAGAAAATTTTTAAAGCGCATCCACAAGGTCATCCATCGATTATTTTGAGTTGATGTGCTATCATTCTTCAATTTTTCCATACTCAAATTATCCTGATTGTCTAGTCACGTTCAATTGAGATTGAATGTTGGTTAAAGCATCGTAGTTTCATATCAAACAGTGCCTAAAATCTATTCTAAATCTAAATATTAGCCGTTAGTTAGTATTATGAATGAAAGCAGCAAGTATAATCTACTGGATGACATAATGTAGTCTTCCTCTTTAAACCATAATGAACGCAAAAGTTTAAAGCTATATGCGGTATTATTACCTCTCTACTAGATAATTTTCAAAGCCAAGCAATAATTTTTATCCACAATTTTTAACCGTGATGGAAACCCATGTAATTAGATACTCAAACGTTTTAAGTACCTCTAAAAATCATCAATTTTTTCTTGAAACGGGATCCGATATTTCGTTATCGATTAGTTTTTTTCTCGTAAGAATCCAATAAGATCCATACATACAAATTCATTAATCCTGTTGGGAATTCTTCTGCTAAGAAGGCATTATGCCTCCTATTGTCTTTTGAATTCCCTTGATTTCCCCTCTCGCTCTTTATTACCGACATTCATTTGAAATCTACAGACATTCAATAGCTTCAAGCTGAATATGCTGTTCTCTCTTAATTAATTTTAAGCATCTACGGAAAACTTTAATTTATTTCGATTTTGTAGATAACTGAATTATTTCTATTCTAACTTTAACCTTATTTAGCAATGAAATATAAATACATAAGCATGGCTAGAACAAAAATCGTAAGCATCTGCTGGTTTATAAATTGAGCCAAGGCTACATAACTTTGCGATAAAAATTGAATCATTCTCATCCTATATTATCCTTCTGTTGATCAAAGATAAATCATTTCAGGATCGTGCCTAAATTCTACTTTCCAGTACAATTATTTCATGACAATCTTTATACTATTGTAAAGTAACTTAGTGTTGCAATTGTAGACTATAAGCCATGTTCAGTATGATTAACGGTAGTGTCTTTTCTGTATTTATCTTACGATACATTTAGTAGTCCATAATACTCTGCACTGCTCATAGTTCTTGTGATTGATAAAATACAATCTTAATACTTAAAATTAGATAGAAATTTTTAGCAAATACATTTTTATTTCCTTCGAAGCCGGTAAATAGCATCTGATGATTAATGCAAGTATTTAGTAATCCCAAAATTTATCACGAACAGAATATTTTATAACTGGCATAGATTAACCCACCATCAGTTTCTGCTACAGTTTCTTATAAGATTACTGTAGAGAGATAATACCTGCAATTTGTAACTTACTACTAGCAGTACCTCGGTTCAACGATTATTACTTGTAATCCTAGTAGCAAATAGCCCATTTGCAAATCGAAGGTAATACCAATTAATAAATTTGTTAGTTTTTCCTAGCCCAGTAGTAATAATAGATAGAACTTGCATATATTACAGTATAAACATGGTTTACATTTTATAGATCTAGTAGCAAATAGCTTATAGTAGATTTAAGCTTATACTAGTTGTCAAAGTCAATTCTTTCAGACTTAGAAAGATAAACCATAACGTATATAGCTGATAAATAGGATTCTCGCAACAAATAGTCACAAATTTGATATAGTTTTACGCCATCCAACGGTGTTTTACCCTCTTATGGTCCAGAAAATAACGACTTATTAAATATTTGACAAATAATTAGTAGAAAAGTTTGCTTAGTTCGTATAGATCCAGCAAGCAATCAGCCAATAACTATTATATGATATGTCCATTTTGTGGCAAACGATTCTTTCAAGTCCGGTAAAAGAGAAAAATATCGAATATAGCTGATATACGTATATCTCAATTTCCGTAATAGGATATTTTAATGTTTATAGATTCAGCAATAAATGACTAAATTCCACAATAATTTGTTCTTAAAAATGAATGCTAAAGTCTCTTTCCATTGCAAAATTCTTAGCCATTACGAAATTGTCTAGCGGTGAACTAAGATTAACAAATAGTAGGTTAAAATCTGAAATTCTTCCTGTTGATACTGTAACCAGCCATAAACGGTAGCTAGACTTTGATTACTTTGGCTATCATTAAAATATCAATAATAGTCATAAAAAAGTAGATTAGCATTAGTGCAAGTGCTCCGAATCGTAGCCAGCCAGGCACCGCTAGTGGAACTTCAACTTCACTAAAATCAAAGATATTAACAATTACGATATATCACGCTTGTGTACTAGACACAAAGACAAATGGATAATTAATAGCATAAACCTTGTATTATTAATAGAGTCTTATTTCACCAACAATAGTCTGTCTGAGAACAGCTTAATAAATTTCTTACTTAAAATGTACCAGTTAAACATACCCTAGCTTGGAGCTGTTTGCATAATAGAATAAAATCGGAATAAATAACCCATTAAATAGGAGAGATGTTAAGGCAGAAGCGTAATTGGCAAAGTTATAAAAATTCTAATCAATAAATCAAAATCAAATAAATTTCAGTTAGACATAATGATGCTGTCAAATAATAATTGAATTATATTTTACAGTTATATTTTAACACATGTAGAAGAGGATAAAATCAATCTGTTGATTTTTCTTGAACTTTGAACTGAAGTAAATTACTGATCATCAGAAAGTTTTAGAAGTAAATTAGTATAACGGAAAGCTCTGATAAAAGTAGTCAAATCCATCCACGATTGAATCCCGCATTAATATTTATGATTTATCAAAATTTTACATATTAAACATAATGATATATAATCAGATAACCATATTAGACAATTGTACAAAACGGATAATTACAAACAAGCGGAAAACTATAATTTCCTAAAAAGTTCTTATGTTATTTTCCAATTTAATTAACATAAAAGCTCATTCCAAACAGATAAATCTCAGAAACAAGTAGCAATCGATCCGCAGTTAATATTGATATAATTACTGGTAATTTTCAAGAAAGATTGGTTAAAATTAGACATTCATAGAGGAAGAGTACCATGAACTAAGTACACGACAATCCGTAATTGTCTTCAATTAGCATTAATACTGTTTTTAAATATCGAATGTTATCCTTACATGAACACCAAAGTGACAAATTAAATAAATAGCCAGAAATACCAAAATTTGAAGGAACACTTCTGAAAAACTAAAGTTTATTCCTTTATATCAGATGACAGGAACAGAAATAAGCACGTGCGCAGTTTTTAAGCTTATTCCATTCTTTGCATTAGAGCAACATGCCAAACTAATTTTATCGAATTAAATACATAAATATTACAGTGCACAATAATCGCTGCATATTTTGCTCCAATGAAACTCGTAGTCATCTATATTGGTATGAGTAATTTAAGACCATTATAGCCTAAAACCCTGGAGGATAGTTTATATAGTTTAGAGATACGTACTCAGGGATGTTACATTAGAGATTATTCAAAAATTTAAAACATTAGCACTGAAGTAATCATCGAAACTGCTGCACTGTCCTAATCAATCGTTTCCCTTAGCATAGATATAAGTGTACTAACAGATTTTTTAAGACTTCATACAGTAATATTAGTTAGTATTCCTAAATCATGTACACTGGCACAGTTCTAATTAAAGCTTCAGATACTGAGCTAATTGGTGGCTATAGCCAATCATAATATCAACAATGATAATCCCTACCACATCCAAACGCGTTGTCGCTCGGCGGCGGAATTGGTTAATAAATCTTCATCACTTTGTTCTTGCGTTTTCTGCACTAAAGATGTATACTTCTTCCAAAAACTTTCATTTATACCAGTAACTATATCATTAGAAAGGATAAATTTGTTACCTATCAAACAATTAAAAGAATACTACTATTTCTTTCTGAAATATAATAATGAGAGTTTCTTGCAATCATATTATTAATATAGTCATTATAGCAGTTTATTTAAATCAATCCAAATATTCATTACAGTAGTTACATCAATTATCCATAAAATGAAAGCAATTACTTAAGGTCATCAATGGTAATCCTGCCGTCAGATAAGATATAATTGTGGTCATAAACACAAAAAGAACAACCAAAACAGCAGCCCATCGAAATTGAGGATAATTTTGATATAAAATCTAGGTAATTGAAATAGAAAGAAATTGAACGGTAAGCATGAGCATGACGTCTATAATTGATCAACTATTGTAAAACTCTTCCTTGTACGAATGCTTTAATAAAGGAGAAATATGTTGATAAACACAATCCACTAAGATTGTAATCAAATGAAAAATTTTACATAGAAGTACTTAAATAAAGTTGAAAAATTATTGCCAGCATTAAAGCTAGTTAAAAATTGAAAATTTATTAGTGATGGAATCTCGTCAAGAATGAAGACCAAATGAATAATAATCTATGCTAGCAGTTACGTATGCTTAGCTATAGCTATTTTGAAAGGTTATTCTCAGAATAAATTATACATGAAAAATGAAGAATAAGTCAACGAAGAAACTCGATAAAAATCTTAAAGTTGAAATCTAATTCACTGCTAGCGTACTTAAAAGATCTTAAAAATTAGTTCTAACAAGAACAGGTATAGAATATGATTATAGAGTAGCACAAAATATGCTGATATAATCTTGCGACTTACTAAGGATAATGGTGTAGTAGCAATAATTCCATTGTCTCGAGCCCTAAAATGTAAGTTAACAAGAGAATTGTTACAGTCTTTTTCCGCTCTCTAATATGGACAGTATATTGATATTAAAATTCTAGAGCCATATGTATCTGTTACAGTACAATGTGCTCTCGCTAAATGCATATACTATATGTAGTCATATTTCTCCAGTGCAATCACCTAGAATAACGTAAAACTAATTCTAATAATATCGTGGACAGTAAAAGGTAAGTCAGGTATTTCACTGCATCACTAATTTTACAATATACAGTACACGTAGCATGAACATTTATTAGCTCTGATATCACTTGCGAGAGAGTAAACTGAGGTATATTTGCTCCTTTGTCAGAAGACAGTTTGTATACCACCATTAAAATCTAGAACCATTTGTATTAGTTATGCTTAATGAATTTAAGTAATAGCTAATCCTATATTTTCAGACGCAACGCACCACAATAGTGTTAAATTGCAATGCTGATCGCCAGTAGTGAAGCTTTCATTTAGAAATGAAGATGGGATTTCATTGCAGGTTTGAGGAACTACTGATAGAACGGCATAACACCTACGATAATAGTAAAAGCAAGATCAATATTTTGCCAATTTTATCATGAATGTGCATCGTTCGTCAAGAAATACATAGTTAAAGACAATAACTAGAAGAGTCTAAAACAAGCAAAGCAATTTTACGCTGGCAACATACCATAGAATATTCAGTACAGTGGTAGTAATTTGTGCCAAAATGATGGATAAGTAGAAATAAATTAACTGTAGATAGCAAGTTAAATAGATTATTGAATTTAAGAACAGTTAACAGCCAAAAGCTGACAGAAATTTTCAATATAAATAAGTAGCTTTGGTTAAAACTAACACTTTTCCTTTCAAACTGAATAAAATTAACTAAATAAGGCATTAATCTTGCTGTACCACCCAATGATGCTAGTACAATTAAAAGTGGTGAGGCCCCATATTCCCAACTGCTATGAATTGGATTATGAATAGCATTTCCAACAACCAAACAACATACAACCTAATCGTAAAATTTAATTGAAAACTTGAATCAGTTATTAATATGAAAAGATCTTAAAAAATCAATCTTAAGTTTTCGTTGCTTGGATAAAATAAGGAGAAAATAATTCCTAGTTATTAAAAGCATTATTAAAAATTTTAATCACACATTCAATTAAAAAGACATTAAGTAAGTTTAAAGGGTTATATAGCAAGATAGCGCATATCAATCAGCACTATATACCAAATAAACCGAGAAAAAACACATAAGTAACAACTAATAAATTAGGAGGATTTTGAGAATTTTTCATTCTTTAACAGTGTATCCTTGAAGTTGTTAATTTATATGTTCACATACCGTAACAATTAATATTACCAAGGGTATTAATGATAGCACAGGGATAAAACGGTTAAGAAATCTTCTCATAAAAATTAGTAGACTCGCACCAATCCATATAAATCCAGGAAGAACAGCCCTAGTACTATGTTAAAGAACTCTCTTATACGATGATACAACCGTAATGATCTTATATCCACTGATATCCTGACTACACTTAATATACAAGGTTGGTCAATTTCTATTTTGATTTAGTTATTTTTGATTACAGAATCTGATATACTATTAAATATCATAATAAATAATACTATTACTTTTGCATGCTCGAAAGATAAGCACCTTACAGCATATTTTATAATAACGCAATTCTTCTACTCTAACTCTATTTTCGATATTACCTGCTATGCAAAGCTACTGCGAAAATTTGACTACCAGATAAGCCATTCGTTATTTCAGACACACCGCTAGTGACAATATAAGAGAATTTAATCAATCTTAATTACCAGTATTTAGTAATTACTAGCTTTTCACTTGCTGCTTTATTACTTATCCTAAGCGTACTAAATCAATCATCCAGAGACCGCAGTCTCACTTTACTTACAATAATACCAGACACAGAAGATCAAATCCAACTTGTAGATAAATGGGTAGAAACATTTCTGAGATTAAGTGAAAATTGATTTTGGAATCATCGTATAAGTCTTCCTGATTCTCATCTAACTTATCATCGACAGGTTTGAGCTAGAGTAGGGCGGCATTAACATAAATTTTAATTTTATAATTATTAAGCAGAGCAAAATTATACTACAAGCCACGAGACAAAAACGTTATACATTATAGTGCTAGCTCAGCTAATTTTCAATGTAAGCTACTTTTATACCCAAGAAATTGCATAATTGCATTCAATAATCATATACAGTAAAAGCTCCAGTAAAATTTTGTTAGGTCTCGACGAATTTGAGCTAGTGTTAGAATTTTACCTGATAATACATAAAACCATTTGCTCTTAATGCTATTGCTTTCTGTAGAATGATTAGGAATAAAAAGGCAGCAAAAGTCTATAGCAATAAAACAGCAGTAAGTCCGCAAAAAGCACCGCAGTAAACTAGTTTGCAGTATAATCCGTAACTACGTAAGCCATAAAATCAAGCGGATAGAATCATACCTCAGTTATTAAGGCTAAAAACGAAATAGCTACAAACGGGCGGATTCCTGTATGCGCTATGCTATTTGGCATTGCTATTTAATAGATCCAGGCATAGAGAAATAATGCAGCAAATATTTAAAAGGTAAGTGCAGTAACCTAGGCCGCTGTTCAGTTCTCACCCGTCTATTGAATAAACTATTATAGATTTAACCTGAAATCATAGTTATGTGATTACTGATAGGTAATATTGGAAATTGGCACTGCAACCTCATAATTTAATCTAACTTATTTCTAGCTTTCTACTTTCCTCATTCAACTTATTTTCGACACATATTTGAGAGATCAGTAGGTAGAATTATAGAAATTACAATTTAAATGGCTTTTAATTGTAAATCAGTAATAAAATTCAGCTTATATTTAGTCCAATAAACTTTAATTTTTGGTCTATATCATATCAGTCAATAAATCAGAATTATCGTATAAAGTGAATCCTGATCTACAAGATTAATGTCAACCTAAAATTTACCATAATTACACTATCCTAGCCGTTCTACTTACCTAATAGAGTATAACCTTGTAAGTAAGCTAAACTTATAAAGTCTAAATAAAGCGAAATATTCCGTTAGTAAACATCAGTTTTTAATAAATTTAAATGAATTTTAAATTAATTTCCTGACTCTGATCTTATCGATAGCTAAGATACTCAAAATTTATTCCAAACGTGCAACTATGAGCAAAGTACTGATTCTGAACGCTCATAAATCCATGACTTTGATTAATAATTTCGATCTAATTACCGTAACTCAATGTACGATATAAGTAACATTATTTATAGACAATCACTTGCTATGGCAACAACTTTAATCTACAAGAACATATAACTATGGCGACTACATTGAAAAATTTTAGTTTAATCTAGACACCATTAATGTTATTCTACTTACAAACACTGCAATAGGGCAGAATAGATTGCCAACATTGAAAGCATTGCGCTAAAAAAAGGGCAAATTTATTGTCTGCTACTAGAGAGCTCGAAACTGTGTCTCGATTAGAGTGCATGTTTAAACTTCTTTAAAATATCTTGCGTCTGATAATAACTTCTTTACATATAACATATATTGACGATGTCGAAGTAAATCAGATCATCACCAACATTAAATTCGCTGACTTTAACCAAAACGTTATAATTTAAATTAATTTCATCAGAACTTTTAATCATGTGAAGCGAACAGCATATTAACCTCTACTTATAACAATGTCATTGTCATCTCCCTTGAGACAACGATTCTGTTAGCTTTTTCCGATAGAAATAAGTGTAACAATAATGTAGAATAAAAGGAGAACAAAGATTATATCAGACTTTGACTGAATAGGATTACTTGTTAGTCATCCATGTGCAAGTAAGTAGATTATAGACAACATCCAAATTAGTACAGGGTTATTCAAATAGAAATTACGCGTTGCATAAGACTATACGCTCAGTTCTTAGAGTAAAAAGTAGCAGTTAGCATTCGCCTAGAAAAAGATATTTAAAATTAGCAACATTGATTCGTCTTAAGTACTTAAAAGGAAATTAAGGCATTGTCAGTACTCACAAATAATACTGTAGTGCAATGGATAAAGACTATTACTAGTAATTGGTTAAGAAGTACGATATGTATACACATAAAATGGATCATAGACCTTTTTCTATAATGTATTGATTTTGGAATAGCAAATAAGAAATTGAGATAAAGCCTAAGGTTACAAAACGCTTGGATTCATAGAGCCAAGAGTGGAATAAGTCATTATTTACTGACAGATTGAGTAAGACTGCATCCATGTAATGTTTCTAAGTTACAATTATATGAACTAAGACGCGATAAATGGCCGTGCAAAGTCAATTATTGAAGAATAAAGCAATGAAACAATTACTAGACTATCGCATTCGTAGGATGTACTTTTAGATGGCAAAAAATTAAGACTTCCAAAACGGCCTCATATTTAGCCTGAATGTCATAACCTATAAATGCCATTATTCTCACGGAATATAACGAGAAGGAGTTTATATCATGTACACTAGCAAGTTATCGATTCAATAATAAATTACCAACACTCTCGAATAAAAAAAATTTTGCAAATTGCACATCCAAATAAATCATATCTAGAATGTACAGTAATACTGTCCTTAATAGTAATATTCAACGTATTCACCCAATAGACCTACAATTTAATTAATTCAAACATCTCTTCAAATATTTTATTTAAACACATCAAGAAATTTCCTCATTTTGATTAAAAACAAATAATTCAAATATCGTCCTTAATAGAACTATATCGCTTTAAAAACAAATAGATGCAGCTATCTCATTCTTCAGAATCATAAAGTAATGATATAAACAAGATAAGAAGTAAATAGGAATCTACCTAATCCTCAATTTTAGGCATTGAGCCTTAACTAAATATATCTTTATAGTAAATACTGTACAATATTAGTGTCAATAAAATAAAATCTGAGGCCATTATTAACTAAATTCACAACTAAATAATAGATGCAGTTACAAAAAAATCACTAGAGCTGCTCTTTTTTAAAACTATGTACGGATCACTTTAATCATAGATAAGAAATCAAGTATAGCAACAGCAATGAAAAATAATGAAACCAGGTAGGCTCCAAATTGGCAATAAGTCGGAATAGCAAATGGAATCTCAACGTCACTAGATTATATAAATTTGAAACATAAAAAAAGTTAAAAATTTTATCGTAATAAGATTTAGATTACTTCTTAGCTATACAATAAACGGGGTACCAGATTAAAAGATTTTTATATCAAATCTAACCTAAACTCTTTGCTAGTTGCTTTTCGAAACAGTATTATCATAAATATTCCATCAAGAAGAAATACAAAGAAAGGGTTAGCATAACTAGAAAAGAAGTAAAATCCCTGTAGTGAAAGTATAAAATAAAATGCATTAATCAATTTTGTTAAGTATTGGAAAATTAAAACTAAGAATGAAACGCATTTATCCTTACCTGCGGATAACACAACGACACAACATAAATCGATGCAAAAGATAAAACTTGGATAATCAGTCCGGTAAATCTAATGTATAAGTTTAAATAAAAAACGATGAAACCAAGAAAATGTAAACTTGGAGTTGAAATTTCTGATTGACATCGCAAAAGTACGAAGCTAGATATATTCAAATTGCAATACACACTTTAGCCAGCCATTTTCAGTGCTAGAAGGCTTAAGTAATTCTTCATCTGTTTTTTCAGTATTTCCCTTTTTAAAAAACTTCCATATACTCTTATTAACGCCAATTCCTGCCACATTATTTAATTTCATAATTAAGAATCGAAAATCAAGATGCACCGATAGGTAATAGCAGTAGTAAGAAATGTTACATTGCTATTCTACATATTAATATCTTATCAAACTAATTATTGCAATTACATATCATAGTTAAATTATACCATGATGAGCAAACAGTATCATTTTCTAGTAGTTACATGTCAGTAAAATGTACTATTTTAAATACACTTTTTATATCATATCGTAATATTATTATGTATCGAACCGAAATATTCCTACCCCATGTTGCTAATGGCAATCCAGTAGACAAATAAGAAACTGTAACAGATAGCATGATAAGTATCTTAACCATAACTGATGTCCACTGATATTGCGGGTAATAACGTTGGAATATCTAGAAAATATCAATACCAAGGTTAAAAAATTTTACACTTTTGACTCTATTCATCCCAATTTCTCATGAAAGCATTTAAATTTAGTATTACACATATTCTAATACTTGCATATTTCAAAGTGTTAAATATAAATTGATGCTAACTATGATCGTAAAGCATAGTTTGTATATTGAAAATTTCAAGTCAGTTTATACTAAATTACTTTATTTCTGGTATATTAACAAATAATATACTACATACAGAATTAAACAGTACCATAAAATAATTTTTGAATTACGTCTTTATGCACAAATCGAGTAAGATACAAGCCAAATAGATGTAAAAACACATTCGCAATGAAAGTTAGACTTACAGTTGTTAGCGGAGTTGTTGCAATGGATCCGGTCGCCTTCGCCCTAAAGTGATATAAAAATATTTTGCAATTTAATTTTCTTTTATGATACCAGGCACTAAATAATGCTCTCCATAGATGTATTCTCTAATCATCATGGCGTTCATAAGACACAAATATATATTCAACGGAAGCAGATATTTGTAAATGTAACCTATAGACATAAAGCGTACCATTCTAAAGTAAGATTGCAAAAATTTTCCGGTGATGCATTTTCCGTATCGAAAAATTTCTCTGGTATCTGACTGCATGTTTGTGGAACAACATATAAGACTGCGTAACTCCTATTTTATAAAGAAGCATATCGTCATTTTGTTAATTTTAACACAATAGCTTATGAATTCTTTGCATAATTCAGGTTGACTCTAGCATTACCAAAATCGCTTAAAAACTTACCACATAATATTTAGGAATGCTGCAGTGAATTGAGCACAAGCCGTAGCAATAAAAAAATAGATCATCTACCAGATTAAAAACAATTTAATTTATTAGGCTCCTTACTATTGATTTTAAAATGTAAAGTTCTGCGCCATACAAAGTTAATATTTACTTACACTTTTTCTATTAAACTTAACCAGATTAATTAGATAAGGTATCATACGAGCTGTGCCTCCCATAGCATTCAACGCAATAAATAGTGGAGATATAACATAGTGCCAATCATTCTGTATAGTATTATGAATAAAGTAGCCAACGACGAAGCACATGATAATCTGAATCCATAATGCATGAAATGAAGCATACTAAGTTAGAAAGTGTTTATAAGACATTAAAGAAACTCCTATTGTAATTTTCTGTGCCTATACGGCTCAGAAGCGCTTTTAAATTTTCGGTATAGGCTAGTACAAGAACTAGCAGCAAGCTAACTATCATAATATTTCATTAAACCTTACCATAATCGTTAACAATCCGCATCGAATAAGAGATATTGTTGAAATGATATTTACAAGATAGTATCTACCAAAGATTAGAAGTAGAGCTCCAATCCATACATATATAGGCATTATTGCTTTATAGCTATATGCGGTATTAGAAAACATAAAATTATCATTCCGAGAAGTAATGAGTATGAAACACCAAACAATCTCAAATATGATTATAAGCTTTGTAAAGATCACATTGCCCGCTAAAAACTGCATAAGTGCACAGCACTAAAGTAGATAGTGTACGTTCTTATCAACTACCTTAAATTAAATAAATCGCCATATGCTTGACTGCCGGATAATACATTGGCAACTTGACAAGTAAAGCTAAAAAAAGAAATCATAAATGACAAATAGAATTTTATTAATTTGCAATTTAATTATTTCCCTTCAATCTAAATTGATAAAGATAGAATAAATAGATTGCTAGGGCTAAGCAGATAGGTCTATATTTCTTACAGAATCATACTTACAAAGTTCCAAAGCAAACAATGTCAAAGATAATAATAGCATAAGATGGTAAGAAAGATTCCGCAATCATATGCAGGTTTACATCAGAATCCTTCTGTTGTTCATCCAACAGCTGATCAATGGTTTTATCGTCAGAATCCTCCTGTAAAATGTAATTTAATCAGTTACAGTTTAATTCATTGCATTAGTCGGTAGTCGCCTAGGTTCATTACAAAACTCGATGATTTCCTGCAACGGCTTCTGATTAGCACTTATTATAAAATGAAGGCTTTCTTTAGTACATAATTATTTTGTAGAACATTGATCATTACGTCAATTATGTTCTATCTAGCCAATGCCTTTTGTAACAATTCTCTATACGTATGGAAGGAACCCGTAATCATAATAACTATATGTAGAAAAGTAAAATTTATTAAATCCATATCTTTCTATAAGGAAAAGTTGTGAACCACGCGCAATATCTACCGCGATTAATCTTTTATTAACTCTTCATAAATAGCGATCGATAACTTTATCAGGGCAACTACTTGTTGCTGCCTAAGCAAAGTATCCTTCACATAGTCATTCTAATGTGTAAAATTAAAAGCATTTATAGTCATCCAAGATGACGTAGCAACTCAGCTTTATCAGCAATTCATCAGCTTGATATCCATTGCGCTGAGAAACTCTATTTCCTTATTTGATCTAACAAAAATTCACTTCGTTTGATTTAGGAGGAATTTATTACAGTTCGGAAGGCTAGGTAAGTGAGTAAATGTTACGGTATCAATTCACTTTTAGAGCATCTTAATTGCTTAAGTCGATGGGATAAAGCCTATAACTTAAATGCTAAATATGATAGTCAATTTACTGTTTCGATTATTACTTAAGATAAAGGTAATGCACCGATGTCATACTTGGTTTCAATTGTTATTAATACATAAAGAGTGAATGAGATACGAACCTTGCTAAAATTAAGGTTATATATACCGCAAGTGATAAATTAAACATCGTTTACTAATAAAGCGCCTATGTTAGAAATGGTTAAAGAACTACTAGATAAAAGTCTATTGCAATATGTTATCTATTAGTCCATGAAATAGTACTAATAAGTGAAGATATATGCTTCAGGAAAGGTGAGTGAAAGATTAGACTTGCTTAAATGTAACATGGCAGATATACGTATAAGAGATACAGTTCTAGAGCAAAATTTTAAAATAGATTGTTCTGTTTTATGCCTCTTAGTCGCGTTTATAGTGAGTGAACTAAATTGATGTGTTAAATTGAATTATTAGATTGCTACAAGAGTACGGATCAGGCCCAGCAGTACTATGTCAGACATCAATCCCAGACAGATGTTACAGGAATTGAACTCAATGGCTTTTTATCTTACGCTGCCTTGCCACATAGTTAATTTATGACATTAAGTCATGACTGATAAAAAATCGTTGAAAGCTTCAAATGACTATAATTGCTATAAAATAAATGCCTATGAAATAAATAAATTGCTAATGTAATCGATGAATGGTATGCGGTAAAAATAGGCTAACACGCAATTTCCTACTTGCTCCACTAACGATTGCTATTGTATTCAATATCAATTAGGACACATCTTGCCGATCTATATAATGTATATATAATGTATACAATTATTTATCTAGACTGAATTAGAAATAATCTAGAATAGGAAGGGGAGGTACCTCGATGTTTGAATAGATTTAACAAAAAAATGATTTCATTGTGGAAATATAATTATTAGCTGACGAAAACAATGACTGCTATTCCCACAGCTATACGATATGAACGTCGCTATAGTAATAGTAAAATAAACTCAATGATCAACTTATCCACTGTCATAAGGTTTACAATAAACTGATTTCCATAACATTCTATACCATATTGTATCATTACCTCGTCTAATAGACGTAGTCATTCCAACTATGCTTAAATATACAATTATGCAAAGTAATGTGCGGTACTCAATTGACACTAGATAGATAGGACCCATGGGTAATGTAGATAATTCCGTTCATTACTAGTTGTTTAAATAAAAGCAAAATATTAACATTTTATGAATTCGTAGGGTGGCGATGCTCCATAAAACCATAGAAAGAAAATCATATCTAGTTTAGTAATGAAAATGGAGGCTTGCATTTCTAATCCATAGGGATAATTCAAATTAATAAAAAATTAAAGACCTAATTCTTTAGGCATAATAAATCAAAAAAATGTTAGAAAGTAAAGTGAAATTATAAAGATTGTGTGTACTCCCTAAGAGGTACAATTCTGGTATATGAGAAAATTTAATTCACTTGTTTTAATGAACACTAATCCGACCCAATCTTTAAAAAGAATAAAAATTGATATGGCTTTATCGATCAGACGATGGTACTACAAATTATTTACGAAAAAATTGGATGCTAATAATTGTCTGGTGCTCGTATGTGTGAAAAGCTATTAACAAACAAATAAAAGATCAGTAAGTAAACTTTTACTACTCGAAAAACTCGTTGCAGTCGTATCTACAGAGCTTTAAACATTACCTTGATATATTTGTACGAATGGCCGTTTCGTCGAATTGCCGACGCCTTTTGTACAATTGCTAAAAAATAATACGACAACGAAACCTACCAGTTGATAAATAATACAAAATAGGTTAAAACAGTGAACAAGAGCAAAAGCGGGAAGAAAATTTTATTATAGTAATGCTTATGGGGTCACTTTTCCAAATTAAAATAGGGACAAATTCGTGTTTCAATGGTAGTAGTTTAATAGACCGTAATAGAAATTTGTTGGCAACTTAGCACTATACATGATATCATGATATGCATCGCATGGTTTTAATACTAGTTTATTGATACATGTTATAATTATTTCTCATACTTCTACAACGAAAGCCAAAGCTGTCACGGCGATGAATGGTTGTATACCAGAGTGAGATAAAGTATCAGGAAGCGCTAAAATAGTATCAAAAAAAGCAGCAACAAGTTGCGTTAATCCAAGACTGTATAAGTTAGAAGAAATAAGGCCGGGTGTACACTATGTTATCGGTGTTGCAACAGGTTGTATCCACTCCTAATATTTAATGTATTATAATCGGTGTATCCAACCTCTTAAATGTACGTCGTATTGAAAACGTAATGAATTAAGTTTAATATCTATTGATATTTCGATAGTATAGTCCTCATTAAAAGTATATGCTTTAGTTTTATAGATTACTACAATTTTATTTATTCCACTATCACGCTAGTAGCTCATCAACCAATAAAGATTATCAATTTTCATCGTCATTTTTGTCTCATTTTAATTACCTAAGAGACCGAATCCTTGAATAGAGGCCAAAAGAATAAAATCTGTACGGAAAAAGATTAAAAATCAATGCTGGTGGATATATACGAATATCATTAATACTTTAACGTTTTCTAGTAACATAGGTACAAATTAAAATGTATAAGATTTTTCAGAGCGTTTACTTACAAACTTGTAAATAGGGCCAGATTGACCGAAAGAACTTTAAACAAGAGAACTTTTTAGGATTGCCATCAAGTTGTGAATTGAAATCCTTTAAGTAATCCTTTTTATTATCAAGTAAAGCTGCCCCTTCGGAATTATCCATAGTATCCTAAAATGCAAAGCTACTAAAGAAATTTAACACCTAAGTCACTAAAACTCAATTACGATTTTGCATGCAATAAGTAATCAAAGTAAATAGGCTTGCTCAGTCAATAATCTAGTGAGCGGGTAAGTAAATCTTATTCTACGAACGGACACCGTCGCTGATACACTACAGTTACTACATCGTTACAGATCATATATATGTGATTATAAGCGGTCACAAGCAAGTGTATGCGATTTATGCAATTCATGATTTCTATCATCATCGCCGATTTCAACTTTTATCCGAATGACTGACACAGACTACACTCTAAGATTGTAGACATTTTTAAGTGCGATTTAACGGTACGTATACTTACGGTATAAGAGGATTTACAGCGGCTACAAAAACAGTAAGAGGTAATGCGGCCCAAGATAAGGTCTGAAATTCTATCTTCCTATGGTGTATGCTTTTTCTTTCGATTTCTCTGGACTTTTCGGTAGCGATAAATAAAAGATTTTAGACTGGATATTACTGGTAGTAGATACGTAAGTTGCGCTCATTCAACTTTATTACTGATCCTTAACATGGCCCTTAACTAGTAATTGAAAAATGGGAACCTGTGTCCAATAACACTGCTCTTATTGCTAGGATTGACACCGACTAAAGAGCAATTGGATTTGCAATAACTATAATTTCGCGCATAATGTAATTAATTAACGGGTTGATGGGCGGATGGACAGACGATCACCTGACTCCAGTAGACTACTCCACTACTTCAGTAGATCTCCATTTGGAGCTAGCGAGCAAATTTTCTTTTTCCTTTCCCTTCCTACAGTGTTTAAGTAAACACTCCCAAGCAGAATTAGGCTCTAGCGAATGCACTTAAAAAGGATAATAAAATAATGGATTTCGATAATATTGACAGACTTCCTTGTTTTATATTACTAATACTTATGTTAATAACTCTATTGGAAGATTGTAATTATTTATATCTCAAATATTGCAGCCAACATATGTTTTAGCTAATTTTTATATTCTAGTAAAGAATATTTTTATAGTAGCACGACACATATGTTACACGCTATCCTACTTAAAGATTAGTTATTTGTAGCATTAAACGTAGCAGACAATATTAATTTAAGCGGCAGCAATTTCGCCCTATAAATACATTTTAGATACTGTGGATTGTAATAGTCTATGTAATATCAAGAATTACTAGAATACGGAAGTTCAATGCCATTTCAATATTTGATTATAGTAAGTGATAAAATTGTGCACATCAATATCAATGCTGTAGCTCTATACACAATGAGCGATTATACCTAAAATAGTAATCAATAACGATCTATTAGGGATTAAGTGGAGTTAATAAGCCCTAGTTTGGACTGGTTACTCATACATTCACTTTATATCTATTCTCAACTCGGTTTGGTTGACTATTAATGGAATGCAGATATCATTGCAGGATTGAACCCTATCTGTTAATATCCCACTTAAGGTTAAATAAGTAGCCAGTATAGTATTTGTGGGCATATTCATATTAACATGATCTTTCTAATACACCATTACTGAAATGAAGCTACAGTGTGAAAAGCGTTATTGGGGAAATTCCGAATGTTTGTGTCCTATAAAATAGCTACAAGAACTCGAAAGAGGCCTAGTAGGTAACAAGGATGAACCCGCAGACATATCATCAATTTATGGATAACGCCGGTAACCTACAACATGTAATCAGCTTACTTATAAATTAAGGAAAGCAAAATAATAGTCGAAGTATGGTATCATACCAGCCTCAACAATACCTTAATAATATAGTTTATTAAAATGCAGGCTGGAAAGACTATTTGGTTAAATATCGCCATTAAATTAAATGCATATGACTATCCAAAGGATAAAATTATCAATATGGTTTATCTGACTAGGAAATTCTAACTAGATAACATTGATTGGACTCTTTTTGATAAGGGATCAGACTAAAATAAAAGCTGGAAGCTATGGAAGAATTATTTTATTGTTGAAAGAGTCAATAAGATAACCTTACTCGATTTAGTTGGATAATAATAACGCTAATCAGTCTCTTCTTGGTATCCTTATTTGATGACCTTCACTTAGACTATAGGCTAGGATTAGTCCTATTAATATTCGATCTCGTTTACACACACAAATTTCTCGACAAGAAAAGGAACGGATGAAAGGTATAGTAATACCGACAATGTACTGCAGTCGTAATCTGCCATTTTACCCGTACTATAATTTTATTAGGTAAACTTAAAATAATAGCGTTCTGATGTACAATACGAATACAACTTTCCGTGACGTAAATATAATCTAATTTTTTAGTATAATAGTATTCCAACTTTTGGTTATTTAGTCGGAGTAAGGATAGCCAATCGTTTTTTATCTGAGTAATATCATTAATGCTAAAGTATAGCCAAGGACTTCTTGGCGCTAGATACACCTGTCTACTAGACAGTGTTCACGATGTACACCATAACCATACAATATATGCTGTATACAGCAAGATAGTCTCAGACGGATAGACTTATTTATACCTGATGAGAGCGAAATATTAAAAATTTGTTACTTAGTATGACGGTTCTTCTGTCGAATTTTTTTCTTAATTGCTTCAACTAATTTAAGAACATTGAACAGTTGACTTTTGATGTTTTTATTTATTTCTTAGAATTATTTTATTTCTTTGAAATTTCTAATACAAACCAACAGTCACTGGTACGATCAGTATACAAGTCACATCATAACAGTGGTCTTTTACTAAATGTTTAAAATGTTAAGCAACATCATCAACGTAAAATCTTCTACGATGAAAGTAAAGATCTACTATTCATTATGGGGTAACGGTGAAGAGATCTTGTTTATCATACCAGGTAACATTGGCGCTAGCGATATTGAATTTTCTTATTTTACACAAAATGTTCCCGATCATTTACGAATCGTCACATTTCATGTTCGTGGTTGTGGTCAATCTAAACCTCCCCAAATTCGTGAATATCCATTAGATTTTTATTGTAAAGATGCTGAAGATTGTGCTGCTATGATGAAAGAATTAGGTTTTGAAAAATATTCAGTCCTAGGATTTTGTGACGGTGGTGTATCAGCTATGATTTTAGCGGCTAAGTATCCGGCTAGTGTTAAAAAATTGATTTTACTATCAACACGCTCTTATTATACCAAAGAAGAACTTGCAATGATTAGTCGATTTGAAAAAGTTGAGAACAATAATCCAAAAGTTTTAAACGACTATCTTAAAATTCACGGTGATATAGCAACCTATCAACAATGCTACGCTAACTACTTAAAAACACAATCAATATTACTTCGCAAAGCTCAGGGCTTATGTCAGTCAGAATTAAGTAAAATTCAAAGTCCAACAATTATTCTACATGGTGAAAATGATTCTCTCACATCTCTTGTTCATGCTTACTATCAGCGAGAGAATATTGCAGGATCTCAATTATATGTCATCCCTAGTGGTTGCCATTTTATACAACATCAATTCCCCGACAAATTTGTCAAGTTTATTCAGGCCTATTTGCTACATGATACTATTAGTGATTGGGAAAATATTTAGACGATATGAATACCATTAAATAATTAATTAATCAATTGAGTATATGGACAGTATTATCATCCATCTACAAATCTCAGCTAGTAACACTGCTTAATCTTTCCACCTTGAATAACCATCAAAGTACATGTCGCTATTTCCTTTACGATTATGAACAGATTATGATGGACAGCTTCACAATTTGGTTGATCAATTAATTGTTAATTTAGTTTATGATTAGTAAAGAAACACTTGCCGTTACTGTACCTATCATGTTTAGTGATGATTGGATTGATCCACAGTAAGATAAGATATCCGGCAATAAGATTCATCACTATTTCTGTTACTACTTTGATATTGTGCTATTACTTTATTAAATAAGACAAAACACCAAGCGATACATTCATCGCTATATTGCAGTATTGCTGATATCTTCTTGGTTGTATAGCAATTAACCTATTACTCTTAATTAATGGTGCACTTCAGTAATTGCGATAACATACTTGTAAAATAAGTTTTAGAGGTCGATACTGTATTATCAACATTAAGATGAAATATCAAGGTAAAAATTGATCATTAGCGGCGTTGTTTGTATTGCTTTCACTGCTTTGGTAGTACCACCACTCCTATGCACACATATGTCTAACTAATATCGTTAGCCGATCTTTGTAACTGATGCACAACCTACTAGTAAAACATAAAGGGTATCTGATGCTCCTGTATAACTCATCAGAGAATCTGTACTTGTAAGTACTGAATATCTTTCCCATTGAAAGCGCTTGTTTAGCAGTTTCTTCTGTAATAAAATATGTTTTGTTAACTCTACTCAACGTCTAAATCAGACCAAGAATGTTACTATGACAGATTTTGTTACTGATTCTCTAATGATTTGCGATACTGTGTGACTCCATCACAAGCCCTAGTAGACAGGTACAGTTTCTAGTAACAGCAAGTCTTGAAAATCAAGGACTATGAACGAACTTCACAGAAATAGTGTGGCTGCTTAAATACGATACTAAACATGTTTAGAAAATAAAAATTGTGAACAACATCACTTGAACTTACATCAATTGATATGCAAATAAAATTCTGTAATAGTATTACCTTCTACGAAGCTAAATTCAATATACGTGAACTATATATCAAAGACATCAATTATACATAACTATTATTGTAAATTATCTTAGATTGGTATGATTTTGACATCTAATTTACTTCTATGCAATATATATAATTCACCAAAACTGCTTTGACATACCCTCCTTTATTTATAAATTATAAATAAGCATAGGAAGGATTTTTTTTTGGACAATCTATTCATTATTTTGTATTTATAACGATATTTTTAAAATGTTGACTCCGTTATCTACATCAGTTTTTGGATTAAAAATTTCTTAATTTCAATACATGTTATCGAATAGTTCGATAGCAGTAGGTTGGCCATAGTGTTATTACATGTGCAGCATCGTATGGGTTTTTGTACTTGCTAGCATGCCCACCGTTCGAATTATCGCCCTGAAGAAAGATATCTGTTTTCTGTATATTTACAGTACATCTGAATCATATATTGTATTATGCTCTATACACTACGTAATATACGAGTATAATTTGTTTAATCGCTCTCTTGCCTAGTACTCGCTCTGATAAACTCTATAACAAGTAAGTAAACTAGTATATATGTTGGCGTAAAACGGCTCTTAAAGTTAGAATATAAATATTGCTTTTGTATAGTACCGTATTTATATTAGTGCATGGTATTGAAATAGACTCACATTCGTATTACTTTTGAAAATATCTTTGTTTATAAACATTACTGTATAAATTATCTTGGTATATTCTATAAATATGACTCTACTATACGTATCCCTTCTGTATTTGATTTATGATACATGTTCTCATATAAATATATATACCAAAGTATACATACTAAAGTTCCATTGAGTCTATTTATGTCTATCTATACATACGTACTGTAGGTTTACAACCGTAGAGTAATCTTTTTATGTGCACACCTCTAGTTCTAAGTCATTACCGAATACCATAGCTATTATTAATAGTATCATCACAGATACAACCATCTTAATTTTACGATAATTAGCAGTGTCATTATTACCTAGAATCTACAATCTCTGCAACAAAACCATACACAGTATAAGAATAATTGTTCACAGTTTATGTACCGTACTATTTGATTTTGCAATGATAGTATTTTCAACCGTAAAAATACACATAAAAGACGAAAGACTTTCAAATAATCTTTGCCTTTCGGATTTGAAACGCATGATAATGCAATTATTGCGATAAAAAGTACGCTAAATGTTAAATTTAGATAAAAATATCAATCGCGTTCGTATATTCCAAATGAACCAGCCAACGTTGTTGAGATATTACATTACAATTGATTATATAATTCGTACCTACGCCTCAGTAAAATACGTAACGCTTCAATTTAAAGAAATAGTCATATTTGAGCATTAAAACAAGCCAAACGCAAGCAATATACAAGAAATAGGTACACAATTAGTTCAAGTAAACTTTTAGTAAAACTAAGCGCAGTCCATGAATTGACACCAATTAGAAGTCTACTAAGCTAACATAGAGTAAAGATTATTCTGATTTTTTGGTGTGTAATATATTTGGTAATTTGGAAATTCCAGCAAAAGCTAAGATAAGGATACAGTGGTTCAGATGTCATAAAAATATAGCCAACTAATTTCATATTGCAAATATAATTATCTACTGTGTAATCATTCATTCATTAAGGTACTACGAAGCGATATAGCTGGTTTCTTATCAAAAATAGAATCATTCATTAATGATAGCAAATCGGCAGTAAATATGCACCGTAATTATAATACAATATAAGACCATATAATTGATCAGTCTTTACAATTCGATTTATATTATTAATGTTAAAAATCTCAAGATACAATAGTACGTAATAAACAATTCAGCATATTTAATAGTAGCAAGTAAAAATTTATTGACCAAGCAGTATACCACAGCTATTGTTTTGATCCAGTATCGCCATTATTAGCAGGAGATTGACGACGAGATTTACCGCTATAAATTGAGCGTAAACTCGATGCCGTCATTTGGTCCTACATAATTAAAATTAAATAAAAAGTTTCATAACGTTAGGTTAAAATTACCGCGCTACTCTATCCGCTATACGTTGTCATTATTGAAACTTTACTACCAAAGAACTACTCCTTCTTCTCAGATCTCTTCTAAACATCACGCTCTTAATCGCTTCAATCCATTCATCTCTATCTTTATCGTTTTCGGGCTACAGAATAATACCATATTTTATTATAAATTGGCACTATTTAGCAAGAATTTGATTATATATTCTACATATCATTGGTAAAATTGATTTCAAGAAATGGAACCTGAATATAAAACGTCCTATTATTGGTCTCCAATTTGAAAAGATGTTCCCTATTATGAATTCTAAGATTGTATTGTGAAGCAATAGAATGCTTTAGAAAAAGCATCACTTCTAAAGATTCTCAATATAAAAGCTCTTCTTACGGATCACTTTTGGAAACGGCTGTCACCTCCCACATGTATATGGTCTTAAGGGCTTCAGGATCCTTTTGATTAAATATTTATAATGAAGAATTGATATCGTATATACACCCTAATACATTTATCCATATATTTATAAAAAAGCAGCCGTTGCTTGTTTTTACCGTCTCATGTCTGAAATATCTCAACTTGACCGCATCAAGGATGAAAAACCTTTTCTTCCAATTTTTAATCTATAAATTTAGAGAGTTACTTTAGTACAAGTTTACATAGCAAATTATACCAAGCATTTCACATTTTAAAACATACATATACTATTGCCGATGCAGTCATTAACCTAAATTGCTGCGGTAAGTTATGTCAATCATATAATCTATTTTCTTCAACACAGCCTTAACATATTGTAATACTAAAATCGTAATGACATACAGTATCCATCATTCAACTGTTCCACTTCTATGATCAAAGCAACGATAGCATTAAATGAAAACATTGCACATTTCCTAACTTTATCTCCTTGCTTATGACAAATTCCAGTACGAACGACATTCCTGTTGTCTCGAAGGTACTGTGTCTCTTTAAATGCAACGGTTGCTTCCTGTCTAGCCCTAACGACTCGTTTTAACCTTTCACTTAAACCTTCACTATCACTGTCGCTTTGTACTACATCATCTCCTAGCTGATATGAAGCATTCGATATAAAAAAACATCTTAAGTATTTCAGCATGATATTTACATTCACGGATAATCTAATGCCTAAAAATACTTAAACTGCCGTCTGTTATACCTCGATCAACTTTTACTATTATTTACCAATAAATTTGTAACCTGCAGCTATTACATAGAATAAAAATAACCTTTATTGGTGTTTTAAGCACTAAACCACCGACTATGTCATTCCTGACACCCATTTTTCCGCTATCTAGGCAGTTTTGTTCTGCTAGTTCACTAGCAATCTTCAGCTTGCCTTGGGTAGGTTTAGCAACATTGGTCGGTAATCTCTTTTTCCAAGAATTTGGATTCTTTACAGTACATTTAAATATGTATATAATATTAATGCATACCATAAGTTATGAGATAACAAATAAATTTAAAATGTACATTCCTCTCTACAGTACAAACATACTATTATAGGATTGCATGAATGTTTAAGCGTACATGCATGCAAAAGTATATGAATAAGTAAATACTATTACTACCGTGCATGCACAATGCATATAAACTGCATGATATAAGTCGTAATTTATTATACTAATTAATAAAACTTCGGCTACAGTAACGAAGCAATTGATTATATCCTTATTACTCATTTAATAAGGTTAGTTATCGTCCGATATTGTCGACACTATACAATAACCCATTGATTTAGTTACATTCGTGCAGCCGATATCACTGTCTATCCTTAAGCAGTAACGTAAACTTACATTTGTCGCTGTAGTGATAGCACTGACCCATTCCTGACGTTCCTCAGCTGTAGGTACTTTAAATAAATAGTAATTGGGCTTTTTGATTGTCATAATTTCTAATGGAGAAAACAACGTATCATTCTGAATGCTTCTCTAAGTCATTAGGAAATGATTACATCAATAATTTAGAGAAAAAATACTACAGACAGCATATGAAGACAATAATGTGATAGAAGGGATTATCAGACAACACAGTAACATAATATTAGTTGATGGTTATCTCGAATTTTTCTAGAGCAAGACGCTATAAAGTTAGAATAATCCGGACTTATAGTATTTACTTACCGAAACAAAATTCATGTTTCTTCTTAGTATCTTTTTGAGAAATCTACGCCAAGTTTTAAGGATAGCATTTGTAGCCATAAGTAGAACATTGGTTTTGTCAATAATATATCAATTAATTAAATTATGTTTTCTTTATCAATCCAATATCGAAGGTTAAAGAAATTACAATTGTAATATCTTATACCATTATCAACGAAAAGTCGACTATGTATCCATTAACTAATGAGGAACAATAAGTTAAATCGTGCAAGGTACCACTACGCTAACTTGACACGATTATTAAAGCAAAGTAATTACCGTCAATTTCAAAGCATTGTGTCGTATAAAGACAGTATTACATACCATGAACAGAAATCTATAGGCGATATCATCGTTTAGATGCATTAGAACTAAAGGGCACTACCATAATTGGCATGCTAATTACTGCGTATATTAACATGACAGCCATTGTTATCAATACAGTAGTATTTTAACAATCACATAATACGAACAGCGACGAACGTAATCAACAACAGGATAATAAATAAATTTTATCTTCAAATAAGATGTTCGCCATTTGAGAATAATTTACAAACTCACTTGGGTTACATATCGTAGATCTAAGTGTTCTGCAGGCTCCGCATTTTTCTAGAAAGCCATATGACATAGTCGGAAGAATTACAAGAATTAGATATTACTAATACTATCAGTAACATGTATTGAAAAGGACAAGATCTTATTCTTTTAAAATATGCACTTGTACTGCTTATATCGATATTTATACAACGTTCTAATTTACTCTTAAACACCGAATATTTAGTTACAGGGAATACAGAACGCTCATATACCGCAAATCAAGAGTAATGTCAATCCTTCAAAGTTAACGCCCTAAGTAGTAGAACTTTCACGTATTATTATTGATGTCGATTGGAGATTTAAAGAACGAAGTTTATAACCTTCAAAGTAAATTATCGTTGTTCTTCGTGTCCATAATAACTGAATGTAACGCAATTTAATTTATAATGGCTACTTATAAAAGAGGCTAAAATTGCATATATAGTACATTACGGAAGTCTTTTATCCTAGTAAGAGATTTAAAAACTAGTAAAATGCAAATTTATATCGATTTACAAAGGTCATGCTTATCAATATCTATAATAAAAATTTAATTAACGCCAGCCATAGCAGTTAAAAAAAGTACACTACCGTCACTAGTTATAATCATTTCAACTGTAAGGAGTGGAAATTAATAAAAAGGGAGAAAAAAAAATTTACAATGTAGGTTTTATCATATCAAAACAACTTTAAAAGTATTTTAAAAACAATAAATACTATAGTGTCCGCACCCATGTATTTTTCATGTATTGAAATTATACAATACAATCTTTACTATTGAAAACTCATGTTATCCTTTTTACATGATTGTAGGCCTAATTTTAAAATCTGCCTGACAATATCGATGACTTTTCAAGACAAGTTGAAATGTAATCAAAACCTGACATACGGATACAGTTGCCTTGTTTGTTATTAAATCAAATACACTTTCGATGAATGTAATGCCTAATATCAGCTATTGAACTGATAGTAGTCATAAGCGTATTGATGCGAAGAAGGGAGTGAAAATGTTGTTGTATCATCGTAGACATAACTTTGATGAAATCTTTTCATCAATGTTGCTCAATATCTTCAAAAAAATGCCAAACAATAATAACATCTATAAAAGCCATCACTTACAACAACTATTACACTATCATTGAAGTAATAACGACATCAATCTATCGGCAGATGCTGCTACTGGCGTCATTGTATATACAGTATTACTAACAGTACATTATAATTTGTTGAAAATATAAACTTGGGTGGAAGTGCAACGCGTAGCATCTGTACAACCCAATGTGTACATTGAGACTAGAATTCATTCAACTCTTTTTTTCTCCATATTGTTTTTTTTTTTTACCTTAGGCTTCTCATTGTGAAGTTCCAACAGTGCTAACTCCTTACATAGTGATAAATAGACTGATGTCCAGATTTCCCTTCCTTTGTCTTTTTCGTCTTGAAGTAGTAACACCGTACCACAAAGATTGTCCTCTATCATTTGAGGCATGGTAGATCAATCAATTTCTTAACCGGATTACCAATTGAATAACTTGATCGTCAGTGTCTTCTCGGTACACGATTGGATGTTAAGTAGTAAATTACAGCACGAGATACGCTACACTTGTTAGGCAGGATTGATCGCTGTGAATACTTGGAATAATTATGATGGCCGTCGAAAGGGGAATAAGCTGTCCAAGTTGATTTAACTCAATCCTCTAATACTGTTTTGTACTGTCGTGGTATACAGTACAGCCTTATTAAGGCCACTTTGTAGCTAACAATCACTATATCGGTCTAATCTACTGGTGAAAAATGAAGCACTATGTAATTAGTAAGTGTAACTGTTATCCTACTTGGGACGATTCTACCAGCTACTACCACCTACGGTTGAGTACATACTTGACTTGGTATTTTTTTATGATATCATTAAAAGAAAGAAGGCCAACTCCACTGCTTGAAATGCGTTGCAAGTTATATTACGGTAATTGCATCAATGGACAATGTATTCCTTTCAATATTTTGGATAGCATTCTAGTCAATATTGAGCTCTATCTACGATAAATCACGGTAGACTACTGTCGAGAGAAGAGTTAGTACAACCTGCAGTGATCACGAAGTATATTGTACAATTGACGTTCAAAAATGGAAGAAAAGTAAATTTGCTGATGACCGTAAATAGAAAGAATATGTTGCGGGCGTACTTCGTTTCATGGGGGTGGGGTGGTTTGTAACCTATACAATCACAAAATGAGAAGCATCGATCATGGTTGTTATGACTGGCAATGGTGGCAAAAGTAGAAAGGAAATTGGATGACAGTAGTTTCGATCGAGTTTGCAATATTTTAATACTTGAACAATATTCTGCATGATTTATTTTGGCGATAAAATTGTGCAAGCATTTAACCATCCAGGTGAAGATAACAATCGTACAGCACATAGTGTATAGTAGTTGTAATTACTGACAATTAAGTATTCTTCCTGTCCGATCGCTGATATTGTCCAGTATACTATGCTATTCTACATGGCTATTACTGTACTGTAATGATGCTTAGGATGTCTATTGGAAAGATTACCAATCCTATGCAAATGATTCTAGCTATGCCGGGCTATACTTACTTTTAAGCTAGGGTAAAAGGCTCAGTGATGATGGCAAGAATGGCTTGATCAGCAGGATTCAACAATCGCCGGCAATCATTGCCAGCACACGAGAAGCAAGGGATCTAATGAAGATTGACGCTTGTAATCCTAATGCTAACGTCCATTCTGTCGTCATCTTGGTTCTTGCGCAGTATGCATGGCTAACATGGACTGTACCGTACCGTACTGTACTGTACTGTACAGTACACTGGCCGAGAGTCACTTGAATACTGTACCGAGTGTACTGTACACTGTACAGTACAGTACAGTACTGTACTTTAGGTTGTTGACTCATTTGCAGTTGAAAGTTGCAATGAGTCAAAGGTTTTACACGTCCCGTAGAGTACAATGTGCACAGTACAGTACTCACTCGCCACGCCCGACAGCCTGGAGTTTCAATACAGTACTGTACAGTACACTGTACTGTACAGTATTAAAAGTTTTGACACACGACCCGTAGAGGTGTACAGTACTGTACAGTACATTGTATTGTACATTGTACAATGCACACGAGGAAGACAGCGCGTGCGTGCACAAAATGTTAAGATAAGTCAATAAAGACAATGTTAATTACTTGTTTTCCTTGTTCGTCTTTTGTTGGCATTTGTAATTGTACAGTACAGTAACAGTAGCCAAAGACTTCAACATGCTGCACGAAGTATTATTGCATCCAGCTCAAACGAAAGTGTAAAGAAATATTCCAAAATTCCAAAAAGTAGTACTGTAGAAGATTACCCTAGTGGCCTAGTCCCCCTACACTGGGCCTACAGTGCTTGTGTCTCTGAGACGAGACGTGACGTAACAACATTTTTGGCGAATATACAGTACGCATGCGGATAGGATCATATGGCCCTTGCGGTCACGAGATTATGGTAGTCAATATTAGCCATACTACTGTACTGTACTGTACACTACAATTTACAGTGTAGTCCATTACTGTACACTGTAAAGATTGTACAGTCCGTCTGTACGAGTGTACTGTATGTCTGTACGTCTGTGCGTGCGTACTATCAGACACTCCTTAGACCGATACAGTACTACACCAGCAGTCTTATGACTAGTCCCTGGTACTGGACTGTATTTTAGAGCTAATCGTCACCTGATTGGCTACCAAGAAATTTCAAATTTTTTCCCGTATTACTGAATCGCTCAGTACTATGTTATACTGTATAGAAGTAAAATATGATCCATCGTGAACGGATATCAGTCATCTTGTTTAGTTATTGACTGTTGCTTTACGCAAGTGTTGCACATTAAAGCAACTGTTATTCCCAATTTGTGAAATACTCCACCTTCAAGCTACATTTCCGCCATTTTTCTACTTGAGAAACAGTGAAAATTGATTGATTGATATCATCACTATCGGTAAAACTTTTCTTTCTTTTGTAAAACCTACTCGATGACAAAATAATCGTCATTCTCTTCCAATTCTTTCAACTACATAGTATACCAGCACAATTTGCAAATCTGATTCATCATCAACGATTACTACCACCACTTCATTTATTTTGCACTATTCTGAATCCAAGTGCTTAATTCGTACTATCATACAAAATGGTGAAAGGGAATAAGTTACCACCTGAGAAGAACATCCAGGTCGCCGTTCGTTGCAGGTAAGTCGATGTCAATTCGTGAAATATAATGTTGTACACTTCCTTGTACAGTATACAGCAATTCATCTTTGACTTCCTGGCGATATGGTATATGGCTATGTAAATTGTGTACCATCACCTTTATCTACTGTATTGGATGGATAATTACAGTTAAAACAGCAAGTGCTATGTATAATCTTGTTAATGCACACGTATTCTGGAATACTTTCTGGCCAGTCATGAACAGATTTCCAAATATAACCGACATCGATATAACCCAAATGCTCGTATTATTATACTGTAATTAGAGAAGAGATAGCGTTATACGTACTATATCTTGATGGCCTTTCACTTGGCTGTATACTGTGCAATAGTAAGCCCTACCATAACAGCTACATACTCTATACAGTGATCTTAATGAAAATGATGACAATTTTTCTATTTTATACGTTACAATCACTGCATTGCTGACGGATTACAAGTTAGGCTAATATTAAAGCTGTTATGTAGTATATTAAAATGCTAGCAATGTACGCATTTAGTACAGTAAAATTTATTTGCGTATGGTTCATTGTTTCAGACAATGTTACATTTGTTACATTTGTTACATTTCTGATCATAATTATAATTATAACCGCAATGATAAATGTTTCATAGCATGTTAGACATTTTTAAAATAATTATATAATCAATTGATGAAGTTAATATTACTTTTCCTGATTAATTTATGCATTAAATTCTCTTCGTAGGCCATTAAATAGTAATGAAATGAAAGGTAATTCATCTGTAGCGGTCGAATGCACAAAAAAGGAAGTAGAAGTTATGCAAGAAATTGCTGATAAGCAAACGAGCAAAACATTTACTTTCGACAAAGTATTTGGACCCGAATCCAGTCAAATTGATGTTTACAAAGGTGTTGTTGCACCTACACTAGACGCAGTTTTAATGGGATACAACTGTACTGTATTTGCGTAAGTTGTACATTGATACACTCTAAGCTATCCATCTACCAATACGATAAACAGATACCATTAACATTTCGTAATTATTATAATTAATTACTGTTCTTAGGTATGGCCAAACAGGTACAGGAAAAACTTACACCATGGAGGGCGAGAGAGATCCCAATAAGCACCTATCATGGGAAGAAGTATGTGACAAATTCCTTCATTTAAATCTATGAATTTCCAACAATCAGTTTTGCTCTCTTGATATGCAAAGCATTTACCACTTTATATAGGATCCATCATCCGGCATTATCCCTAGGACATTACATCAACTTTTTGAAAAGTTAACGAGTCAGGTATTTAACGACGATACTACTATTCTTTACTGCTAACCTTCTAAATAGTGTAATTCTAAACTTTCATGAAATAAAATGCAGAAATTAGTATGTTTTTTAATAATCTTGTTCTGATTGGGAGTTCATGGATATTTTTTGACCTGGTGTTATTTTTTGGTATTTCAACTATACAGAATTTTGAATTCTCGGTGAGAGTATCATTTGTCGAATTATACAATGAAGAACTCTTTGATTTACTAAGCCCTAGCGAAATAGATCATAAGAAATTACGAATTTTCGAAGATTCAGCAAGAAAGGTTAACAATTTAGTACCTTAATATGACAACATTATTAAAGTTGTAGCAAATTAATAACAGTAAAAATATCTGGTATACCATACAATCACTGTAATATCAGCGTGACGGAAAATGATAAAAGTAAAATGCTTACATGTTACAATGTAGGGAAGTGTCATTATTCAAGGCGTTGAAGAAATTATTGTACACACTAAAGATGAAGTTTACGGTATCATGGAAAGAGGTGCCGCACGACGGCAAACTGCATCAACTCTAATGAATGCTTCTTCCAGGTTAGGCTAAGCTAATTTTGCGATGCAACCATAAAGTTTTGATAACTATCTAACATGTAATTCTTGACTTGTATAGTCGATCACATACAATTTTCTCAGTAACTATTCACCTCAAAGAAAACACTATGGAAGGCGATGAATTTCTTAAAACTGGAAAATTGAATTTGGTACTATTTTAAATTCCTATGACGTTAATTATAATATTCTCTAATTTTACCCTTTTCTAATTTACCTGGCTCTAGGTTGATCTTGCAGGCAGCGAAAATGTTGGAAGGTCTGGAGCTGTTGATAAAAGAGCTCGTGAAGCTGGTATAATGACTACCTTCTTTATATACTACATAAATACAATATTCTAATGCAACAACCCATTCATCTCGTTATCTAATTTATGTAACTTTAAACAGGTAACATCAATCAAAGTTTACTGACGTTAGGGCGAGTAATCACTGCCCTTGTTGAAAGAACACCCCATATTCCTTACCGGTAAGTAACTCGCTAAATTTCCATCAGCTTTAGAGTCGCTTCTTTAGTCGCTATCTACCTTAATTGCTTGTTAATTCTTAATATACGATTACAACTCTTAAGCATTACAGAATAAAACAATAATATTTCATAATATAATGTTAGAGAAAGCAAATTAACACGACTATTGCAAGATTCTTTGGGTGGCAGAACGAAAACTTCTATTATTGCAACAATATCTCCTGCTTCATGCAATCTGGATGTAAGCGTTATGTTAGCAGTTTATATTAGATTACAATTTATTATATATGCTAGTATAGCCGGGCGTATACAAAAACGCCCGCTGAAGATGTCTAGTCCATTTATCGCGCTCGTATTGTACTCGTTTAATGTATACGCATGTATAATACAAAATGACGTTCACGCCTAAGAATTAACAGTAACATTACGATTATTTACAGGAAACATTAAGCACCCTGGATTATGCTCATCGTGCAAAGCATATTACCAACAGGCCGGAAATCAATCAGCGGCTTACTAAACGCGCTCTTATTAAAGTGATTAAAAATTTTTCAATTTGGTTACAACACTATATCAATACATTCATATACTTTTTTTAAATTGGAACAATAGGAATATACCGAGGAAATTGAGCGACTTAGAAAAGATCTAGTTGCATCTCGAGAGAAGAATGGTATTTACTTGTCTGAGGAAAATTACAGGTAACTGTAGCAGTCTCTGTTTAACTTCATCGCAATATGGTATACATTTAAGCTAATTTACACCAGTCTTAATCTGTATAGCAATCATCCACTTAAGGCTTTTAGAAAACATCATAAATTATTATGTGATTTAATAGCATATAATTTACTAGGGCATGTATATTTCTTTTAATTAGAACAATGGAAACAACGTTACGACAACAAAGTGAAGCCATCAACGAAATGGAAGAAAAAATAAAAGCGTACTGTGAAGAGATCGAAAAGGTAATGCAATCCTAACTTATTGTCATCTATTGGTACGTACTAAGCTTATGGCATCCTGTTGTATTAGATAACCGGTCTGTTTACCCAAACTAAAGAAGAACTTGCAACAACAACTACAAAATTATCCCAAACTGAGAACGTCCTACATAACACTTCGAATAAATTAACTGCAACAACCCACGTAAGCTGCATACCGGATATACGTTTATGTCTTACTGACTTATGAAATATCTAAATTACTGAGATAAATTCTTAAACCTTTTAGGCATTACAAGTGAGTAGTCGTGCAAATGAAGAAAAGCAGCACCTATTGAAAACTCACGTTGAAAACGAAGCTGTCTTACATACGCAAGCTAAACAGGTACGCATCAACTGCTTTGTACGGTGTCCCAAGCTTCTACATCTATTTAATTGGTGCATATATGGTTATTTCTTAACTATCAGTTGATAAGTGTTGTCAATGAAACAATAAGCGACGTTGAAGGTCTACATTCCAAGCTGGATCGAAAGAAAAAAACTGAAAGTCATAATGAAGATCAAGTATCCGGCTTTCAAAAGGTAAGTCACGCCTTTTAATCAATTATTGAATAATATCGTAATAGCTTCAGAAGTAGAACATGCATAAATGCTTGTACTTACTTATATTTACAACAGGCATTTGCAAAGACCGTAAATCAATTGAAAAATACATTTGTTCAACATCACAATGACCAGGCAGATTTCCTGCAATCTTTAAATGATATCTTTGGTAAATTTCGATATGTACAGATTCAGTAAATTACTAGATATTATTTGACAAATTAATCGGACTGGTATCACTATGTATAGTTACAGAATCACGAAAAAGGACTAATGAATTAGCAAAAATCGATAGGATGCTCGATGGATTGAAAACCGACGTTCAAGAAAGGCTGTACAGTAGCATAAGTAAAACTGAGGTAAACACCATTACAACTATTTTGTAAATTCTGTAAAGGTGTCACATAACCGTTTATCTTTTAATGAATTAAATCAATCAAATACTAAAATTTCAACAGTCCGATTTAAATAATTTCAACCGATGGACTTCTGACTTCAATGAAAAACTTAGCACAAATCAGGTGCCTCCTATAAAGATTTACAAAATTTTAGTACATTAATTATACAAGTGAAAGAAGTTATGCGTAAGGTTCACTATTAACTTGCCGCATTACTACTTTCTAGGACGACCTTGTATCTATAATAAACGAATTTGTGACTAATGAACTCGCTAACTTTCTTACCGCGGCCCGTGATAACGTTTCAAGTCAGTTGCTTGCACTGGAATTGTCTAAAAATGAAACTGTTCAAAAAGTGAGACAGATTGCTATCAGAATATGTTTTTTAATTTAAAGAGCACTTTGAACCAAAGTCTTTCAGTCTCATAAAAGGTAGTGAAGAAGCATCCCAATAAGTGATTTATTTTGTGTAGATTACGTCATTTAAGAAGTTAATGCAAAATCAGTTTCATGATATTATGAATGAAGTTGACCATATTCGAAAAGAGATGAAAGACCAATCTCTCGAGCAGGTATACAGTGGTATAACCTTAGTTGCTTAAGTAGCATTCTTGTAAAAGAATCTATTTACTTACTATCACGATCGCAACTTTTTTACTAGGTATCCAATTTAGAAAAACACCAACGGCAAGTCCAAGATACAACCGAAACGCATTGCGATCAGCAACAGGTTAGTGAATCTTCTTCTTTTAACAATTTTATAAACGTAACGTTTTACCAATCAAATATATTTGCAATGCCTTAGAAATTGACTGAAGCTGCCATACAAAATATTACCAATATTTTGAAAGATCTTCAGCAAAATACGTCATCCAATCTTAAATCGCGAACTATAGAGGTAACGCATTGTTAATGATAATTTACGAGAAGGAAGCTACACTTAATAAATACCATCTGATATGCACACTTTTAGATAAGGAATGATATACAGGACAGTATCAAAAATGCTACAAGTGCAGGATCAATTACTGATAGGTATTACAGAGTATTAGATATAACAAATGATTATCAAGAAACAACTTATTTGACCGATGTTATATGTATGGTTTAATATTTAGTCATTTAAGTAACCTGTATGACGAAGTTAGCCAAGTAGAAAATCATCTTTCAGAAAATTATTGCGATCTTGAACGCGACGTTGGAATGAAAATGCAAGACGTACGTAAATTCGAACCGATTTGCTAACACCATTCAGTACTAAGTTTTTCATATTTCTCGGTATTCAGTCAGCAAATTTCGTCAATGGAGCTTCCGCCCTTATAGATAAGCATGAGGGAAACGTATCACAAATCATGAATACAATGTCTACGGTATCAATTTGAATTTTGCATCAACGATTTTATTTTTGTACTGTTGCGTTATAACACAATGAAATTAAGTACATGATATGTTTTCGTCGTGTAGAGGATAGTCTCCGGCCATAAAACATCACACGATCTTCTTGATGCACAGGCTACTCAATCAGAAGAGAACGCATGTAGAAATAAGCGATATCTTCTTGTAAGTGTAGCTTAGGTGTCTTATAAGTTATAGCGAAGATATATCAATCTACAATTTGTAATAGCCTAACAAATGATATTAACCATCATATCGATAAATATTTACCGACTGAAATACCGTACTGAGTAGGAGTTAATAGGAAGTTCAGGCCAGAATCATGAAGAAATAGTTGGTACCGTAAATGATTCATTCGCTACAACACAAGCATTTTTATCATCTGTTATGGATAAAGTAGAAAATCAGCAAAATACCATATCAGAAGATGCAAATAATTACCAGGTATCATTATCTGACATGAAATCAAATGTGGACCATTTTATCTCTCAAGATCTAATCAAGGATTTACCAACGGGTAAGTTTAAATTTCATTCAACCTATACGATAATCTTATCATCATCAAAGTTAATTTTATTTTTATCTTCCAAGGCAAAACACCACAACGACGCCAGTTCACTTATCCAACCAACTTAATCAAAACAGCCGATCACAAAAACATTTTGCATCAATACCGATCGAACATGGGATATCTGGTAAATGAAGCCTTTTAAAAATACAGAAAAATTTATCAACACCTTTGTATCAAGTTATTACACAATCTAAAAGTAAAACAGACTAATTAATCCAAATGAATGGATTTCTGTCCCTATATTACTATAATTTTCCTTTATCTCTAGAAACTCGTTATATTAACATTAATGAATGAAATAAAGCTATTAATATGACGATAGAGTACGATACACTATGATTTGAAGAAAATGTGTGCTTAATATAAAGCTTTAAAGCGTTGAGTCAAGCCGTTCACGATAGTATCGCATTTAAGTCTTCCCTTTTCTTTATTATAGAACGAGGATGAAGATGCTGAAATTGATAGAGATGACACAGATTCAATGGATACCAGCCCGGTTGTTCCTCCGACTGCGAATCAAGTAACTACTAACCTTATGTATATTTACGTGTTGAAATAATAACGTACGGCTCCTTTATTGATTTACTACCTTCTAATCAACCTGTGCAGAGTTTACCGGCTTCAATGGATAATCATACACCGAAAAGAGCAATCAATAAAGAAAATGTGCATCGGTCTAACTTTGTCACTCAGGATTTGAGATCTAAGGCGGACGCTATCAAGTCTAACTTACCTAAGAAGAATATTTCCGACCGCTTACCTCGACCACTAAGGAATTCTACAAATAATACTGTTCGATAATGGAATAGTTTCTAAATTTCTCCTCTTGGTCGTAGGAATTTCGGATGTATATTTTATATAATTTAATATACACCTATCTTTTCGTGCAATGAAGTAACTAACGCAAATAATTAATAGAATGAGTTGCATGTAAATTATTAGGATTTGTTTGTATAGTTAATACTGTAACTGAGCCAACAGTTTTTAATATGACTACCTCATATTTTGGCCAAGACTGAAAGGGAGAATATTAAGAAAAATCATCTAAAACTCTTACTGACTGTGTAAGCCTCTAATTACCTTTGTGCTCCGTGGCTAACGTCATGTACGAGCGTATGTTATTTAATACGCAGCGTCATAAGGTTTAAAACTGACTAATTTTTACTCCGTCAATTCGGATATAAATTACTTAAGTAACCTCATTGATATTTTATCTTGACTGTAAAATATGCAACTAAACGTTAACGTTATAATATTACATAAGTAAATAAATAATTGAAACTATATCAAGATGGTCTTCACTTAGTTTGATACCATTTGTTGAAATTGCCTGAATTATTATCCTCAGTATAGACTCTAAAGTCATTATTAGCAATATCTTATATCTTTATGTTACACGTACATGTACGGTGGTGCATTATCGCATATTAATGCATATGAAACATTCTGAACTTTTGGCCATTAATAACCGTTATAAAATTGTAGCACTGCAACGATATTAACAAACAAGAAAGTGATCTTACTGTATCATTTGCTATGATGCAATTGTAATAGTTGGCTCTACAGGTGAGTTACTGTTTACCCAATGTCTATAGTTTAGTACTACTCATATTTATGTATAATCTTGTGGACCGAATTGTCCATCAGTTTCTGCTCCGTCAAGATTACAGGACAATTTATCATACTCAATAGCGACTATTAAAATCATGCAAGGGATTTTTCTAGTGGTGAAGAAAGTTCTCTTTTCCGAATCCAAATTGTCAACAAGCAGTTATGTATAACAATTTGTTGAATAGTCTACGTATAGCAAGCTGAATCTGCTCGTCGAGTTGTTAACGGTAGGTAAATTGAACACTAGTTTAGGAGCGACGCTATACTGTATACTTGGCTGTTGATAGGCTGTACTATCCACTGAATAGTACAGTACAGTAAGTGTTCCATATACTCGCAATAATCGCCTGTGTTCCTACTCGGCAATCCCCAGCATAATCGCTATGGCGACTTGACTAACTTAACTTTAAGGTAATTTTCATATGTAGTAGTCATTTTTAAGAAGAGATTTCATCAGACTGCGATACTGCATTTACAAATACAGCAGCAGAGCCACGGTTCAATGGTGTGGTGGCACTCTATTTTACGGTGTTTCTAGAGGCTCCGTGGTCAGTACTGGAGACCCCATCTAGAGACTGACCAAGACTTTGGAATCGTGAGATCAATGTTGTACAGTACTGTACAGTACAGAACTGGAAGTCTCTATGATCTCTATACAGTACAGTACTGTACACGGTACGGCACAACAATCCTCTGCATCGTACTGTACTGTACAGTAATGAGAAGTTATTCCGAACTCCGATTGTACAGTACAGTACAGTACTGTAGCTTACAGTACGCTGTACTATACTCTAGAGACGCTAGAAAGTCTCTGGCAACGGGGAAGATGGCTGCAATAATTTATCTTGCAATTGCTGCCGTTGCCTCTATATTACTATTTGTCGCTGTAAAATTACTCTCAACCGACACGAAAACAGAAATTAGAACAGGTAAAGCTTGCTTCTGAACTACTGCTGATCAATTCGTACCTGTTAAGGCTCGACTATTTTTGTACTGTATTTGTTACGAATGATTTTCTTTTACTGTCAATCAATACGAGTACTTACTAATGGATCTTTCCGATCGCAGACGATGATGTTGGTGAATTGATTGGAAGAGAAAATCCCGTTCCTCAACGCCCTCGAGCAAGAGCAAGACGTGGCCTAAGAAATAAAACTAATAGGAGCAAAACACAACGCCAGCACGACAACGACTACGACGATTACGATGATGAGTATCAAGGTAAGATCATAGAAATCGGGGGCATCATGACAACATACAGTATATGACATCATTGATTTTCCAATTACCTTTCAATTTCAACGCTATACCTACATAGGATACTAATTTAATACGAATACCAAGCTGATACCTTCATTAACGTTAATTTTGATTCATTAGACGACGGCTTTCTTGAAGAGCCAGTATATGATCGTAAAATGGGTACTAAAAAGTTAAGAAAATTAGAAGAAAAAGCCGAAAAGAAGGCAATGAGAGAAGTAAGAATCGGACTTGATACAGTAGAATAAAATACCAGACCACCTAACGCTTTATCGACTACTATTTGTACAGCCATAAACATTATACCAGTAGATATTCTCTTACTAACTTAAAATTTGAGATAATGTCCCGAATTAGCTAATAAAACAGCACAATTCTGACGTTAAACTTTCAAGATGTGACTTGTTGATAGGATGTCATATTAGGTAGAAACCTAATACAGTTATTAATAAAATTTTCGGTGCTTGCGTTTTTCTTCGTTCAACGAAACTAGCAAATGGAAGCTGAAAGAGAAGACAAAATAAATCGTCAGGAATTGCGAGAACAAAATCGAAGGAAAGAGGAAGAGAGGAAAGCCAAAGAAAGGGAAGAAAAGGTATTAATTAAATGTCCTTCATATAGAATAATTAAAATATCTTAATCTGTAACTAAAGCCACCTATTCTAATAATAAAGGAAGAGGCTGAAAGAAAACTAAAGGAAGAACAAGAAAAGAGAGAGTATGAAGAATATCTACGACTAAAGGAATCATTTTCTGTTGAGAATGAAGGATCAGGGGAAGCGGAAATTGCCCAAGAGGTAGCTAAATTTAGTATTGTCTTTCAGCTACGAATTTTAACTTTGTGCTCATAAATAGAAAATGTAATTAGATACGATACATACGTTACACTCGTAGAATATTTACAACCTAGTTGACATAGCTAGTAGTATTTATCTTGCTTCACCCCAAATTACTTGTTAAATATTTCGTATGTATACTTTGCAGTCCCAATCACTACTCCAAGAATTTATTGATTATATTAAGGTAAGTCGCGGTAATGATTCGCTTCCACTCTACGGTATCCGAAGCACTAGATGCTCCAACGTCCATACCTTTCTTGGGATATTAAATGAAAACGCGTAGTTCTACGTTAAAATAATCTATCCATATGTTAACACTATGACGCTAATTTTCAATATAGAATAACAAAGTGGTTTTACTCGAAGACGTAGCAGCTCATTTCAAATTAAGAACAGAAGTAAGTATATCATTTGAACAAATTAGGCGCGATACTTTTTATCATATTTAAAATGATTGCAGATGTATTTTTGACCGTAGCTGCTCAGTTTTTATACTATACATTGCTGCTTGATCCTGAATTAGATTCAATTTTTGATTGACCTGGTTTTTGATAAACTATTTCAGGACGTCATCAATCGTATTCAAACTTTGCAATCCATGGATAGGTTAACTGGAGTAGTGGATGATCGTGGCAAATATATCTACATATCTGTAGAAGAATTAAATGCTATCGCTAAGTTTATAAAGCAGCGTGGAAGAGTTAGCATCTCTGAATTAGCAGAATCTAGCAATTCTTTAATAAATTTACAATCTGACAGTAAAGCATCGCATACTATCGAATCGGTCAATGACAGTCCAGCTGAAATAAGTGTCAATGCATAATATCAAATTAGTCATTATGTAAGAGAGTTACTGCGTATTTGATATAATAGTATGTATTATACAACACGAGATAATATCAATTTAAAACATTAATTAATGACTTCCTCGAAATTTATTTTTAAATAAATTATCTAATATACGTGCGTATTTCCAGCAGAAATTACTGATTAATACGAAATGCACCATGGCATCAATGCACAATTACAAACGATCTTCAGTTCCTTCTTCCTCGTAGTATCTTGCTTTGCTATGCAGGAATATTTAAATCTAGAACAATCCTACAGTTAAATGGTTGAAGCCCTAATCAGATACTATTACGTTTATCAAAATCAAATCTATCTTTGAACCCTTCAATTATTTCGCTCGATAACATAGCTTGTAAAATTTTTAGAAAGTCAAATATAGGTACTACATTGATACTATCACATTTTATCCTCCTTTGGAGTGTAGTAAACGCGGTTCTACAATGGAAATACCAGCAAAACGATTAAATAACAATGATAATAACTACGTACAGGTTAGCATATATGAGAACCTAATCATTCAACCAGTGCATATTCTGTAGATAGTAATATTTCTTCAGTAATATCAAACTAGAGTATCGAAACAGTAGTGTTGAAGACCAAAGCCTGTTCGCAATCTTAGTATCCATAATCCCATGCATTACAAAAATAAAGTTACTTATTAATCTATGACCTACATGTTAACAGTTAAAGCTGTATATGTGGATATTTTATGTACTTTTTCATAACTACCATTATACCTACATAGTACACACGTTTAAAAATTACAGGCAAAATTGGCATAATGTATACGTCGAGCATTAAAAAGCATAATCTAGTATCTTTACAATACAGATGATCTTCGTTTCGGCGTTTTTCCTGATAAAATAAATTTGAAAAATAAATAAGTGGATAAATTTGCAAATTTGTATAAAGGCATATTAAACCGCAAAAAAGATATTTTGTCTATGTATTTTCGTAAATGTCAGCTAAATTTGATCTTGGTATTATATTTTTACCTGAGGGCTGATCTTTTGCAAATTCACGAGATGACAAATGATTAACTCGCTCTTTAATTTGCAGCAAAGCTGTATTGCAATCTTCTAAACAATTTTCTGTTTTCTCCACTTCTGAATCAAATTGCTTCTCGAATGTTGCAACATCATTTTCATACTGTACTTGCAAATTTTCCATCTTGCTAGCAATATCATCGATTGTATTTTCACAGTACTCAACAGATTCCTATCATACGATGTGTTATCAGTAGAAATGAATTACTGACATTTTGGATAGATGATAACCATCATTAAAATTGATACCTCTATGTCTTTCATATCATTGCTCAGTAAGCCTGTTAGGGTATCAGATAGGCCTAGCCCATAGGCCTACGTGCACAAATTTTTGATTAATTTAATGATTAAGTAAGAAGATTAGAGCAATATACTTGTAGCAAAAATATTCCGTCTCTTCACGAGAGTATTACATGACTTACCCTGGTCACATCGCTTTTTATGTTTTCAATTTGCTCCTGAATATCAATTGTAAAATGATCTTCCATATATTTGATTTTCGGATACTGCTTCGAAAATTTTTCAAAAAGACAAAATACCAGCAGCAATACAATATTAAAGTCAATTTAATTAAAAATCTCACGAAGAGTTATTTCCAGTTCGACTTGATATTATTTTTGTATTGTCATCTGGTTAGATTTACCTCTTGCACTTCTTCACACAGGCTTATATTAAATGTTTCCAGAGTCTCATTAATCTCATCTTTGGCTTTATGGATCAAATTTATTGTTTCTTGATATTCTCTATAATTATTTTTGTAGGAAACATATAGTATTTTCATCTAAGTGCTGTCAGATTTATTCTTCCTTGAACAAGTTATTTTATCTCCCATATAATATAGAAAATAAATACATTCTCAGGAGAAGTACACTTGATCACCTACCCTTGTATTAATAATGAATCATTGGTGCTTTTTATTCCGTTACTATTAACCTCAGAATTAATCTGAAAACTAAAGTTAATCAATCCAGAAACAAATATAAATTATAATTTAAACTACATAATCTTAAAGCTCGCTCCCTACTGTTTCCATAGCTTGATTGAATTCCTCCGATTGCAAACTACTAAATTGATGAATAGAATCCATTATCTTTTTAATCAAATCTTCAACCCTATTCTAGATTAAAGAAGAAAATATAAATTATTAAATCCGACGTTATTCTTATAATGACAAACAAATAATCAGTCCTACATACTGAATGCACTTATAGAAATGTTGTACCTGCTGGTCGCTAAAAAAACTTTCTAAACGCATTTCAATCATAGATTGCTGATTTATTAATTTTTCCATCTGTGAGAATGAAAATATTTTCCTTCAACTTAAAGAATAACTAAGTTATGCTTTCAAATTTCAAGATATCTTACCAAATGCTGACGATATAATTCAGTGGATTGATATTGTGAATGGACTCTACTTTCAATTGCGATAATTTGATTTTCAATAATAGATTGCAAGCGAGTCATCTAAAATTATATTCGTTCACAATCGTGTTATAAACTGATAGTATTCCATCAAAGTATGTAAATATAAATGACGACTCACATCGTCAAGGGATCGTATGGTCGCATTCTTAGATGAGGAAATGTATGATTCGAGTAATTGCTGCATTTGTTGAGTACAAGTACCAACCAATTGATTCATTAACTGCCGAATTGCATTATCCCACTTCTATAAAGGTTTAAAAGATAGTATTTATGTGTTCTATATTAATATGGTATAAGACTGATGATTCTTGCTCAAACCTTTTCTGGTACACTAGAATGAGCTATTTGTTGAGCAAATTCCTGATCTTCCGTTAATAACTAGAAAATTAATATTTTAAATGGCATTAATTTTTAAAGAATTATTCAGCCTGCAGACAGCTCAATATGTCATAAGTTAAATTAAATGCTGAATAAATTATATTTACTGCGAATTGTTTGTTATAGATAGTAATGATAACTCCAAGATTATGGATGACCACATCAAGTAATTTCTTGAGACAATCAATCTCTTGGCGGTTCCTGTTCATTTCCAATTCTATCAATCAATCCACAGTAAATATTAATTCATACCATATGTATGAATTAGCAGGTTTTCAAGTATACGCATTCTGCAAGCTAATATCAAATGGAAAAATATTAACGCTTAATCTCACTTAATTCTCCTTTAATTTTTTTAAAGTATGCTAAACGTTCATTGCGGTAACGATCCACTAGCAAATTTAGGTGATCGGTAGTATTTAAGATATCCTATCAACAACGATAAGAGTAGCAGAAATTATGAATACTCAAAAGCCTTAATTTCACTAAAATAATTGTCAAGTATTATTTAAGCTATTGATAGCGTTACAGTAGACAAAAAATTGCTAAAATGCTATCATAGACTACTCTAATTTCATATGATACACACGTAGCTAAAATTTTGCATATGCAATTCATTAGTTGATTGTAGTTTTGCTTTCCTTTCTAACGTTACATGCAAACTTTCGATATCTTGATAAGCTGAACGCACCGTTCCTTGTAGCTAATTAAATAAGACACATAAAATATCTTATTTTATTTCTTATTCAAAATTAACCTGATTTCTAACTTAGTATTAGCTGAAACTTATTCTGTTCACAATAAGCACATATTAGATTTCTTGATTAGCCAACAAACCATAATTGTGCCTTGTTTAAGCTCATATTCTGCTTTGGCATAGTTTTCAACGATTCCTTGCTGCTCATTAAGTTTATTAGAGATTTGTTTAACTTCCTATATAGTATAAAATAGACTACTACGAATATTGTAACAAAGGTTACGTTAAGAATTTATATTATAAGCAATATTAATTTGGTAAAGCAACAGCGAAGGAATTCCTAGCATAGTCTTTTAAATTACATTGCGTAATTCAGAAATATGAACACGTTGTAATTTTATTTCTTCTTTCTGATTCTCAATATCAGTAGACCTTTTATCGATTTCAGCTTGCGCATTCACCAAAGCTTTTTGTAACTAAAATGAATGGAAAGTTTATTTTTGTGGATATAATTTCTCTATCTGTCCATATCGCATTTTTAAAACCGATTCATTTATAAAAACAGCAAAGAATACGACTTAAATAGGAAAGCATATATGTAATTGAGATTCTTTATTATATATTTATTTAATATACAGTATCTTGATAGATTAAAAATTTCTAAAACTGTTATAGTTACTAAAACTGTAGCATTTCCAAATAATAAATGTCGGTAACGTATCGTTACAATAGGTTTGTAATCAATAGCAGCTCCTCTCCCATTTTTAATGAGCTAATTGATGTAGATTTATCCGAAAATGAGATAAATATAAAATTCATAAAAAAAATAGAATCTATTACAGTAAATTTAATTTGCAAGAGTTCCTGCTAGATGTATTTATAGCAGTAGAAATATCTCTACTAAAGTGAACTTACTGAATTGGATTTATCCACTTCAGCTCTAAGTTGTAACTTTAATCGCGTAATTTCATCTGATTGCCTCTGTAGATCTCCTTCTAATTGCCTAGCATCAAAAAGTAATGGGATCTTGACATAATATCTATAGAACAGCTACTTAAAAATAAGCACAAATTTCTATAAGGAATACAATTACTTGTAAGTATCTTGTGGTAAATAAACTCCAGTTTTTTCACGACATGCCATCAATCCACGTCTTAATTTTATATTTTCATCTATAATGTCCTTCATAGCATAGATAAATATCGTTATCCTCATTAAGATACAATGAGAAAGAAAAGCCGATATTCTCTTCAAGGCGGTTAGCATTACCTTTAAAACAATCCTTCTCAATTTTCTCTGATTCACTTCAGGTTTGTTGGTGATCTTCTTAGCTCTTCGAGCATACTCTAAAGTACTTACCGTTTCCTTATATTTAATGTAAGAAATTAGCTGAAGAAAAATATCATCCGAATCTAAAGCGTAGTTTTGCATCTCTTGCAAGTCATGATGATTCAACTTACTCAATACCTCTAGATCACGCGATTGTAAGGAAATGGTAGCAATAATTGATGTTTTGGTCTGTCCTCCCAAAGAATCTTGTAATAATCGAGTTAACTTACTTTCTCTGATCAATTATAGTGATAGTATATTGCATGAATAGATATTGCGTTGATGAAAATTTAATTAATCATATCGTGCTAGTCTATCGTTGATCTAACCTATACGGTATATGCGATTTGCCATCTACGAGAGCATTAATAACCCGACCTAACGTCAATAAACTTTGGTTTATATTGCCTAAATATTAGCGTTTTAATAAAATTAAACAGAAATGTTAGAAATGAATATTATTCGATTTACTATGACATTTCCCACGAGTCCTTTTGACTGTTATTATACAGACAATAATGGAATCATTAATTGCTTGATCATAGCTTATATAAACTTTGTTTTAATTTAAGTAATACATGCACATAAACATAAGAATACTATCCTATGAAACAGATTTTAAATACGCTAGTTACCGAAACACTATAAATGACTTGTGGAATGATTATGCTAGATTGCTATTTCAGATTTATGTAAGGTAAAGAAATATATCTAGTGAATCTGTGACATATTTATCATATATTAATTGTTCTCGGATAAACGGAAAGCATTAACTGGATTTAATATTACCAGCTTCTCGTGCTCTTCGCTCTGAAGCACCAGAGCGGCTAATATTCTCGCTTCCAGCTAAATCGATCTAAATCCAGTATGGTATTGTTAATGAAATGGCACTACATTGAAAAGATTTAAGGAAAATTAATTACCAGATTGAGTTTACCAATCTTCATAGTTTCTTCCTTGGCAAATTCCGCAGTTGAAAATCCCTTGTCCTTCATTTCCATACTAATGGTTAGTAAAGTATGAGAACGGCTACAAAAGTATAAATAAGAATTTTTATAGATTTTTGTTTATAGCCGCTTGTGGTTCAAATTTGTAAAGAATCGCTATGATTACTTTTCTTTCAGTTTGATTTCTTCTTACCTTGAACTTGCATTTAATTCTGTTTCAGCAATCTGCCGTCTAGCTGCTCCCCTGTTCAGCACGTCAAAGGCTTCATTTTTGCATCGAATAAGTACTTCCTCGGCACCATGTACAACTACTTTGCCCTATACACGTATTAATTTTTTGTTATAATCGGTCAAGATGATCCTAATATGATAGTCTATAAAAGCTGATACATCATCTTGCAATAAAATGTAATTAATGATTATATTAAAGGATATTTCTATCAACGTCTAGATATTTTTATTCTTATAAGGGTAACATAGAATATCCAAGTTTTTTTATCCGAGAGAAGCGACTGGAAGGTATGATTTTATAAAGTTATTTACTTTTTTGGATGAATCCTCAAAGATTCTTAATTTTTTCTGGCTTTCAATGTTTCCAAGACATAACAAATCATAAATATCTTCATTGTATAATTCTAGATATGATATCCTCATAGTGTAATCGCCCTAAAGAATAAATAATTGTTAAAGTCATATACTTTATGGCCTTGGATAAGGGTTTACTCTACTTTTTGTAACTGTAACAGATCTACGTAGTATAAGTAGGTCTTGCCAAAGCCATAATGAATCTTTTTGGGCGCAATTCTAATTCTAGCCTTAGTATATATATATTATGTAACTGCCAAGGAGCACCTGTAATTGATTTAATAAACTTACATCCATTGCTTCTAATCGATCAAATAGTTGCCCTAGTGCTCTTGGTATTATTCCAGCCTTAGGATCCTAGTGTTGAAGGAAACACATTCGGTGCACTTTAATTTCGAGCATCAAATAGCAAATAACATCTTGCGATTTCTTACTTCTTACACTATCTTCGCATTAATGGGGAAAAAAGTTCAAGATAATAACTATAGACGTAATTAACTTACATCTTCCCATGATAAAAAAGCCTGATCATCTCGTTGGCCAATCATAGTATGTGTTTTACCTGTGCCTGTTTGACCATACCTTCATAAAAAATGTTAATTCAATTGAATATTCATGATGAATTACATTAATATGGTCAAAAACAATCTCAAGATCTGTATTTGATCCAACTTTTAAATCACTAAGGAAATTATTATAGCAAAACTATTCATTCACAAAGGAAGGCTTTCAACTGGACAAGATAATCAACGATCGCGATGATTAAATCCTACTCCCTTTCCTTCATCAATTTTATAATAGAGCTCATGCCACACTATCATCATTATTAAAGTGACCTATTACTTTTATAGCTAGATTAAAAATGGAGATTTCGACGATACTCACGCAAATAGAGTACAATTGTAGCCTTCTAAAACTTCTTCTATCATAGGTATAACCATGGACTTATAGATATTCAATTGATTAGTTTCAGGTGTAAAAATCCGATCAAAGGTATAAATTTTAGTCGATTTATCGTTTAAGTGGAGGCGCAATTCTTGTCGATCATTTATAATTTCTACGTTTAGATTACTTCCTCGATCTGGCAATGGAATAGGGCTGAAATGTATATCAGTATATCAGAAAATAATGATCATTTTTGTCATTGCTTCCCTATATTATTAAAACAGCAAGATACGGGCGTACAATAACGATGCAACTAATCTACATTTGTTGCAGGGTAAATAAATATCCTGCTTTATTTTAAACTTGCTATCAACATTAATAAGCCTTCTATCCAAAGTTGTACTAATAAATTCATATTTTGATTTTATTTTTAGCACGTAGATCAAACTACTGTTTGCGCAACCATACCGACATCGGACCGCAACCTGAATATTATTTTTCTCATTGCTTTTATTTGCATTCTTGATCATGACGAGTAAATATCCTGTTGAAGAGGATTGTTAATATTGCCTATGCCAATCAGAAATATTAGTGTATATAGATTCATTGTAATGTAGTAGAAAATTGCCACAATATCTGTTCACTAATTCATGCACTGTAATGAAGATTTTTAGAGTATCGATATGATAAGTGCAAATTCGCACGATAACTGATTAAGTTTAAAAGATACGAATTGTTGACGATGATGGAAATTTACTGTACTTTCTATCCGAAGTAAAAATTTTATAACTTGATTCCACAGGTTAAATTTCAACTTACTCGATATACTTGCTGATTTCTAAGTACACTAAATGTACTGGTTAATGAGTTGGTGGTATCCTTATATAATCCTCTAAATCTTGAGTTATCTATTATAGCTTTGAAATGATTTTAAAGGCAATAAACCAATTACCCCTGTACTACATTAAAATTATTATTACGGAAGTTGTACTTGAATACCAGTATACTGTAAAATCGTTATCATGCAATCGTATCGGTACGAAATCTGCTAATCCCCATCAACTAGGTGCAAACTATATTATATAATCCTCTACACCTTGAGCTGTCTGTCTGTCATAGCTTTTGAAATAATTTTAAAAGGCAATAAACTAATTACTCCTTTACTACATTGTTACGGAAGTTATACTTGAATATACTGTAATCGTTTGCATGCATCAATTGGGTGCAAATTACTTGTGAAAAGTAATTGATGTTTTCACTGCTAGGAGCAAAAGCACGACAGCCTGTCAAAATAATTTGACCCTTTTCACCTATTGTAAAATGTGTTAGGCTTTGGAACGAGTCCATAATGATTGGCTGTGGCAAAATTTGTCATGGTATTTATTATTGTTAATGGAGTCTCTCCTGTAGAAGGCATGGAAAAAAATGCATTAACACAAAAGAAAAAACATTTAGTTTACGGTGGTATTAAACTTACTCAGCGTAAATATTTACTGTATAACTTTTTGAAGAAGATTCTCATTTTTTATATTATCACATTCTTAAATTACTATTTCTAAATTGATTTCCTTTTCCATTGAGCATACAATAAGAGTTGGTTCAATTTCTGAAATTTTCTTATTAATTAACGAGCTCAGACATACATATGTTCATTGCAGGTTATACCGAAGATGTAATTGGCCGTTCCTTTGTCCTATGTACTAGACTGCATTGAGGAAAGATCTCGTCTCATTCGTTGAAACATTGATTTATGAGAGAAAAGCTACTGCAATTTTGACCTCTTTCCAGTTTATTTTCCAATAGTATCAGATCGCTATCTCAAGAGTCCATTCCATACGGCACCTGTTACACTCCTGAGTCATGGACCTCTAAACTCCAGCAGTTCTAATTTACTTGAATGCTGAAATATGAATGAAGACGAGGGCTGGCCAATTGTAAATAGTAAACTGATGAAGTTTTGTGCCAGATATCTTAAATTGATTGCAAAATGAAAGCGATATACTGGCGGCATTGGTAACATTTTATGAGGCAACTACAGTAATGTACGCATCAACTCAAAATCAGTCTAGTAGACATTCCTTGTCCTGTGTTGTTACAGATCCACGTACTTTGTATTAATTATCCACTTCTAACAAGTTCTTGATAAAATCCAAGCAGCCATCAGCATCCATCAAATCGAAATAGATACGTATAGTTGAATTCCTGTCGAATATGTTGTGCACGGCACGGCATGGTGTGTGGATTGATGGACTAATATCGACAACACTGCAGTACAAAATGATCTTTACTACAAGAATTTCACAATTGCAAATTCTGATTAGATTGAGCTGAGAGCCATGAATTAAGAGCTCGTGTAGCAAGCATGAGTCCATTTCGTACCGTAATCAGGGATATTCAACGAGTCCTTGATAGAATCCAACTAGCCATTGCCACCAATTACATTCGAAATATACTTAAATAGTTGAGTTACTTGAATTATCAAAGTTCTTCCACGCACCATGGTGTGAGCTGATCGAGTTGTAGTGTATATGGATTCTTAACCCTAACTCATCACTAGTGTCATTAGCTGGAATGATTCCAGGAGTATAATATCGACATCATTGAAGCACGAAACGGAAGTTTGAAGAATTATCAGTTCTTTATTGAACTGTAGTACATATTGACGCTAAATGCTCATATTTAATACATTGGCAATTAGCTTTACCCCAAAAATAATCTTTGATCATTATCACAGAATAAAGTTATAGAATGGAGCATAGTGATGCGCGACTACTACCTATACTGTATTATTCAATATAGTTACAGTTGCAATCCAATGGAAGAGATAGCAGTTGTACATAAATAATACTTGTTTAAGGTTAAACAGGACCTTTCTCGATTATTGACGTGCTTGACGAACACAAAACATGACTACCATAATTTAGATTCTTATTTTAGACATACGTCCAGTATTAGCGGAGTCGTATAGCATATTGATGTTGATTCCTGTTGTTAATAGTAGATCACATTACTTGCTTGAGGGCTAGGAATCTTTTATCCATATTTGATGCTGATGCCATCAAGACATGGGCTACGAGTACATTTAATGATCCATGACTTCTTAAGAGCTCGTTATAGCAAGTATGAATCCATTTCCTACCTTAGCCATCACCATCCATAAGATCCGACATACACCCTTATAGTTGAATGATCCTGCACAACAACGAATTATTAAGGAAGATCTTGCGCACGCCATAGCGTGTACCAGAAATTCAGAATTGCCAACTCTTCATCAAACTGTAAAAGACATGAACTAACATCTCATAGTAGCAAGCATGAGTCTAACTCGTACCTTAACGTTCTTGAATCTGTATACTACACTCCAATATAAATGCCTACGTTTTCTCCCGCCATATTCGTTTTTGTCAAGGTTACGTCATTGCATGGTTTGCCTGCAAATAAATATATCAAAAATGAAAGGGAGAAAACTTGCAAGACTTGAGTATTGCCTACAGCGAGAGTAAAAAAGAATCTCTGCATCCAGTCCAATAGACTATTGGACTTCACTTAACCTTGATAGGCTACTGGATTTGATGCAAATCCCTCGCCTAGCCATATTGCAAATTTCCAGCCATAAACTGCTCCATGACGGTTCATCACTATTGGTGCTGTTACAGTACACTGCAGTACATAGTTCAGTATAACACGGCTGTTCATCATTAGAATCGTAGACTGTACAGTCTAAACTACCCCGATCCACAGAATCATGCCGAACACACTACACGGTTACTACGGTTACCGTACTACATCAGTGTTTCTATACTGTGGTAAGAACGGGCCCAACTTCTCAAACTTGCTACAGAGGACAGCAATCGCATGTTGGCCATTTTTGGATCTTTTACCAACGTAAAAAGCCTATGATAACAATCGTCCATCATCAAGTCAAGCCTTGATCTGGGTCATATCCAATCCTTCAACTAGAGAGCTATTGGTTATAGCTGTTATCAACTTTGTCGGCTGTAGTTTTGTCAAAGCGATCACCACGTTAAGGTGTTCTCAACTAGCTCGGCCAGTCGTTAGCAAATGCAGATCAAGTGTTGTAAACATTGCACGATTTGAAAAGTCCATTAAGTTCATAATCATCATAAACTATCCATTCCAACTTCAATCTGGTCAATACTGATTCGATTCTGAATATAGCTACAGCTGCACTTCTGTCAAGAGGGTCAGCACTTCAGCACAGTTAGGTGTTACTTTTAGCCAGGACAGTCAAATTTGTGTCGCTGGATAGCCATCGCAGACCGATCATCGTTGCCAATTGGCGCCTTAAAAGACATACCACGCGTATTGGATAACTGTCCCATCATAAACCATCAGTTCAAGCTTTGATCTACGTACAAATACAGTAAGATTATACAGTATCTATCATTCACTTTATCGGTAACTTCCTACTGCCTTAATTTGGCCTTGATAAGGTTGACGAGCTTACCAAACAGAAGGTGTTTTTGCTGCTGACGAAACTCCAGCTCTTCTGGACTAAGAAATTCTGCTGCAGCTGCTGAGAGCTGAGATACTTATATTTATATCTTAAATTTGAAACGAATCACTAGTAGTAGATCTAGCTACAGTCAATTCAAAAGATTGCTATTTGGCCTTTTAATGGTTCTCAAAATTCGAACGTTGAAGTGAAATATTCGCCATTCCTATTGATACTGCACAGCACGCAAGAGCTTATTTCTCGTTACTGATCTCATTTATCAGCCTGTGAGAGGAAAGCACCACATGGCCGACAAAAAGACTTACCGATTTGATTTAGATGGCATGTCAGACATGAGTGACGATACTGGGAATGCATTGCAATCTTCACCTGCTCATAATAGCAGGTAAATAAACATCTCTATTGACTTCATTTAACCTGAAATTGATTTGATTCAATCTTCAATTTTATAGTCCTGTTTACCTGTGTAGTAAGCTGAATCGATAATAGGACAATACTGTAGTTAGTAGCGAATCACTGCGGTATGGATTATACATGATGCACATCAGCTATGCAACGCAAATTTTATTAACATCATTAGAAAAGTATGATACATGATCACCTCATGAAATAGTTTGTAGTCTTACTTTAGCATCAATGCCTATATGTACAGTATGTAATACAGTAAAATTATGAGCCTTTGCTGTCAATCCAACCATGCTGAGTTTATAAATCAAGCAGATTATTTGTTGTCAGGAATCAAGATCTGAAAAGAATTCAATTTTGAAAGTTGAAGTGATCTACAATACTTAGGAGCAGCACTAGCCCGTTAAAATTTTAATGGCTGATATTAACAGTCAATCTTGCATACTGTAGCTGATGATAATTAAGTTGAAATTTAAGTGTCTTACATAAACTGTCAACCTTGCATACGCAGTGTAACTGATGACAATCAATTAAACAATATCCATAGAAATATTATCACATACTACAGTAGTGTGGGACTACGCTATTACTTAAGATCTTTAAGGATAGATTTTCAAGCGATTTACCTCTCAATACGATGTTGTTAGTTCTGAACGCAACGCTTTATCAGGTGCAACATACTGATGTTTTTTTCATTTACTGTTTATGTTGCGCCATCATTGAACGGCGAACAGCATGGATCTTGAATTGGATTCTTTTGAAGATACGGTAGGTCCATGGATAATTTTCAAATTTGATACATGTAAATTATATAATTAATTAGCAACACCAGTCTAGGTGCAGATAGTCATTTTCTACTTTCTCCTTGTAGATCGCATTCTAGTAAAATACCGAACTTACAGCCTTATAATAATAACAATTAACTATACTGTATATAGATAGTATGTACAGATGTCGTAACCGATTTTATTAGACTTTCAAGAATAACATTATCGTAAACTAGTATTACGAATTACGTGCGTTATAGGAATAATTTTAAGCATCTGTAGGATGTACAGTAGATTCATCATACGCGTATATACATAAACAGTATGCAAGTAACTGCCCGAGTTTAGGTTTTGGCCGTTATACTTAGGGGACTGCAATATTTTATTTTATATTAATTATAGGCTTGGTTAGGTAATATCGAGAATCCCGATACGGAAGCACAGGAATATCATTATTCTCTTTCTCAACTGGTCAAAGACAAGGAAAATAAGGTAATTCTAAACTTCTATCTAAGATACATTTGTGTATTACACGTAAGCAAACAATGTGATCGATGCTGCTATTAGTAGTGCATTTCCTCTGTATATTATAATAAATACCTAATGAATAATTAAAGTTAAGGTACGAAATGCGGATGCATTACCTAAATAAGAGCCTATGACTCGTACTATAAAGACTAACATTGTACCTTGATTTCGTTTCAACTTTTAGGAAATGAAAGATAAAGAAATTGCTGCCGAACGGGTAATAATGTATAAAATATTCTATACTATAAATTTAGCACCAACGAAATACATATGCTCATGTCAATTTATCTTACGCATATCTATGCAGAAAAAAATTGAGCAATCTGAATACGAAAATAAAACTCAGGTTAGCGCTACACTGTATTTATTGACTTCATATAGAGAACCTCCGCCTGATTTGTTGAATCATTATCATTGAAGATCTTTTTCAAAATAAATTAGTAAATTTTATGTCATTCGCTTTTATCGTCATCTTGATTAATCGTATATAATTAATCAGATCTCTTTCGAAGAGTTGACAGACGTTATTAATTGTGATTAGGAGACAACAATTACACGTGAAGAGGCAATCGAAGATGCATTCCAAAATAGTGAGGATCTTTGCGTACTTATTATTTAAATAGTTGAATCACGACATACTTTGCTTAATAACCTGTAAACTCTTATTGGCTAACTAGATATTTTTTCTCGGCAATATATACGCGTATACTATTATTGTTACTTTAAGATACGGATTTGTGCTGAATGCCTGGCTCGTCTATCTTAAATATTATTAGTGCTTAAAGTAAATTACTGCATCATGTTAGTAATCGTTTTGTTTCCATGCCGAGCGAGAAATACTTCATTAACTCTTGCAAGTTTCTGTTTGCAATTAATTTTGATAATTATTTTTTATTTCTGTTTTATAGAAAAGGATGGCAAAAATATGTGCGATGCCTTAATATCGGTAAAAATTCCAATCTTATAATATTTGTAACTGTTACTTATCACTTAATTTGATTGTTATCAATTATTGCACGGACTACATTAGCGTACTGCATGATAGCATCTAATCCTATTATTGGAATGAATGGCTAGCATTTCTACGTTCTATCATAAAATACGACTAGGTCGTTGAAAGCACTGATACCACTTCGATTCCTGAAATTAATCCGGGTGTTTCGCTTTTCACGGGGACTTATGTGTGTAACAAAATTCGTATATCTTTGCTATCTACGAAGAAATATATAATTCTGACTTCATTTATTTAAAGACTGTCCCAGATACACAAGCAGCTACTCTCCCTGAAACTGTGTCTGATGAAACGAGTCAATTTTTGCATAAACTATCTGTGGATATCCCGCAAGGTTTGCTTGATGAGATTTATTTCTCACCAGCGCATGACTTATGAGTAATAACTACAAACAGTATCGAAGGGGTCAGTCAACCATTTTGATCTAAATATTTTTGGTAGGTATATCAGCTATTCTGCAACATGTCATTCGGCGTAGATGTTTATCGGATATGTTATATACTGATCTCCTACCCACTTGTGTAAGATTGGCCTTAAACGACAGTAAGTTTATCAGACACGACGTTTTATCAACTACTTTGAATACGTATCTCATTAACCATGATTTGAAGTCCTGTATAGCAATTATCCTATGCAAGTTACTGGAGCCTACCAATTCTTAATGTCAACACTTTCGTCAAAGGTGGGTTTGTGTTTAAGTCAAATTAATAGAGATCTAATGTACTGATCATACTAGATGACTTATTCTACCTATGTAACTATAGAAAAGAAAAACATCCAATCGAGACTTTATTATCTCTACTGATAAATTGCTCAAAGCATGGTTATGTTACGGTAGATTTGAATTAAACCTGCTCCACATGCTTTTTTGGTATACATCTATTGAATTATTTCAATGTAACTATAGGGGCTGAACTAGACAAGATTATGTCTTTATTGGATTTAGAGACTGATATTCAAGAAATGTATCATAGGTATGAGTATTTGACAATAAAGAACTGATATCGTTTACGATGGTTATGTCACATTAGACATCGTTGCAGGTCAAAGGCTAATTTGCCAATTCAACGCGATACTTCCGTTAAACCTAATGGTGCGTTCTAATTATAACAATTCGATGAATTAATATTATTTCATACATATACGCGTAGTTAGCTATCGACTTCGAATGTGGTATAAAAAATCTACTATTTTAAACAATGAAATAACTAGATCCACGCCCGAACTACGTAGAAAACTTGCGGTACACTTTTAAATTTTTAGGAAACTGCTTGAAAGAGTGGTAAGTCTTGCTCATAATTTTTAATCTATGAGCGTATTATAGTAGCCGTAATTATTATTTTAAACTATTAAGTATTACCCATTATGACAATTTTTAGCCCAAACGAGTACAATGTATTGGAAAAAAAAGTTCTACTAGTAATACTTTGTAGCACTGCTTTGGATAACAACTACCGAAGGTTTGTAACTTGTGGAAATATCGGCATTTTCTATAGCGTAAAACTATGTAGGATTAAAAATATTATATGCTTAATTAATCACTTTTAGTCTGTATCTTGTAATGTTTGATATAGTCTGGAAAAAGATATTGCAGTTTGTTGTCACAATATAATGAACAGCTTTGAAGATTCAGTTTGGAAATTACAGGTCGCTTGGATCACCTTAATTGATAATTTTTTAAATGAGTTGTGAATGTAATTAAATTACTGTATGGATCAGCTTCATAATTCTCGGTACATTAATGTATTTTATCCTCTTTAGGCCGTCAATATCGCTTCTTGCATCAGCAGTATTGCCGCTCATATGTACGATTGTTATTATTTAACTACAATTGATACGTGTTGTGAGCGAGGACGGTAAACTTTATTGCAATAAATTTTGATGTAGTACTTTGTAGTGAATATACGATGTACTAATTGCTAATCATTATTATTGTTAAATTTCCTGTAGATCCATCGTCAGTTATATAAGGTATAATTAGTTACATTCATCTTCTGCTTTGTATGGCATTGTTGCATTAAGGCTTTCATAATGTGTATTAGTTGTACTATGATGAGAAAACTAATGAAAGAGAATGGTAATAACTACAACTTCCATTATGATGTTTTCAGTGAAGTACAGGTAAGACTGAAACTTTAGCAATATCAACTTGGGTCGGTCGAATTTGTAAACAGTACGCTTTTTCGAGTCCCATGCTAAAATTAGATATACGGTATGTAAGGGTATTTACAACTAATAATTTGAATGTCATTAAAATTCTTAGGTTTCTGAATTATTGAACATTGTTAACAGTTGGCAAAAACCGGATGAAAAGTCTGATTATTATATATTGTACATGTTTATTCTATTCTTTCGAAATATGATTGTGCTACAACTATCACCATTTGAGAATAGCAGTAGAAAGGTAGTATATCGTCTTTGGTAATTACTTCTCTATACTCAGTAATTGGACGCTTATTACTTAAAATTGAGCTAATCTTATTTTTATCTTGTTTTAATACATTTCTAATGCAATGCAGGCAATTGCCAGCATAGCTGATAAACTTCGATGGCTATTTGACAGTATTAAAGAAAGTGGTCAAGACTTAAAAAGATCTCAGGTTGTAATCGTTTAATAGTTATATACGTACTTGTATTAATAGCTTCGGAATAGTAACGTGATTTAGATCTTTGATCTTGTTTCTCATAAAATAAATTATTTGCAGGTGAAAAATTTAATTTTAAATGTTATTTTTAATCTGGAAGCGGAACTACAAGCAGATTCACGTTCTAATCAGGTAGTTATTCATGTATTAGCTAGTTGCTAATCTTCTTAAGATTCGAATTTATGTGATTTACATTTTCTTGAAGCAATCAAGTTTCAAGTTAATTTAACCGAACATTATTTCTTCTTAATGGCTAACTATAGCGATCCATCGTCGAATACCTTGATTATAGTACAGAAGTAAGTTCTCAATAATCGTTGGGCGTTACGTAACCCATGGTAATGATTATATCCATTGCCAATTGCATTACAATTCGATCTTCAGTTCTAATTTTGGCATACACAAACGGTGTTAATCACCCCTAAACTTGATAATTGTTATTGGCGATCTCCATCGCCGTATCCAGTTCTAAACTAACATGTTACTGTATTTCGTTTCAACGCAAATGCAAGACAAAATTTCATGTAATGATATCCAGATAAATTGACACCGTATTTGTTCGTTTACAAGTTTGTATTCTTTTTTATTTGATTTATTGATTAATTCTTTAAAATAATAAATAGTAAATGTATTCACAATGTGGTATAATTACATTCAGTCCTTGATTTACAGTTGTAATATCCGTAACGTACGGCAATGCAATAGATGACAGGTTATCACTGGTGAATGGGCAGTTACGTAGCATAATTTTCTACATATTTTTTAAATATTATTCATTAATTAAATCGCCCATTAATCGGCTTGGTACTAGTTGAGCGTTATCCTATGCAAGTGGATTCAGATTGTTAATAACTAGCACTATTTTTGTAAAACTCTTTGACTATGCCGTCAATACTATGGTACCTACTGTTACAGAATGATGATATATGATCCGATACACATTCAGGCATTAAAGTAAATCTTTGAATCTTGTTAAAATCATTTCAGGATATTCTTACCCGACACTAGCACTGTATTCCTTTTAATCATATACATATGCACAATTGCTGGGTTGCAACTTGCAAGAGCGTGGAAATAGTTGTTTTACAGATATATTTAATGCATCCGTAACGAACCAGTTTAGCTCTCAAGCAATCAATTGAGCTATAGGCAATCGTACAATACAGCTCCTGTAGGCCAATTAAAAATCAGAACTGCAAGGCAATTCTTTAGCCTTGTTGCTTGTTAAATCGGAAAGTCAAATATTTACACCAAGTTATTCGTACAACCCGCAGGCAAGGGCGTAGCCATCGATTTTGCATATTATAATTACACCGTCTGCAGAATCTAAAATACTGTACAGTACATACCAGAGAACCATGAAAGACTGTCGTTAGGTTGACAATACGTTTTCATATACAAGTCTGTCCATTTACAGTATTTCTTGATATGAGTTTTAAATAGCTACTTTATTGCTTACCCTAAAGCTAGAAAAAGCAACAGTTCCTAAATACCACCCACATACGTACGTTATTTGCATACGAGCTGATATGGCGAAAGGCATTTAATGATATGCTATACCGTACAGTACACGGATAATATAATATAAATTGGCATCATTTTCAATACCTTAATATTGTTACTACAGTTTCAGAGCTATGCATGGCAAATCGATAAATTATCTTTCTAATTCTCCTGTACTTGTACGTATAAACGGTATAATAACTTGCATAACATACGAAATGGCAAAACGTTGCTTAACCCCTCTACCACTACATGTTACGGCGTGAGTTGTACTGTATGCTGGCTGAACCGACCGTACAATCGTACATGCATTAATAACTATTAGTTTGTATTAGAATTTCAAAGAAATAAAATAACATCATAATGTAGTAAAAATGAATAGAAATATCAAGAGCCGATTGCTTAAGGTTGTAATGATCTGTTTATGTGGAATTTGAGCCAAATTTAATGGAAATACCTTGAAGATTTTAAAAGATCGAAGTAAAGGCTGCACTATAGCCAAACAACTTTCAACCAGTACTATACTGTATATCATATACAGTATAGTACTGTACTCAGTGTACATGATGACATACAGTGTGTAGTACTGTACAGTACACTATACAGTACTGTACATTGTATTGTACTATACTGAACTCTACAGAACTTACGAAATAAATGGATGTAGAAAAATAAATAAAATGTCCCCTCTACTTCTTATAAAGTACTATTCACATCAGATCAGACAAAAATTAAGTTATTTTACAATTAGTTTTACGTCCTACACGGGAAATCGGCAGCGAGCGTTGTCACGAAATATCGGTAGCTGCTACTGTACAGTACAGTACTCGTACTGTACTGTTAGAGTACAGTACAGTACAGTATGCACAGTACTGTACGTCTGTACTGTAGTGTTCTGCCATCGTACAGTACTGAGAAGTCACTCCGAAATCCGAATAGACCTGAGAAAGGTTCGGATCCGACTTGAAAGGATGACATATGAATCCAGTACGAAGTCCGATCGTTGAAGTGATTATAATCCGAAAATTAATCCGAAAAATTACATTGTTCGTTAGCCTTTGTAAATCCGTATGGTACATATTCGAGGCCGTATGTACCAGTACGCACCGCACAACTCTGAATCTATGACTCATTCATGAGGGTACGGCCTATGGTACTGTAGTGCGCTTACTGTACATTTAGGACCTGTATGGTAGATCGGATTAATCCGAAAATAATGTTTTTATCCGGTACAACTCCGAATGTTAAAATGTAGCACGAAATCCGGTAGGAATCCGATCGGATCGTCGTCCTACCGGAATTGTTTCGCACTTTGCATCCTATTGGCGACACCTCCTAACGATACTGAGTTGGGTAAGTAGGATAGTAGCTACATTGAAATCGGAAAAGGTAGAATAAAAAAATTTGATCGTCGACCGACTTCAACGACATCGAATTTAGGTGAGACACAATGTCCAAAGTACAGGTACCATTACTGTAACCTGCCGCTTAAGCACGCACCAATTTCGGTAGAAATGAAGTTCAAGAATCGAGCTTAAAAATTTGCAAAATTGGATTTTGTGGTCTTAATGAAAATTACAGATACGTACTAAAAATTTATTTATTTAACATGCCATCTATAGTTAATTGCCGTATGGCTTTCTGTTTGCGTCTCTTCGATTCCTATGAGAATTTGAATAATATGGTTTAAGATCTATCTCCATACAAAATGTTATAAAATTATGAAAGATGCACCTACCGTTTTAGAAAGCACGCACTGTTAAAGTTCAAAGTGCGTATTCCAGCAGCAGGTTACTGTGAATACTTCAGATCAGTGTACTATAGTACAGTAGATGCTTTTATAATTATCATTACAACAGCGTCTAATGTCGGAGAATGTACACTGTACAGTACTGTATGAACAGGTGTGAAATGTCCATCAACTCTGCTGACTCAACACTGAATCATCATCATTTGGCGAATCAATGAATTCAATACTGTATAACGGCGGTATAAATTACTGAAATACGACGTAGATGGTCAATTTTGCAAATTTCAACTTGCTTTTAATCGTGCAAGTCCTTTCTAATACCATTTCCCTTTGTCATAGCTACCATTAGAAATAAAAAACTATCCAACAGAGTATTTGGAGTGATTATCATATTGATGCTAATCCGCTAACCTTTATTAGCATTTTGATGGTGGAACACCTGTTTTATGAATTAATTGTATAATCTATTGATGTGGGTCTACGTAGACACTGTAGAAACTTCGTTAATTAACTGTCTGACTGACCTTCGCACTAGCATAGCAACGGAAATTGGCCTCTACCTGTCACGGCGTGTTATTATTACTGTAAATTGAATTGACTGACAGTTGATTGAATTGAAATAGATGAAAATGACACGTAGTAGCTACAGGTGCAGCATCGTACCGTACGATACGCTGCCAATAACAATACGATAGCGTCCAATACGGTACTATACCGCCGAATACGGTACGGTACCGTACGATACGGTTCTTTGTGCCCACGGACGGATAATACCGATCCGCATCATTACGGATATTCGTAACCGATCGATACACACATAGTGTAGTGTTTTGCAAGACAAAAGAATTGACAAGGTGAAGCGTACTTGGAGATTCAACAAAAGATCCAAGTAAACACCCAACACTAAACAAGCTAAACAGGGCGGGATCCGGAATCCAGCGCCCTTTTTGTAGTTGATTGTTTGCTTTTGTTTTTACAATAGTAGAGGCCAAGTTGACTGTGTGTTGCATGCATACCGCACACTCTATATGTTCTACACAATGTCACTCGACACACCTGATAACAAATGGTAGAAAGTCATCCTCCGCGTCGGCTCATGCCATCGTAACGTTGCATGAGTTGGACAGTACAGTACCAACAGTCACAGGATGGTACAGAAGCACGAGATGACGTTGGCCTACTGCGCCAGTCCACGTCCAATCAAAACCTGGTCAAAACCTTTGCACCACACCAACCTAGAAAGTACAACTCGTTCAAAAGCTGATACTGTTAACAAAGAAATTCTTCATGTCAATCTTGATTTCCATCAATTCTCCTTATTCTTTACTCTTTCAACATTAACTGCGTGACCTCAAAGTGGATGTCAGTTAATCCAACAATACTGTTATGATATGATACTGCAGAATTAATAGGATACAGGTTCTTGTTACTAATACCGTACCGTATCCAATAGAATATAGAGCAGTAGAAGCAAGCAATTCACGTAATTCCATCAAAATCATTGATCAACATACAACTCAGGGGAGCTGCCTCACACTGAAAAAAGGGATATTTCATCTTCAACTATTGCACATTGCAATATCTTGGTCAAAATTGGCGACATAGTTGTCCATTCTACTTTTTTTTTCCTACATCATCGCTATTACAGATAGTTCTCTTGTTGAATTGCCACTTTGATCCTTTACCATATCACATTCAACATGAAAGTAGCAACAATAATCTTGTTGGTATCATTGACCTACTTAACTTGTTTCGAATCGATTAATGCTAGCGAAAGCGATCATGTACATGAAAGCGATGAAGCCTTTGCCAGTGTTATAGCATCAATTATGGCTGCTAGCAATTCCTCCATCAACTTCAACGACGTCAATAACTTGGCTAATCGTATGGTTCCAAATAGGACTTGTGCAGCGACATGTCCCACTGTAAGTTATCAATTTAAGTTTTATTACCTTTCCTACTATCCAGTAACGATCCATTTTTAAAGCAAAATACAAAATAATTGCACTGGCTAAAACTGAAAGAAAGTCACGATCATTAAATTTCGTTAATATTTAAAGTCTTGATACCTTGACATTGGATCAGTTCCTTCTACTCATAGTAACACACTGTAGATTATATCTTACAGAAGGCTTAGTCCATTGCCTTCAAAAAGTACTGATGTTAACCAAACTAAAATCACCCTCTACACACTCTGCAATTGAATATTCAAGTCTATCCTTCCTGTCCTAATTCTCTTCCTTAACATTAACATTTTCTAGTGTTCCACAGCCTCTTACGTATTCAACGCTCTAAATCTGAACCGGACTGGCGCCATCGATAGCCATTCATTCGCTGGAGCTTCACTAATTATAGTGTATACTGTTATTCATAAAGGATGGCATCGTGTATGTAACGCGACAACGAACGCAAAGCCAGGTAATTTTGCTTTTCACTTAGAGCAAATCTTACATGAGTTTGGTAACGAAACTACCCATGGCATGAACGAAAATGGCATTGCCAAATTATTAAAGGAAGTCAACGAAGAGTATGGACCTTCACACCCGATGACGATGGGTCGTAAAGTGAGTGCTAACATTTGCTTTTGCATTGGAGTTGCCATGTGACTTTGTTATTTTGCTGTATCATCTCGTCAACGTATTTAATTTACTCACTATTCGAGCCGCATAACTACGTTAAGCTAATCAAGTTCAATTGACAATTTCTTACGGCATCAGTTAGCAGAAATAATGTTCGCTTTACGATAAGTGAAGCACTTTCTTCTACTACCTAGCGTCACAAGAGACCATCTTTTCTTACAATGATTGTTCCCCGGACAATGCCTTCAAACATTGCTTCGTATCGTACTTGTCTGCTTAAAATGTGCTGATCATTTCGAAAAGATTTTATTCTACTTATAGCGTATTTTATACCTTTAGATATTTCTAGTGATTGCTGTTACTTTACGTTAGTAGAAATTGTTCACTGATCTATGTAAAACAGAGAAGTGAAAGGGCGATCAATGTAGTTCCTAATGTATCCTAAATGGCATTCGTCTTCGTAGTTTTCCCGACGTTACGCTGTCTTGGTAAACTACTTTAATTAAGGATGTACTTAAAGTGCAGTCATTCAACTTTGTCTCTTTTTTTTTTTTACTATCACTATTGCAATATTAGTGAATACTAAAAAAATAGAAGTCCGATCTGGCAACTTCAATAACTATTTGTTCCCCCATGCTTCAAATTAAGTATGCCATTAAAGTTGTAGTACTCAAAACTTGCTTTTCCTCAAAGGAAACGTTTCCTTGCACGGATCGTCATACGACAAATACAACTTTCATTTACTCCTATTTGAAATGATTGCTCCCTTACCCACGATATTGAATACATTCCTTAATTTTACTTTGATGATTACTGATGATAAAGGAATATTACTACCTAGTGTTTTTCCTACTTCTCTGATATTGTTTAGTGCAATTGAAAAATCATCACCAGTCATTATAATAGGCATACCGCAGAGTAGTTAATTTAATTTCTGAGAATTGTTTGATGATTACGTTAGCATCGCCTGACTCTCTTCTACATTGGTGCTATCGTCTGCTATGAGTAAATCCCTCTAGCACAAACACGAGAGGGAAATCATTTCCTACTCCCTTCCGCCATCATCATCCTCCGTGATGATGGACTTTGATCATCTTTACCAAGATCGTTGAAGATGGCTTTGAAATCATCTTGAATTTTTCACAGTAGCATTACCATATTTGGAATGTCTATGCCCCCCCATCTTGATTCTTGTCGATCACCGACGGAAACCTTTGTTTAGCCAAGACAAAGACAAAGCGAACAAGACAAAAGCTTCTATACGGTACGGTACAGTACTGTACACTGTCACAAAGAGGCCGACAACCCGTTCTTGCTAATGTATCTTGAGCTTGATTTGAACTCAAGTGTGGTTCTATACTGCACCATACTGTTCCGCCAGTTGGACTCCCGTTTTAGCTGTTGGACATTCCAGTCTGCACTGTACTCGTACACTAATTAATTAATTAATTCTATATAATTAAAAGTGACGTCAACTAGTTAATTATGCAAGATCGTGACCCGTTATTATTAAGTTGACCAGTTCTCTCACTTAAACCTTTCTTTTCAAGACCTTACTATAGAGTGATTCTTAGGGCGTTAGTGTACAGTGCTGCTAACTATCAATTAATTGTAATTATGTTTGTCTGGACAATTTACAAAATTCGGCGATTTAAAAAAATTGAACGTGTTGAAGGTTAATTTTGACGTCATGGACGGAGTGCGAAATTTCGATTCCAATGATGAGACATTTGCACAACAATATTTACTTCTCACAAATATATTTAACATTTCCAATTGTAGCTTGTAAGGGATACCATCAAACCAAGGGCGTAGCATTTAGAGGAAAACGTGATGCGCTATTATAATAATATCAGTCATTTCCGAGTTATAAATTCAATTGTCATTTCGCTTTAATTACCAAGATGAAAAATAGTAATGCGAGCAAATAGATTTAGATATGTCAAAGGTTCAGTTTGAAATCGTTTCGGAGATGATGGGCGATAAAAAAAATGCTATGTCGTACTGTAGATTTCAGCAACTTACAAACATGACACTGTGTGCTCGACAAATATCATGCCGTGTTCAATATTAGGTCCTTCAATGAACGACTGATTATATAATAACGATTATTATTTACCTCATCTCATATAGTGCTTTAATGTGGACAACCTTTTGAAAGGAGTCAACCACACCGGTCATGGCCACGTAGGGCACAATCACAACACGTACCATCCTGCTACAGAAATTACGCCAAGGATATTAGAAAATCTGGCCAAAGGATTATGCATTAACCTTGCAAATGTTGCCCATAAAGAAGAAGATCATTTCCACGAGATTCTAGAAGCTATTAATGCCAGTAGCAAAGTAGTAATGACCTATCAAGACTTGAATACGTTAGCTATGAAAGTAACGTCTAACAAGAAATGTAGCAACTGCATTGGGGTAAAGTATAAGCTTAACTATGTTATTAATCTATCGTATTGTGTCTATCTTCTTAAAGTAGCTCTCTGTCTTGTTCTATACATTTAATTAATCTCTGCGCGACATATCGATTCTAATTACTGTCGCACTTTATGATATGATTAGATATGAAGAAAGTGTTTTAAAATTCTAATAGCACTTACATTTCGCCCATTTAGTGCACAATACCATCGTACGTCTATTCCTCGATGGGACTCAACACTAACCAGACACTAAATGAAACAAACTTTCCAACAGCTGCGATGATCATGACCTATACACTATTGCCAGAAGGATGGGCTCTAGTCTGTAACCAAACAGCTCAGATAAAGCCTGGCCCTCCTGACAATTATGCTCACAAGCTATTACATGAATTTGGAAATGAAACGCGCATGCAGTATAGCACAGTAGGAATAATTAAAATGTTACAGGAAATAAACAGTACATATGGGACGGCTCATCCTCCAGATGGTCGTACGGTCAGTAAAAGTATTTATAATAAAATAATACTGGTATTTCGACTGATATAAAATCCTCATGACTGGAATCTCTTTCTATCACGGAAAGCTAACACAAACATTATCTTACGAAATTTTACAGTGTTTCTCAGCAACAAGCTTACTTGCTAAAAAGAATGATACTACAACCCATCATGATCATAGTGGACATGATCATCGACGAAAAAGAGCAACTGACGAGCATAATCACTCTAGCTCTAACATTACTGTAGCCAATAACCAATGGTACAATGGATCACAAGTATTTGTGCCTTTAATTGAAAAATTAGTTAAGGGTCATTGTATCCAAGCTAGCTCATCATCAGATGATCACCATGATCATGATCACGCTAACAACACGACACTTCCAGATCAGGCATTTTTTCAACGACACATTTTCGAAATTTATGCCACTAATGGTAATTCTAGGACTTGAAGAATTATCTTTTCGTCTGTGATATTACAATAATAATGAAAAATTTAATAATCTAACTCTATTACTCTCTACTTATACGTGGTAGGACGCGTTAATTTAACCGGATTGCAAAATTTAATGACAAAATTAAAGATTGGTTCCTCATCGGGATCGAATTCCGGCAATTCCGGTCATGATGATCATTCTGGTCATGATCACAAGCGCTCCACTCGTGAAGTACATAATGACCATCAATTTGAAGGAAAGGTAACTGACATCTCTAAGAATTTGAAAAATTTATATTCTATTTTTATGTGTAGTGGGAAGCAAGAAAACAAGTAAAAAATCATATATTGTTTCTTTGTCAAGTAATACCGCCGATGGAGTTATTAATTTATTATTTTTATAATTTTTAAATTGATTATTGTTTCATAGTGCTATTCTGCGTCGCAAATATTCAACATCTTCAAGGTAAGCTCTACCGGAGCTGATGTAAAACAATTCAACTCTCTTTCTCCTGCATTAGTGCAACAAGTTGCAACATCCGCTTGCAATAATGCAACTGTAACTACTAATACAACTGTCGCAGCTGCACCATCAGCTGGTGAAGGTATAGTAACATTTTAAATTTATTGTTATGAGGCGATTAGCGACTTAATTCCACTTTATCACTTTGGGCTTTTAACTGATCTTTAATATTACAGTTTGGGGTTACACTATACTCGCCGTAACTGTGATAACGCTAACGTCGGTAGCAGGAATATTGATTATTCCATGCCTAGGACATACGGTGATTCCTTACGTTATAGCTTACTTGGTAGGTTTAGCCGTTGGATCCTTGGTTGGTGATAGTATAATGCATTTAATCCCTCACGTATGTATCCACAAAACGAAATGATAACTTTTCTAAATTGTTCTATACATATAGTACGTGATATTTAAATTTCACACTCACGATGCAACCTTGATTATAAACCTACGTAGTCAATAACGGAACACGATCACAGTTCACATGCGTCATCTACTAGTGGTGGACTAACTGAAGAACAAGGGAGACTTATGAAGATGTTGGTCTGTGTTGTTGGATTATACGGATTCTATATCTTTGAGACAGTAGTCCTGTTATGTACAAAGCAAAAGAAGATTAGTGATGTAAGAATGTAGACTTGTTTACCATGTTAAAAATGCGTTGCGCGACGTTGTTTACTCACCTTGATTTCATCTTAAAGTAATTTTAAAAAGTTTTCTGGTTACTGTTGTTGAATATTACTAGGCTGAAATTGGCATGAAAGATGTCAACTCTTGTGATAACCCTAGTTTTTCCGATGGTGAAACCAAGACACCGGAAATGGTAGCTTCATCAGAGGTAGATGTTATACCTGCAGCTTAATGTTAGCTTTATGATGACCAAAAGTGATTCTATTATTCATTGAACATATACGAGTATACAGTATGTTAGTAAATTTTCAAACGATTAAAATGTATATAAGTATCTTTTATATAAGACAGTCAATTTATAGTAGATAAGTTATATTAAAACTACCGTTACTATTACAATTTAGGTAAAAAATGATGAACAGGATGGATACGTATCAAAATCAGGTCAAAAGATAGTGTTCTTCGGCCTGACTGCTGTAGGAATTATGGTGGTCGTCGGAGACGGCTTACACAATTTTACTGATGGAATAGCCATCGGCGCCTCTTTTAAATCATCCCTTTCGCTTGGGCTAAGCACATCTGTCGCTGTTTTCTGCCACGAATTACCACAAGAATTAGGTTAACAGAATTAAGTTAATGATTATTTAAAACTTCCATTTTTCACTTATAACTGACCAACCGAATTTCCTTACGTGAATAGGTGATTTTGCTATTTTGTATGCAAGTGGAATGGGATGGAAGAGAGCTTTGATTTATAATCTAATATCAGCTTTGCCATGTTACATTGGAGCAATAATTGGTATCTTTGCTGCCTCTACAGATATTGCTCGTCAATATATGTTTGCAGTAACGGCTGGATTATTTTTATACATAGCTTTGGTAGATCTTGTAAGTTAAGCGGCAATCGCTGTATCAATCGATTTATTATTTTACGATAAAATTGTACCAATTACATAGTTCATAGCTCATGTACGAATTATTGTGCATTCATTATAGATGCCACAAATGACTGGACAAGGAGCTGGTCATACTCACTCGCATTCTCACCGCCGCAAAGATGGTGGCGATAGTCATGAAATTGTTGGAGGTGAAATGAATTGGAAGAAATTTTTGGCATCCAATGTTGGTATCTTGACTGGCTTTACGGCCATGTTTTTACTCGCATTCTTTGAAGAAAATATTATATTTTAATAATCGACTTTAGGTACGGCACTGTTTATAGAATTCTCCTGTAGTAGCACTGTAATAGCCGTACACTCTTCACATCATTTCCAGTTATTGTCATAAATCGTAGAGTGAGTCCTACTAATGTAGTCAGGACCGTAATATAATCTACTTTTGCCCTTATTTGCTGGTTAACACGAAAGATTTACGGAACCTATACAAATACGTTCAATAAATTTATGGACTTGTGTTTGGTAACACATTCTTACCATTACTTATATAATTATATAGTATTAGAAGCGATTTTTTTTACTTTGCACTTATGCAATATATGATATTAATCCTATGTTACATCTCATTAGAAATTGTGCTAAGAAAGGGACAATATTGAACTGTGGTAGTCAATATGTTATTCTAAATTTTCAACAGAACCAATAAAAGTTTTATATTTTTCTTTACGAACATCTGATTTGTTTTGAAGTACACTGTATTGGAAACAATTGATGAGTTAGTAATATATCCTGAAAATTGATAGCAATGGGTACTAAGGATGATACTCTTTCATGGTAATTGAGAATGTATTCAACTAATAGTTAACTAACGTGGAATAGAAGGGCTATATAATCCTGACTTTTCATAAATTATCATCAAGTAGCAAAGCAACACCATCTCAGTTGAAGGGATACATTAATTCTTAGTTACTGGTAACACTTTCAATTGCATAACAAAGTATCAATGTATTATAGCTTACGTCAGCTAGCATTCTAGCTTAGCCAAATATCCAGTCTCGTTAAAGGCACTGGCATTTATCTGAAGAAGAGATGTGACTAAATGGTAAGAGGCCATTTTCCGTTTTGTATACGGTAGTATTTGTCTCATTCATCGATAACACTATTGACGTATTGGTAGAATACCGATGCATATAATAGAATAAAATACTCATTTTTATTACGACATATGTGATTATGCTCTTAAAGGAACTTTAAGCATTTTAACGATAACAAAGATAAAGTAACACCCTGAGTAGTGAACACTCCTATTATTTCAATTTTCCATATCAAAAATAAAACGGTTGATCGTAGTTTAAAATTTTTTTAGCCTTATTACCTCTCAAGAGCGTAATTTGATAATAGAAGCCCTAAAGAGGATTATCATCTGCGCTTGACTATATTTAAATCAAATATCCTCTAATGTTATGTATAGAAATGGCAATATCAACCAGTTGCTAAATAAAGATCCTACATCATAGTACGTATTTGTGGGACAATGGTAGATAGGTAGTTAATACGTCAAAGCACAACCCCTTTAACCTACCTGCTCATTGTCATTGAGCTTTTGAAGAGAAATGGCTTTATTCTTCAACAGTAAACAGAATAATTAATGAATTCATTAATGAGGGACAATGATCGATTTACAAGCAATGCATCAAAGTTGGAATAATGTGAGATTGGTATCTACTATACTAGGTACTGTTATGGATTGTATGGTTAAAAAAAAGAGGTCGATCCATTATACTATCGACAAATACGAGCTTCTTATTCTATGAAATAGGTTTGATCTGTCATCTTAAAGCTATAAAATCGCGTACGCGATCCTTTCTTTATTCAAACTATAGTAGAAACCAAGATCAACCAGTTTGCCTATTGTAAGTCAAATTATTAAAAATTCAATTGTGAAAAATGATTTTATTCTACCTATAGTTAATAACGCGTTAACACATTTAAACAAGGATTAACAGTATCCAATCGTGGCAAAAAGGCAATTCTGTAACAGTATTGCCTAATACTTTTTTCGTCTCTTTTCTTGCTACAAGACTACACCTTGCCGATTTAATTTGAAAAGAAAGTGCTTGAGAAAGAAATCTAATAGCATTACCAATGAAGACTTTGTTCTCGATTTTAATTGCGGTTACTATTTGTTTTTTGCCGTTTCGCACAACTTTGGCAAGCGAAAGCAGTCATGAACATGAGAGTGAAAAAATGCTGGCTCATGTTTTATCTGCCATATCGGCCAACAGCAATACTTCCATGACATTTAAGGATTTGAATGTTTTAGCTAATTCTATTGTACCTAATAGAACTTGTAGCAGTTCCTGTTCAAACGTAAGTTTGTCTTGAAGACTTGTCTGTGTATAGTTTTAGTTAGTCACTTCTTGAACACAATTTGTCGTTAAAGTAAAACTAAGTCTGCATCATCTGCGCTATTTTATTACTTACTATTGCTTATGACTAAATCTATAGGTGATACTGATTGTTAATTAACGCTATTTCTCTCTATCTACTGCATCCATTTTTCTCTAGTGCTCCGCTGCATCGTATACCTTCAATGCTCTCAATTTAAATCATGCTAGTGCGATCGATGGCCATCTGTTTGCTAACGCTTCTGTCATCATCGCGTATAGCATGATCCATATTGGTTGGAATCGTGTTTGCAACAAAACGACTAATGATAAACCAGGCGACTATGATTACCACTTAGAACAGGTTCTACATCATTTTGGCAATGAAACAGCGAAGGGGATGAATGAAAATGGGATTGTTAAACTACTGAAAGAAGTAAATGAAGAATATGGATCTTCACATCCAGCCACCAACGGGCGTAAGGTTAGTTTCCAAGAATATATTCTGATTGGACTGTACTTTTCGACAAGAATTGCCTACCAAACCTTTTTTATTATTGTACAACCATTAATATTCTTCAACGTTGTCTTATTTTAATTGGATGCTTAAACTATATGGAAATTACTCATTCAATTGATTAGTTTTAACACGATTAATTATAAATCGAAAACTGCATTCCCTGTTGGAAGTGAAGAGAAAATATTGACACTTTTACCTTATGCATATTCATTGAGTGAAATTACTTTACAATCGTGCTACGAAACACCCTCATTATTGATGATAGTAAAATGAGCATTTTCTAAATTTACAGAGTTAATTCAATAATAATGACTGCTTGAAATGGCATTATCGGTGGCATTTTTTCATCAATCTCCTCAGAAGAAAAAAAGATAGATTGACCTAGGTCACAATCGGTCAACAAAGTTAATTAGAGAACCTGTCAGATCTATTAAGTTTGATTCTATCAAAGTTTTTTTAACCTTTCCATGTGTTCAATTGAAATATCGTCGTTTAATTCATTAATTGATGAATCTTAGCAGCTAGTCATAACGATGTTGGACTGTTTTCAATTTGTAAGAATAAGGCTATGATTTCACATGTCATTCTTGACTAACAACGGCGAGAAGGATTAGAATTAGCTTGGTTTTATCGATTTTATTTTATTACCATTATTTTTTATTTATTTATATTATAATCGATTTATCCACTCTATGGTAATGGTTACAAGATCAAAGTTGATCGACCAATGAATCCATTTAAAGAATATTCTTCTATCCATATTACAGTCCCATTTAAACTAATTAACGCATACGCATTTGACGGGCAAAATTTATAGATGGATAATAATTTTACGGATGACAATAAGAATGATTCTCCTTAACATCCGCAAAACTAGAGAACCTTATCAGGCAGCCAATTCGTCTATAAAGTTTTGAATAGATTCAAAATTGATTTTATTTTACCCCTATCAACTGAGTTATAGCCTATCGTTTAGGTATATTTCAAATTGAGTTGTCTTACACCGTTCGTTTATCAACTTGAATTCTGCCGTTATCAGATTAGATACGAATACACTACCAATATCATCCTAAACTACCATGACAATTTTACAAACAGAATCAATACTCCAAGTAGACTCAATCAAATTCAAGTTTGAGTCTAATTTAAATCAATTTTTTTTTCAATTTCCTTTTCGCCATATGACTACTAATATGCGAATTGGTTAATTGCAATCGGAAGATTTTTTACCCCTCTTAGCATCGGGCATTGATCATCTTAAAACATCTTGAAACGTCATCCTAAGGTAGCGTAATTAGGATGGATAATCCATCATAGAAGACCTATTACTGGGTAGTTGTTCCATTAATGAATTCATTTAATATACAGTTGTATAGAATAATTAATCCATGGAAAATACACTATCACTCCAACATATTCAATTCATGCTGCTCCTATTCTACCACGTTCTGCCATTTTTGTACAACTCCATTCCGTCGCCATTGAAATTGTACCGCCATATTTGGAAAATTAATTCCCTTTTCCTTGTCTACGATGACGAGCTATTGTAGTTTAAACAGCATGTAAACTATATGATTGACTGATAAAGGGAAATTGGAGCTGGATCAAAGGTTGTAGAATAGTGGATCGAAGAGAGCCATTTTAGAAGGGTGGAACCTCTATTATGCTGGCATACAAAGAAAGAGGATCCATTTTGTTTAGTGTTGAAGAAGACGGATAGAGGGTGCCAACTGGCACCATCTCTTCCTACAGTATCTTTATTGGATAGGATGGACTGCAGTAATAGGAAAGGCTTTATTAGTTGAAAGATAATAGAATAGAAGAATTGATGATTTCAAAATCTTCATAGCAGTATTCGAGTTGCTCGACCTAATCTTCTCAAATCTCTAATCTAAGCGGAGTTGAGAAAAATACTGGATTAATTATCATAGAGATTCAGTTTTCTTAGTATAGGCTATACACTATTACACATCAGGCAATAGAGCTTTGCTGCACTTTTAGAAGGAATGACTCTACGCCATCATGATAGGATAGAAGAATGGATGAAATCTAATTGATCACAATAAAAAATTCATATCCTAATATTCACGTATTTCTCATAGACGCCGTTGAAAAAAAAAACACTTTATGCTCTATATCACTAGGAGAAATAGCTTGCTATAATGTTCGGAAAAGTGCATTTACAGCAATCATCATAATGTGGGAGAAGGAATAGTTCAAATAGGCTGAAAGTATCTGTGTTATTCTATCTCATCTTCACCAATCTCTAATGGAGGCAGAATTGAAAAGGGCTTTCATGGTGACCACGCATGGAAATAATTATACTCTAGTAACGGTACTGTATAAGCGTATCCATGATGGGGCGTAGCTTTCTGCAGTGGTAGAGAAAGTTGCCTCAATCAGAATGATGTAAAAAATGATTTTAATTAGTCTTGTGTTAAAGAAATGTCTAAAACTAGTGAAGGCGTATCTTTAGACTAGTCTAATTTTACTTAGGCATGCCCTACACCATGCCTAAGTACAGGAGATACAGTGATGAATTGATTCATCATCGGGTTATTGATTAGAGTGGAGAAGAAGAAATGATTCAAATGGATGCTATCGAATTATGTGAACAGTATGGTGTAAAGACCGCTTTAATTACAGTATAGGCGGTATAACAGGAAAATACTTTTCATTTATTAGTGTCACCGTGGAGCTCAAGGAGAACAGATAATACTAACTGCCATAATCGATTTCTACCAGCAATATGATTTAGAAAGTACTGGAGAAGAATACTTTTTATTTGAGTCACAGGAGAATTGGATGAGAAAATGAGTGTAATTGATTGCAATTGACATAATCTACCTCTATAGACAGCGGACCTTTTCAATTACCTTCACAGAGGGAAAGCGTTTGCAATTTATCCTTATGAGATGGAAGGAGAATGAACAATCCCAACTGGCATAGTCTAGTTCTGTATACAACGTGGCTTATATGTTGCTTTCATAGAACGTCAAGTTTTTCAAATTTATTATTTATAGTAGGATTGATGACAAATAGATGATGTACTCTGCCAAATTCGATCAAGTTGCATGCCAAAGTACCGGTACAATATGAATTACTTTAACAGCAAAAACAGTATTTCTAATTTATTATTTAGAGTAGGGTTGAGAATTTACGATGGTTCTCCCTGTTCTATTCTATCAAATTCTATGTAAAGTACAGTATATGAGTTATTTTAAAAATAGGATGAGCATTTCTAATGCGTGCATTAAAGTAGGATTGATTGAGAATAGACAGTTGATTCTCTCTGCCATATTCTATGGCATTCCATGCAAAGTGCCGAAACGGCATAAATTGCTTTTAGAGCCAAAAAGTATTTCTAATTTGTTAGTTGAAGTAGGATTGACAATAAACAGATAATTCTCTCTGCTATATTCTATCCGATTTCTGTATAAAATGATATATGAATTGATTTAATAGTAGAAAAAAAGTACTGTATTTCCGTAAGGTATTGATAATTAATAGACTCGAAGAAGAGTATTAAATGATTCTAACTGATAGAGTGTCTACTCCATTGTGGAGCCTGGATTAACGTAATCAAGCTAAGAGAAAAATAAGACCTCGCTAATTTACCCACAATCGTAATTAAATGAAGAATGATTAGATGACCTAACCAACACAGACCAATTTAGTGCATAGGATAGCGCATACTTTGTAAATTATTTTCTAAATCAAACAATAAAAATAAAAAAAGGAATTTGGAATAGCATAGTTCAGCACGGATTCGCATCTGTTATGAGGTACATTTGTTTTAAAATTTTAAGGATCTTTAAATAAAATCTATAACTCCTCTTTCAACTCTGAACAAGTTCCAAAATACTAACTGTTTCAATTTTGGGTTAGTAAAGTCTTGAACCTTATAAGTAGCAAGATGAATGATTCAGTGTTAGACTTACTGTAAAGTAATTTTGCCTTTAATTAATTTGGGGATATTGACTATGAATAACTTTAATTAGACATAGGCGTTAGCCCATTAGACGGATGTTTATCATATTCTTTCTTTCAATGACGTCTGCAGTAATTACGTAATTGATAATTATGACATTTATGACTACAGAAGTTCCTATCTAATTCTAATAATTTAGTTAATATTCTAAATCTGTAATTCATTCTATTCTTGCCGCAAGAAATAAATCCGTTTCAATAATAGCACACACTAAGAGGCCTAGAATGCAATTTGATATCCAACTGTACAATAATAGTAATAAAGATGAATACAGGATTAAACTGTATTGTCTCAATATTATGTGTAGTAACCCCTATAAAATTCCTTCAACGCCGTAATAAAATGGATATCCATGTTGGATACTTGGCATTAATAGTTTTTCCACAGACCTCTCAAGGAGAAAAAGAAGAAAGCCTGAAAGGTCCCTCGCTTTCTCCTGTCAAAAGAATTTGTTATTATTAATGCAATCCGTCCCATATGTAGCCTATAAAATACTGTCAAGACTGATAGATAGCCACAAAGTCTGGTAATGACTCATATTATTGGCAGAATAGCCAAGATGAATATTTTAAAATCAAGATTAAAGTTGCTCTCTTCGGCTTATTAATTCACTAAGCAACGTGATTCCTTAGACTTACATAATTTCTGCTATGATCAAATTACTCTTTACTAGTCTAGTAGAATTAGCTGCTTGAAATGCTGCATCAATATTGAATACGATATGAATAAAAAATAAATCTTCAATACAATCGAAGGGAATAATACTGTGGTGTTAACAAAGATCCCATCAGTTCAATAAATTAAAATATAATAAGACAACAAACATGTTTGTTTTTGCCGTAGAAAAATAATAAAGGAAAGTTAATAGCAGCGGCAAAATAAATTGGCGATAATGCTTACAGTAGACAAATTGATATTCGGTGGAATAGGAAAAAAAGACATGGAGTTTACTAACATCTACTTCAATAAACAAATCATTTTAACTAATCTTTTACAGACGCGGTTGATTCCTGTTATCGACTACAACAGAAAGCACTGCAAACCATAAAATAGAATTTAAAATGAGAAAAGCTCATATTAACTTTCCCTATTACTAGGCACTGTCTTAAATACTTAAAGTAGATGCGACCTCATAATAATAATAATAAAAAAGTAAAGCTGGCAGCAAAATGAAAACTAAATTGAACTAACTAGTACTCGATCCGCTAAACTAATAAATAAACTCATGACTTATAAAGGCCATTTCTATCAAGAGTTACAATTACGATAACAATATTCCTATAGCTATTTTAAAGAGATGATATTACATGCAATAGCACAATACTGGCAAAGTAAGGCTACAAGCAGTATGATATATATATATACGGATTGAAATAACGAAATATAAATATTTTGAGTAAAGAACCAAGCGAATGATTAATATGCGTTGTTAATTTCAATTAGCCATTAGATCAATATATTTCGATGCCTATAACTAATCTAGCCAATAGGGAGATAAAATAGCTCAAACTAGGCAATATACGAAATAATTGCGTTAACTATGTTTTAATAAACGCTGTTGTTAACGTTAAGAAGATATATTGATACAAAATATGTTTACTGGAAAGGAAAGATAGAGTAACAAGAATAGCAAAGTAGGGTTAAAAACAACGTGACACAAATATCCGGATTTAACTAAGGACAAATCAATATTTTGAGCTAATCGAATAATTGGTAAGCTTTATTAATTCTAATTAGCTATTAGATCAATATACTTTAATGGTTATAACTAATCCAGCCAATATGGGAGAGAAAATAGCTCAAACTAGGCAATATACGAAATAATTGCGTTAACTATGTTTTAATGAATAGTGTTGTCAACGACAAGAAGACATAATGATACACAATATGTTTACTGGGAAAGGAAAGATAGAGTAACATGAATAGTAATCATAGTTAGAAGTAGTGTGATATTAATATCCGGATTTAACTAAGAATTAATCTATATTGTAAGCAAAGAAAAAGCGAATAATTGATTAGCTTTATTAGTTTCAATTAGCCATGAGATCTATATATTTTATTGCGATAGTTATAACTAATCTAGCCAACAAGGGGGATAAAATAGTTCAAACTAGATAATATACGAAACAATTGCGTTACCTATATTTTAATGCATATTGTTGTCAATGATAAGAAGATGCAATGGCGCACAATATATTTACTAGAAAGGAAAGATAGAGTAACAAGAATAGCAAAGCAAAGTTAGAAGCAACGTGACATAAATATACGGATTTAACTAATAACAACCATTTAGTATTTTAAGTAAAGAAGCAAGCGAATGATTGATGAGCTTTGATAGTTTTAAGGCAATGTAATACGATGTTTACAACTAATTTAGCCAACAAAATAGCTCAAGAGGGCAATATATTAAATAATTGCTTTAACTATACTTTAATGAATATTGTCCACACTAAGAAGATATAAAGACACGCAATATGTTTATTAGAGTAAAACTAAATCGAGTATGAATGTAATGGTACCGATCAATTGCTGCTGACTATGCTAAATAGGTTATCAAACGAAGGACATATAATTAGTAGATGCTGTTTATTTCTACTGGGTCTGAATACCACATGAATGATGAATTTATAGAGGTCTTTTACTTTCTACTACATGTAATTATTTTTAAGAGTGAATTTAATCCTATTCCATGTATATCTTGATAAGCAACAAAGTCTAACAAGTTTAACAGTCATCTCTATTTTAGTAACCTTAAACCATCCTAATAGTATAACATTAGCTGTCCCCTATTTGGCTCTAAAATACTCCAATCTTTTACTTCATTATAGTGCTTTAATGCCGATAGCCTTCTGGAAGAAGAAGGTGCTAATAGTAGCCACAGCCACAGCCATGATCATGGTAAATATCATCCTGCCACGGAAATTACTCAAAAACTGCTTGAAAATCTGGCAAAAGGATTATGCATCAATATCACTAAAGCTGCTGTAGCTCACGAAGACCATTTTCATGAAATACTAGAAGCTATTAATGCTACTAGCAAAAAGGTTATGACTTATAACGATTTGAATACCTTGGCTACAAAGATAACAGCAAATAAAAAATGTTCCAATTGCATAGGGGTAAGATACTAGTATAATAAATTGAAATTAGTTTAACTACTTTACTATAATTTAATCTATACGATTGAAGGGCGATAAATAGTAATGAACAAATTATGAACTAATATCTAATATCCTTGTTACTACTATGAAGTACGATGGTAATAGCAGTAAGCTAATCAAATACAATCTCATCTTTCTATGTTAGTGCACAATCGCATCCTATGTTTATACATCGATGCAACTTGATACTAGTCAATCTCTCAATGAAACTAGTTTTGCCTCGGCTGCTATCGTCTTTACCTACACGTTGTTGCCTGAAGGTTGGGCATTAGTATGCAATCAAACAGCCCAAACTAAACCTGGGAATGTACCCCATTATGTTGAAAAATTATTGCACGAATTTGGTAACGAAACTCGAATGCAATATAGCACTTCGGGGATTACAAAAATGTTAAGTGAAATCAACGCTACCTATGGTCTATCTCACCCTCCTAGTGGTCGAACGGTAAACTTATTCTGCACAGTATCTCTAATATCTCTAATGCTATCTCATACAATAAAGTCTAAAATATACGAATATATTATTACTTTTGCAGTGTTTTACAGCTACTAGTTTGCTATCCAAAAGTAATAAAACAACAAATCATGACGATCACAGTGGACACGCACATGCACGTCGTCGAAAAAGATCTACAGATCATCACGACCATGGTAGCTCAACCATTGTCGCTAATGACTCGTGGTATAGCGCTTCTTCTGTCTTTGTCCCATTAATTGAAAAATTAGCCAAAGGCCAATGCATTAGCAACAATGTCAATTCGTCCGGGCATGATGATCACGATCATCATAATCACACTAGTAGTGTCAAACTACCCGATCAAGGCTTCTTTCAGCGACATATTTTCGAAATTTATGCATCAAACGGTAACTAAACGTAATTCTTACTGCTGTAAATGTTAACCATTTCCCAAGTGATGGCTAATAATGATATACCTGTATGGGGTAAACTGTGATTGATTAAGATTATACGTATGAATTGAAACATTCTTTAGGTCGCATTAATATCACAAATTTTCAAAAGTTAATGCAAAAACTCAGCATTGGCACGACAACTACCACAACCACTAATCACAGTGGTCATGACCATTCAGGACATAATCATAAGCGTTCAGTTCATACTGGGCATGATGATCATCAGTTTGAAGGAAAGGTAAAAAGATTATCCTAGCAGTTGCCCTTTAATTTACTCTTTGAACGATTAAAACAATTACAACTGATCGATTTCTTTCCTGTTTCTTTTTTCTTATTCTTATAGTGCTACTCAGCAACACAGCTATTCAGTATCTTCTCTATTGGCGCATCTGGAGCTGATTCCAAGCAATTTACTGCTCTATCACCAGCTATAGTACAACAAGTAGCTACCTCTGCTTGTAAAAATACCTCAACAACCACATCAAATACCACTATCAGCAATTCCCCAACGACCGCAGAAGGTAATTTCCAAAGTAGTCATGATCAGAAATGGTTATACTTACGCTAAATGTTACTCACTGTTAACAATAATATTGTCATTAAATATTAGTATGGGGATATACAATGCTCGCAGTCACAGTGGTAACTCTGAGCTCCGTTGCTGGTGTATTAACTATCCCTTGCATGGGAAATTCAGCTATACGTTATGTAGTTGCCTATTTAATTGGTTTAGCAGTGGGTTCCCTCGTTGGTGATGCTATATTGCACTTAATTCCTCATGTAAGTCCATCTAATCACAATTTTTTTTATGATTTACAATGTCTATTACAATATTTGATAATTACTTATATTAACCTATCGATATTACGTTCATTCTATTATCTTCTAGTCTTTAAACAAACACGATCATAGCTCACATGCGGTTACGACGGGCGGATTAACTGAAGAACAGGAACGATTAATGAAGATGTTAGTATGTTTAGCTGGTGTCTATGGATTTTATATTTTTGAAACACTCATGGTACTACTATCGAACAGAAAGAAATCAAGTGATGTAAGCAAGAAGCTAAGAAATGTTTTAATTTTCTGAAAATTACTATAAAATACGAAACATTAGCAACATATTTACCGAATAGCAGAAGTTTACTCAGAGTTTAGAATTTCTATTTTAATATGATATCATACACAGTATAAAAGATATCGGTTTCATTTATTTTATATCTTAAATACGAGTTTTAAATTCAAATTTTTTAGACTGAAATTGGCATGGCGGCTATCAATAACAACGAACATAGTAGTTATCCCGCAGACAACGGCGTTAGTTCTCACAAAAGTCAAGAACAGCTAGTCTTTTCTGCTAATTCAGAACAGGTATAAATAAATGTTATATTTTTAATCAAGACAAAAATTTAATATAATCTTCCTTCTAAGAGATATATTGCTAACGAATACATAAGATTCTCTTTGTCTCTAAAAAGTAATGTATGCTAACTTAAATAAAAAAAATCCAACCAACATTTAAGTGATAACATCATATTAACTTTATAATTTATGAAGAATTCTGAATTAGAAGACGGATTTATATCTAAAAGTGGACAAAGAGTGGTATGTTTTGGCCTAACAGCTGTAGGAGTTATGGTTGTACTAGGAGATGGTTTTCATAATTTTACTGATGGGATTGCAATGGGAGCATCCTTTAAATCGTCGCTTTCGCTCGGATTTAGCACTTCGATCGCTGTTTTTTGCCATGAATTGCCTCAAGAGTTAGGTTAGTACAGATAATCCATCTACTTATTTTATTTCAGAACATGATAGAGCTCGCCAAAATATTTTTCCAACCTAAATCTATACCGACATTGCAGCTAGTCTGTAAAGTCTCAGCTGATTATAAAAATAATTCATCTTTAATCTCTACTACGTCATCTTAGGTGACTTTGCCATCTTATATGCGAGTGGAATGGGATGGAAGAAAGCCATGATATACAACTTAGTTTCAGGCTTAACTTGCTACATTGGTGCTATCATTGGTATTTTTGCGGCCTCAACAGAAACTGCTCGTCAATTTTTATTTGCTCTTACAGGCGGTCTCTTCCTGTATATCGCGATGGTAGACCTCGTAAGTAGTAAAGATTAGTCTTGCAATAATTTATCTAGAAACCTTACCATAAGCTACATACTAGTCTAAACAGTTAATCTATTACACGTATCAAAATGTTATGCACCTTTCACTTTTTAACTTTAGATGCCACAAATGACTGGTCATAGCACTCATTCTCATTCCCATTCTCATGGCAATACAAGTAAGAATGGAAAAGAAAAGAGTGACATTTTGGGAGAACTGAGTTTTAAAAAATTCCTCTTTTCTAATATTGGCATTTTAACTGGATTTACCATTATGTTCTTGCTGGCGTACTTTGAAGAAAAAATTAAAGTCTAATGATTCAATTTGCCGTTATTTTCTTTCCTCTCAAGTTTTGTCTTAGGTAATAAAATTAATAAATGATTAGCAATCTAATGATATCTGTAAAGTAATTGATTTTTCATCATATTTAATCGTTTACCTTTATTTACTATAGAATTAATACGAAATTTTACATTAGCGGACGTATATCCTTGTTACACTTAGTTTTGTCCTGTGGTATAATTATAATTATCGAAACATAATCAATAATGATCTACTATATCCTTATTTAGGTTATTAACTAGTATAATCTATTTTATATGCTATTTTGTAATATATAACTACGCCATCATAATGTTAAACTATGGCGGTAATAGATAAGCAAGCATCATAAGTCACTTTTCTTGTTATTGCTTGTTGCTCAGAACTTGTATGTTGCATAGCCCAGAACATGATATTGTGAGAAAGACTAAATAGGATCATTCAAACATTAAACTTTTTTAGATTACTTCTTACTAATATTATAGATCATAACGATTAGACGCTAGTTGCTATAATATTTCTAAATAAAAATAAATGTTTGTCTTAGATTTCTAAAATTTACTTGCTTACTGACTGCTGTATATTAAGAAGCTAGACTTAATACTATGCTTGCCCTTGACCTACGTAAAAAAAATTAATAGCATCATCTCTTCTTGTTCTTAAAAGATTTAAAATAAGTGAAAATACCTAAAATGTATCATTTAACCAATAATTAGGTATTAGCTTCCCCATCGTACATTTTTCTCAGGAAGCAACACCAAATGGAAATACAGGCACTATACTGTAGTTAAATATGATTACAATTGTAGTAACATCTAGAATAGCGGGTATTAAATTCATAGACTTACGCAAAGGCTACGAATTAACTCGTCAAGTATTTAACTGTTACTCACTCAAGGAGCGAACTGTGCAGAAGAAAGTTAAGATGCAATTAATATTTTCAACGCATGCATTACTATAGTTTTATTCAAAGCAGTGGTAAATAATGGATTTTAAAGCAGATCACGTATAATTTGTAAGATAATAGCTTATTATTATCCTATACTTTATTATCAGCTCTTCAATATCAACTCTATCGTTAACAGTTATCGCTAGTTATTTATATAATTAGAAATGAAATTATTAGTTGCTGTCTTATTATTTATTCATTTGACAGTAATGTCTATATAATGATACCTTGACCAATAATTTTAACTCTAAATTTTCAAAATTTACTCGCTATTTGAAGTAAGAATAAGGTTAAAAAGTACTTCTGTCTTATTTCACATAAGTTATATGTGTTATAAAAATCAAGTTTATTTCGGTCTTTTATTAAGGCTATTATTAAAATTCAAAAATTTTCATCATCCATGAAATTTTACTCATGAGCAGGCAAGTTATAAAATTAGTCAAACTAGCAGGTTTCTTGCTAATTAAATATATATTTATTATTTTGTAATTCATGTCATTGCATATCTTTTCTAAAATACTGCATAAATTTAATTACAAATATTAACATTATATAAAATATTACAGTATTCATATGTACGTAAAGTGAATGCATATAAAAGTAAGGCACACGCGACAGTCTTTAAGCGTCTTCAGCTTTTTCGAGTTGTTTCTGGTAAACGTAAACGCATTAGACATCGATCAGATTCTAACCATACGAACATACCGCAGTAGATGCAAAATATCAGTAATTTAAAATTTACATGAAATGGTGGTGGATAAGATTTAACTATCCATATCCATTGCATTATCATCGTCATAGAGATACTGCACTGGATAAAAATATATCGTAATCTTTAATAAACATTAAGGGATAGTATAGAAGACGTCATTATTAAGTACCAAAACACTTTCTCTAGTTTGCACAAAGCGATTTTAAAAACTGCTTACTGAGTACAATTGATGAAACAAAAATTTGCCGGACAGATTTGTTGATTTATCTTCGTTATTATATTCGATAGTGGAAGTATTCGTTCACCTTTAAAGTTAAAAATGTTATAGTTGATCTTAATTAGTTATTAGGATTTTTGGGCCTATTCGCCCATAAAAGCACTCGCTCTCCTATGAGAATACCAGTGCTGTCGATATCATAATGCGAATTGTTTGCTAGTAGGTGAATGATTTCCAATTATATTGGCATTTCCAGATATTAATTAAGCATCGAAGATATAGCTCCTCCCTTTAACTACTATTGCTAGATTTAACCGTTGATGATGCTTTGTTGGCGTCTTTACATGTAATCTTAATAAATGAATACGATCTTTCAGAACGTTATAACTGATTGTATGGTATAATTTATATGCTAGTAGTGACAACTTTTACTCTCATCGCGATCTCCAGCCGTTTCATCTGTGGTTGACAGTAAGCGGCTTCCATTCTCTCATACAGTTAGGTTACAAATAATAGCATCTTATAACTTATCCACTAAGAATAGATGATGTTCCACTTACATCGCTATTCCCAGATAACAATAAACCATCAGTGCTGTAGGAATTTTCAGTTAAACTAGAATAACTAGCTCTCGTTGTAGCCGATAGCGGCTTATCATTAATGTAGTCATCATCCATAGCATGTTTGCTATCAGCTAATAAAAATTGAACACGACTACCCGATCTTGAAGGTATTGCCCGGGTTATAGGAATTGGTTTACCGCTCCAAAATCCAGTATCATGGTAGTCATAGTCATCTAGTTCTCCGACACCTTTCAATTTAACACCATAGCTATGAGTGACATAATTACGTATAGCTTGAGAATCTGCTTGTAATTGCATTTTAGTAGGTGTAATATTTAATAAACGGGAATAATTTTTAACTTTTTCTCCTTCCTCTTCATGGCGTGTAATTTCGTCGACAACTCGATTCTTTGTTGTCAATTGCTGAACTTCATCACGAATAGTTTTAGTAATTTCTAATTCCCTTGCAGGAGTCCTGCCTAGCGCTACGAGTGCCGCAGTAGCTTCACTAAAAATGTAAAGAAATAAAAAACATTACGTTGTGGCCTTTATTGATAGATGTTGTATTGATCATCATAGTAGTTAGAGGATATTGCAATTTTTTTAATCTTTGTCGTATAACTCACTTTCTAACTAATTGACTTGCATCGAGCGTTAATCGATCTTGTAATGCCGAGACAACTTCATTATTATCAATCTTAAAATATCCAATCGTTTTACATGCTTCAGCTCGTACTTCAGGATGATTTTCATAGCGGATAGCCCATAGTAAAACCTTACATAATTCGTCTGTTCCCTTGTTAATGCTGCGTAAGGCTAAAAATAAATGACAGCTTTTAATTAATTGCAGTTGTAGCATGAATATCAAAGCAATCATAGTATTACTTTAGATATTGACATGAGATAAAGAAATTAAAACACGATTCGCATCTAATATTTAAACATATTCTATGCTTGTGTAAGATAAACGTAAAATTTTGTTTAAAAAATAAAATTCATCGATTTCCTATTAAATGCATTGGCTATCAGTAAAGTAGCGTAATTACATGCCTAATTCTAAAATTTTTCCATAATTTTACGAGATTGAATGGAGTCGAGAATATTTTAAACCCGGCTCCAAATTGGTAGTATAACGAAATATCTTAGTTACCTTGCATAGCTTTTATTTTAACTTTATAGCTAGAATCGCCGCTTATGGATTGTATCAGTTGCTTAATAACCTGCAGATCATTCGATGCAACAATTTCAGCAGCCTAAATAAATGTGAATGTTAATATGACTTGTTTAAAGTTCTCTTCGCTGGAAGCTAGTATGATTGGATCATACATGCAAAATCATGGGTCATTAAATTTATGATAACTGGCCTACATATATACCGTAGGGTATATATTACTTAAGATTATTCTTCTAGATCTACAGACTACAACACATGCTTTGACTTACAATACATGCTTCTATTCGCACTCGATCATATTCATCTTGAAAGCATTCCAGGAATGAATCGATGATGTCAGAAGTGGCAATTCCGATACGTGCAAACTAGATAGACAGTATAACGGTATGAATATCAATAAAATGTTCTAGAATCTTTTATATCTGAGGGACTGAAATTGTTAATAAATTTTTTATATCTCTAAAATCAATTTCGCCTGTATGATGAAGTATGTTGGCTTGCCAAACTACATACCTTTCTTAATGCGTCTACCCGTCCTCTTTCGGTCCCTGACTTCATTTGCTTTTTAAGCTCCGAATGCACAATCTGTATTATATGAATATTATCGAAAATTTAACACTAAGCTCTATAATAAGAGAGATAATTCCCTATTAGGAAATCATTGTTATGGTACAAAATACCTTTCCCTGCCCAGCTTTTGCTAATGCTAACAATGCAGCTTCCCTAACGTCCTGGTGCCAATCCGACCACATTAGATTAATTAATTTTTGTGTTAAGTCCTATCAACAATAATATACACAGATTTAATTTCGTAGCAACTACTTATAACCTGATTATTTAACTTGGCGTAGGATGATTAATCTATAACACTTATTTCATTCAACACCTGTATCAAAGTGTTTGCATCTTAAATTAGACATACCTTATTAATTGTACCATATAACTTTGGAATTAAGTTACAAGCAGCTGCTCGACTTCTCCAACTAGTATTGTTCAGTTGTTCAGCAAGCATTGAATTAATTATAGACTGAAAGAAAACAATTTTGTATGATTACTCATCAGTTGAACAGTTACGTTAACTATCAGCGTAGATTGATACAATCTAACTGCCCTAAGGTGCTTGAAATATATACTGTATTGTTAGCAGACGATGAAATAGATCATTATTTATTTTTTAATAAGCAGTTCTAACATAGAAAAGAACCTTTTACAATAATATTAATTTAAAGAATCTTGATGTATACCGTTTGTTTGCTCAATTCTCGGAGATATAGAGTCGCCTTTTCATGTTTGATAATACTATCTGCAGATAGACAACCGATTAGTTCACTGATAATTGCAGTGTTGCAATAACCATGTTTTGCCAGGCACTTTGCTGCAATCCATTTCTCCTCCGATGTACCATCGCTAAGAACTTCGTCTAGAACTTTTTTAGCATTGGTATTTAATAATCCTAATGTCATGATGCCCACCGCTGCCTCAAGTCGAACACGTCTTGATGGATCTGTTAAAGCACTCATAATAGCACCTAATAATTCTTTTGGTATTCTATCTTTTAATGCACGAGGTGACAAGTTCTTTTGATTAGCTTGAGATATATCTTCGTCTTCTTCATCATCATCCACTTGTTTCAGTTGTAATGCTTCTTCTATAAATTCAAGATATTAATTATCAAATTTTTAAATTTCATAAACTATATTGCTGCATGACTATAAGCTAAATGTGAATCAACAAAGAGTATTAAAAAAATAGTCCAATATACTGTAAACATATCGTGTTCGAATGCTCTAATGTTATTATTTTCAATTGGTGACCCCTTACTACTTAGATGCAAAGATACACACATAATCGAGCAAATAATACAGCATCTGCTCAAAAATTGGGACCAAATTTTATATCTTTAAGTTAATTAAGAGTAATCTTAGCCTCAAAATTAGAGGAAAGAGCAGCAAATTGCGGCAAACTGTAGCCATTTAATGCAGCTATCTTAAGTACGGTAGTGAAATACAAATGATTATGTAGGCCCGAAAATTAATATAACGGTATAAGGATTTCGGTAAGTTTAAAAGATGAATAAGTGTCTAATATTACAGATAGAAATTGTTAAAGTGTCCAACGATAAACCTGGAATGATATTTAATGCTTGATTTACGGCGTTAACGCAATCATATTTAGAGCGAAGAGAACACGCGTAGACTATCGTTAATAATCTATCAGGAAGTCAAGGTAATTAGGTTCTGCTTACAACCATGCAAGAGACCAATATGATATTTACGTAGGGAAGCAATAGTTTATAGTTATCTAAAACATAGTTTTGCAGTATTATACTTAGATTAGATAAAAGAACAATTATTCTATCATTTTCTACCCATTATATCCTGAGAGGATTATTATAGCATTGGTTATAACGTATGTTAAAGATAAGAGACTAAATTCTGTTGCTACCTTTAGCTTGAATACTTTTATTTTGCATAATATTCTCATTTATAATTGCCACAGTGATTGCTTGTAAAGCCCCAGTTCTGACATGTTCGTAATCATGCTTGATATCTTCTAATAATTTATCCACATCGGCATATAAAAATTTACTATTTAAATGCCATGTTTTACGCCATTCTCGTACTGAAAGAAATAAAAATTACAAATTTAAGTACAAATCTAATCAATTACTATTTCCCTTAAATATCTAGTGACCATAACAAATATAAATCTGAACCTTTTTAATCAATGGCTTTTATTTCGATATCAATTTAGTTCCTATACACATCTATAGGTTCATAAATACTTACCAATCTGATGTAGATAAACATTTTCTTTATTTCTTATTACTGTTTTATGATCAGGTTCTGTATAAGTCTTGGATTTATTTCCGTAGTAACTGTACATAGTGTTGTCATCCTGTGGCATAAAATTATATTATTAGGGTACATTCTATTAAAAGTATTCGGAATTATAAGTAAGGCAGAACCTATAAAATGTACACTCCTGCAATACATTCCCTCGATATCAAATTGAAAAATTTACCTTGATTTTCTGTGGTAAAGATTTCCATGGTCTTTGTCCCCGAATATTCTTATTAGCAGCATCTGATTTGATATTATCAATATTTGTACTAGAATACCATTTTTCCGGTAATGGCGGATAAAAATCCAACAACTGTAACTTGAACTTGGTGTCATTGGTTAAACGAATGATTTCTTCATCATTTAAACGAATTCTATGCAGCTTGGAATAGATCGGTTTCGCTCCATCGTGAACATGTTTTCTGAAATCTTCTTGGTCTATCAACGTATTTTAAGAATGATTAGTATTGTATAGATCATAACATGGTCATACTAGGACATCATAAAGTATTGATCTAGAAGTTACGAATATTTTAAAAGATATAAAATTAATGTATATAATCCTCATGTGCTCTACAACTCAACGCGGTCATACCAAGTACTCGTGAAGAACTGGTCAAGTTCAAGAGGATACAAGTAGTTTGAAAGGTATATAGCTAAGAAATACTATCGTATACATCATATTAGACGCGTAATAATCAAAGTATATCATAAACAAAGGATCAAGAAGATAATCGTACTTTGAAGGATATAAAGTTAATAATTCTTATTCATAATAATATAACGATTAAATATCATAACAAGCTGATTCGGTGAGATTGCGATCATGTTAAAGATATAAAGTTAAGAATTATCATCATATCATTCACGACATGATCTTGAAAGAATTGCTCAAGAGAATATAAATGCGTTGAAAGATATAACATTAAGAATTGTTATCATGATACAATTCAAATCAGCTTATGATTAAAAACAAGATGTCATAAAGAATTAATCAGGTAGTACGAGTAATTAGAGAAATTTTAGGTTAGAAATTATGACCACATAGTTCATACCAGTATATGAGTCATAGCAATAAGATATAAGCATAGTAATTTGAAAAAGACAAAAGTTATTAACAGAATATGTTAAATGAGATAGCATCAACAAGATATTATGTCAGTTTAACTACGAGAGGGTAAGTAATTCGAAAAATGTGCAGTTATGAATTTTGATCATTATATTGTTGATATCAGACGTAATGAAAGATCAATTAAGAGTTACTTTAAAATCAAAGTACAGTATATATGACATTGAAATCGAAGCAATACCTTTTACTTGCAAGTCTCTATAAGCATAACTTTCTGTTAACTTTTTTGCATTTCTTACTCGATTGCTTTCCTTAGCCAATTTCTGAGGTACTGTTAGATCTTCTATATTACCATCCGCTGCATCACTTAAATCTGAAATACTTAACTTATACCTATACCTCCCAGGATCTCTAGGCGATGCCACTGAAAAAGCAAACAATCATAAATATTATGATATGCAGATGTCATAATTACTAAAGTAGACCCTTTTACTCAAGCATGATAGTATCCATTAGTTATGTTTTTTAAGACTTTCCAAAGTCTACACTTTCATTGGCTAGGAAATAAAGCCTTTCTGAAATATGATAGGTATCTTAAGATTATTTCAACTCTTTCTGAATAATAATTATATAACTGGCCTAGGTATACAGTGTAGCTAAGAACAGCAGCGTACCATAGCCAAATAAACCTTCCTAAAACAGTAGCATACCGTCGCCGAAGGTATACATCCCTATTTAAATGTAATAGCGTACTGTAACCTTATTTCAGAACTTTCTAAAAATTATGATATACCCTAATCAATCAGTATAAATGACAGGACGAATCTATCCATCCGAACAATCCATCAATGAAATATTCTTTCAATTTAGTAGTCTCGAGTAGATCCAAATTTGAAATGGACTTACCTCTTCTCGGTGTTGACACAGCAAACGAATTAGCTGATTTAGGCTTATCTCGCGTAGCTAAGGTATGAATAAGAGTTTTTTGTTGTGAACCGATAGGCACTTGCTTCTTAACTATGTATTTAGCAGATGTCCAACTCAATTTAGAAATAACTTGTTCATCCCATCCAGTTTGTTTTTCATTAATTGATACAACTTTCATGCGTTGTTGAATGGGTTTTAGGGTTGACTGTCGCTGTTTCAGTTTTAATCTATGTATAACATCTAATTCGTTAAAACCCTTGTCATCAAGAAGTGGTGGAGATTTTTTCCTCTTGAGGTAAAAAGGAGGCGGTTGGTAATTGATTGGTTTCTTTAATTGGCTAGAACGATAAAATGCGCTACTTTTTAAACTATCTTTAGCCATTCCACGACCTGTATATAAATCTGTTGGCCTTCCATCTTTATATGGTAATGCATGTGCACTGAATTGCTTGACAACATCTGCAGTAAATGACAGATCCGACGATATTTTTTCCACATAGTTATCGTTTATTCTTGATGTTTCTTTAATGACGTTCTCCTTGATCGAATTTTTGACTTTATCAATAGAATTATCCTTCCTGACGCTTTTAATTTCTAGTTTGGACTGTGGAAATGTATTATTATTTATAAATCCAATATTTAAGGTCTGTTGATTCGTGGTACTCATCTTGCCTCCAAAACATTTAAAAGATAGAAATCAAGAAAGAAAAATAACCATGAGCGTTGAACCAAGATGATACTCTCTTACTCATCCATGATCATAAAACTTGCCACAAATTGCTTACTACTTCTATTATAGTTAATAGCTGTAATTTATAATATAAACGATTACGGTTTCAAATGCGCTCAATTATACGTAATCTAAGTCAGCAAATAGAAGTCTACGACTTTTCCGCTTCTAAAGCTATAGGAATGAATAAAATTAACGAAGATTATCTCGAAATTTATCCCGTTCAATCAAAGAAATTTTATTACAACTATACTCATATAGTTCATTATCCCTAGTGTAAAGCTTGACTAAACAATCAAACCTTTAGTAGCGCTATAGTAAAGCTTTCCTTGGCTGATACTGTATGTAATTAAATGACATGCGCTAGTTAATAATAAGTCTGATTATAATCATACATATACATATACGCGTATTATTTACCTACTTACAATCAATGCAGTATCCATGACAACTAATAGTTATACAGGAAATGTATACGTACAGTACACCATACAGTGTAGTAGCTTTCAATCCAAATATTAGTTTCAAGACATGCGTAGTATAGGTGTTCATAAATTGTATATGACCTGTATCGAGTACATTTTAATTCTGAATATCGTAGTACTGTAATCATATGTGAGATCTACATTCAATATTGATTCTACGAAAAGAATCCACAGCAGTAATTTTAAATTAATTTAAAGATCTATGAAGAGAGACCTGGGGTGCATTACTATGTGGCCATGTATATGTCATATACATACAGTATGTATCCTTTGTTATAACAATGCTCAAGGGAGAAATTGATTTGATTATCTGACTATATATCAAATTTATTCAGCAGAGACATGACAGGGTAATTTTAAAAGCTGATGCATAGTAGTTAGAATTATTAGACCGCAGAAACAGATTCAAAATTGATTGTTATTATAACTGCATACAGAAACGAATTAAGGTAGAACTGATTTTAATTGATATTCTCGCATTACTGTAAAAATTTTCGCCGCTACCAGTCCATCTGGTGATGTATACCACCATTAATGTTACAGCAATTATATGCGAACTTTATATTTAAATTTATCCTTCTGAAAGATTCTCCATAGAATAATATCTAAAGCTGATTTTAAGGTCTTTGCAAACAAACATATCGAGAAGATTAAGTCCACCACCTGAGCTACCAATATTTATCGTGCTAGTTTACAAGTAGCGGCTTTAAGATCACTTTAGCATGCTACTTTAAAATATAATTTAATAATATCGTCATATTCAATATTACATTTCTGTACGTGATTGATTAATCTAAGAATGTCTAACTATTCTCTTCAGCCTCACCTCCAATATCATTCTGCATTGTTTCTATGGCAACGCCACATCCTTCCTAGCTATGGCATGGGAAAGGGTACCTACCCAAGTGCTAGCTAAGGCAGCAGGATTTCTTATATAATTTTATCTAGAGCAGACATAAAACCATAAATCAGCATACATCTATATACTGTACATTATAAAGTGATTATGATCAATAAACGGTTAAGAATATATTTAAATGATTACTGAAAAGAGAGGCATTTGCTATTACCACATCAACATTAAGCTGTTCTACAGTTTGGTTTGGCATTTCCATATACTATAGATAACATTAAACGTCAGAGTCATAGACTGATTCAGAAGATTACAATTAGTAAGTCATGAGATTCTATTTCTCGGGTGTTTACATGGCCTTTATATAGATCGTAAATACTGATAAAGTAACTACAGAACTTATTATATTTGATCCTAGAAATATTCTCTATTCTTCTTTATGTTAGTTACTACGATATTGTAACCAGAATAAACAGAGTTACAATCTATATTATTGTATTTATGAACTTTGCGTGCATACTTTACCCAACTTATGCGAAGTACACCTACGTATATTTTAAAAACCACTAACCTGGACTTAATTACTTTTAAACAGTTTCATTGATTTAACCTAGTATTATTAAGAAAGACTTACAATTCATCAATAAATGGAAAAATTTGATAGTGAACGACGTGCTAGGAGGCAAGCCTCGATAAATTCAGAGGTTAGTCCGTCATTAAGCCCAAGAGATCGTAGCCTTTTCGCTGATGCCTCATTAGAAAAAAAGGAGGAAGCCAGTAAAACCGGTGGCTCCATTCGTCGAACTTTTGGTAGCATTAAAGAATCAGTTGGAGGTTTAAAGGATAAAGTATTAGGAAAATCAACTGAAAAGCATTCCTTACAACGGCAGCATCACATTAGTGATCTTACGTCAAAGGGGTTTCAGGGATCGACATCTATACATGATTTATCAGAATCTTCAGGAGACGATAGCGATCACCATCGGAAGCGCAATCATTCAACATACGATAATACAACCAAAGCTAGTGATAGAATTCGTAATGAAAGATTAGGATCAAGAAATCTCGATATCGATTCTGATGATGATCAATTTATGGCAAGAAGAGATCGTAGAAAGCATGCAACAGATAAATATGATAGTGATTTAACATCTACACGTAAAACAAATGAGAAATTTAATTCTCGTAACAGATCTTCAAAATTAAGTAGTTCAAATAGTATTCACGATTGGAAGGCCGAAAAGAAACACGACGCCAACGACGATGATTCAATCTTATTTCCTCAAAGCCGAAATCAGAAAGATAAATCTCAAAAAAATAAAGCATCCTCACAGAAATCATCTTTACTAAATCGTAGTTCAAGCAGGGAAAGCCATAGTAATCGAGATTTAACAGACAAGCTAGGGCTTGGGCGTAGAAATAGTAAAGAAACAAAGCAAGGAGACTGGCAATCGTCTCCGTCACCCAGACGATCATCTAAATCTTTGTTTAACTCCAAGGATAAAGACCAGCTAAAATCAATCGATGAGCCGTTTAAAGATGAAAGTCCAAGAAAGAGGCAATTGAATAAAGCTTCAAAAGACCCTAGAGTAGCAACAGATAGGCGTCTCAAGGATAGACCAAAAACAGCTACCGCGACCAGTAAACCAACGTCATCTGCACTATCACCGAGGAAATCTCGCCCAATTTCTGCTTCTAGTCCTAGAAAAGGGAATAAAGCATCTATTAATCGTAGTGAAGATGCTTTCGATTTTACTACTATGAAAGATTCTTTAGACATAACCAATGACGATCGATCACCTCGAGATGTAGGACCTATTGATCATTATCCGTTTACGACACCTATAAATCAAACTATTAGTCAACATGACATACTACAAAGGACACCCAGTGCAGCTATCCGGAACAGCACCGAAGGGCATAAAACGGGAACAGGTCAACTTCTTGGAGTATTTGAGCAAATCAAGGCCAAGCGGCAAGAAAATTTACTTTCTATGAGCCAAAGTGGTAAAGATTTGCTATTGAAGACACAAGGAAGTACTGGCTACTTTTCTAATAAAAGCCCAAGAGATATTAGAACCAGTGATCTAGCCAATGAATTGGCACAAACTGGCCAAGAATATTTCTCGGTATATGTTATCTCCGTGATAGTCTTTCAATTTTTCAGCCATTATACAGTATGCTATATTGCCACTATTTTGCTAGTTATATTCATGAGTAAAAGTGACAACAAGAAATTTATTTTTTATAGGAAACCGCTCGAGAGAACCGAAACAACCGAAGTTATCCGGGATCGAGTACGTTTATGCACGAGTGGAGGCAAAAAGAATTACAAAATGATCAATTTGATGGCATAGATATTTATGAAGTAAGACAGAATGATATTTATTTAATTTATTTAAACACTATCAATAACATTACTAAACAACTGACTGCATAAGGCAAAGTAAGCTTACTGCTAATAAAGACTTATAATTTGTAAAATTAACCATGATTAACCGTGTTTAAGGAACAATATGAAACTTCTCGAGCAATAAGAGAATCAGTGTATGAAGAATGGCGCAAGGAAAAATTGCTTAAAGAAAAGAAACGATTGAAAGCAAAATTAGAAGGTGAAAAACGCAAGGAAGCAGAGGAACGTTTGAAAAAGGAACAGCAAAAAGCGGAAGCTGCTAAGGCACTAGTGTATGTGTACTATTTCACTTAAATCTGAGATAGTAATATTTTCTATGTAAGATCCTATTTCTCTATCGATGAATGGGTACTGTAGATCTGGTTCTAAGAGATGAGTAATATAAATCAGTGACTAAAGAAACTGCTACAATCGGGTGCACACTAGATCATTCTGAGCAAGAATCTTCTATCTAATAAAGCTTATAAAGGCAATATATTTGAGATAGTATTATAACAGTTAGTTATTAGTCCTTATCAATTTATCCATTTTCTTCCAATTGAAGTAATTATTTAAAGATTGAATCACTCTTCTTACTTCATGTTGAAAGCCTAATATAGTAAATTTATCTATTAGTTATTGGAATGAAGACAAGAAAAATAAATTAAAAGCTAAACAGCAAGAAATTAAAAAGATTAATCGAGAAAAAGAAGAAGAAGAACTGAAAAAACGAAGGAAGAAAAAGGATGCAGAAAAGTATTTCAGAGTTTGGAAAGAGGATAAGGATGTAAAGATAGTTGAACAACATAAGAAACGATTAAAAGAAGAGAAAAAGAAAGTCAGAGAAGCAGAAAAAGCCAAGAAAGATAAAATAAAAGATTCCAAAGTAGCATTTGAAGCTTGGTAACATAATGATTGAATAAGATTTCTGCTATACCTACGAAGGGATTCATTTTGAAGATGCATTGCCTCTTAGTTATCGAAAATTTGTCTGAGTCTGATACTATTTCCTATCTCCTATAGGAGTAAAAAGAAAGACGTATTACTACAGGATCAGCAAAAGCAAAAAGTGAAGATAGAGCGTAAAAAATTGAAAGAAGAGCAACAGAAACGAGAGAAAAAAGCCAAAGAAGCTTCCAAAGCATACGACGACTGGAAAAGTAATGTTAATTATCGTCCTCGAAAGGGAAGTTTCACGCAAGCATCGGAAAGGGAACCATGGAAACCGGTAAGTCTGCTGCACTGTTGGTATCGCGAAGGGCGTTTGTGAGTCTCAACATATCTTCAAATGTTGAAATTTTTCTATTATATTGTTGCCATATGTTTTAATTTCTTTAGCCCATTTTCATCTTTATCGTTATGTTCAAAGGATTAGATACACTACTATACTAGTAATTGAATTAGTACTATAGAATTATGAATTTGTGTTATCTTTATTGGCCTCTATTATACCAATTCGTGTCGTAGTTAAAACTTCTTAAAGGCATGGTCGACAATTTACAAAATAACAACGTATTATGAATAAGCAGATCTTTACGGCTATGTAATCAATATTGATAAATCATGAAGTCAGGAATCTTAAAATCCGTTCGTTGATTAATCTTATAATTACATTCCAGTCAATATTTTACTAACTGTCAATATTTCTTGTGGTAATATATGTAGTCTGGCTCACTTGGTAGAGGCAAACGCCAATGATTTACTGTCAAGTCCCGTGATCAATCCTTTGGACAAGAAGGCCAACGGCTTCTGTAGTCAGTCTCGAAAGAAGGTATTTTACATGCTTAATACTTGCGTCCATCACACGACCTGGAAAATAGCTAATGCAGTATACTCATACAGTAGCACACGATATTTCAATATTCCGACATGTACTGAAACTGCTTGATTGAAAATTAATTATATATTCATCTTATTACTCGATTTAATTCAATCCGGTTGAAAAGACAACCACGTTCATTCTTTAAAAATTCATGCGGAAAACTGTAGCAAAATGCAATATTTAAATTATCTGTATCATAATTAAACACGAATTAATATTTCTGCATTATACTACTCTGCTATAAGTTAACTGTAGTGACCGATCATTTCCAACCGTACACATAGGATACACACTCGAATTGTTATAAATTAAATTTTATTTTATTTAAAATGGAGTACTTAACGATTTCACTGTAATCATAAAGCCTTGATGTTAATAAAACGCAAATAATTATATTAATATAGTGACATCATGTCCTACATAACCTGAAAGAACTTTACAGTGGCAGATTTCATCCATTAATTATATAATAAATGTACAGAGTCTCTTTAGAAGAGATTTTTCAAGAGCATATCCTTAAATTGGATATTTAGAATAGCCATACTATAAATCCGTTTAAACAAAATGAACAGTCATTTGAAATCCGCGTCATATATTAGTCAAGTTTATACTATGAAAGACGGTTTCTCAAACAGTCCCGACAGCATAAAAATGTCCTACGATTAGTAAGGATTAAAAATAAATAACAGTTGTATGTCGCATCAGCTTTAATATGATTAACAGTCAATTGGCAGAACATGTTTTTACTTTATAATTCAAGTTGATAGTTACTAGTAACGTTGTACAGCAAGTCACTTTTTCCTTAATTCGTAATAAATAATTTTCAGGATCAGATATACATCAAATCGACTACTTTGAATTACGGTCGATGATTGTACAGTACTTGCACGATCGATTTTTAACGTTCACAGTAGTCAGCAGAATCTCTAAAATCTACCGATGGCGAATCCATCAAAGAAATGGAATCGTATTCCGATTCAAAATCAGAGTCAATCAATTGATGCAGCTGTTCATCTTGATCACAATCAGCATATACGTAATAATTATGTCTTATGTAAAAGATGGTATGAAATACGTCACAATTGCATAACGCAACAATCTCTCGGCAAAGTTGTCGGGGGACCTCCGGAAAGATGTATTGAATAAGAAGAACGATCCTTTCATAGCAATTCGCTGGCGACAGATCCTCTGCAACAGCAATAACAAATATTACAATGTTGCAAAGCGTATTGCAATTCTAGTGTGCGAATAAAGACGTACGGACTCTGTCAGTATCTAGGTTTTACTTCAAGTCTGTAATATCAAGTCTATCCATTAGCACTATTTGATCTAAAGTATATTTGCACAACAGTTTTAATACACACAGAATATTTTAATTTTGACATCCATGAATATGCATGTAGGAAGGTTGAAACTTGAATTGAAAAGACGCCAATCTAATCTATGCATATATCAAATGGTACAGGAAAGTGCAATTATATACCACCTTTAACACGAGAACGTTCCGCAATACTACTAGTACTATGTCAGTAGCGTTGATCAAAATGAAAAATGCTAACATTGATTACTGTAATTTTGGCGTACGCGACTACCTACCATAGAACAGTTCTTCAATTATTAATTAATATAAGCTATAGTTGGTCAAGATTGATTAGAACACTGTCTATGCGTGTGTAAAATTTCTGATTCCCTAATCGTGGCGCATCCACTTCTCGCAGGGTGGGTTAGCTAATGCTTCTAGGCTATAACAGAAAAATTGTCTCACTTACCCTCCAAGTTGATATGTTCGTCTGAAGAGTTTGCTTGGTTGATCAATACCGTACTCGATAGATGTTGTACTATATTCTCTTCATTAGGGTATTTATCATGCACAACTTCACATGGATCCTGCATTCTATGCAAGGGACATTGAAGGCATATTTCTGTTGTCGAGCATCGACATTCGCACAATCGATCGATAGTCATCCAGTCTAAAAATTGCAGTACATATTAGTAAAGATATCAAGAATTCTATCGAGACAAATTTTAAGCTATCCTGTAAATACGGAGTGATTCCGTTGCACTTATTCTACGTCAATCTTTATGCTACTTACACAATCAAGCAAAATAAGAAGGAAAAAAAATAATAAGCAATGGAAATTCTGATCGAAAACAGATGCAACTTGCGAAGTCTTTGAACAGTGCTACGAAAAATCTTTCCAAACCAATTTGTCTCGTAGGTATTTATAGACAATGCCATGACTAATCAGTTTAGCTGTTTACGGTATGGTAAGATAACATACGATGAGGTATAAAAAAAAATTGGTTGGTGCCAAGGGTAATCGGTAATGAGTCACGCCTGCATGGAAAGTTATCGAAGGTAGTTGATAGATTACGGAACTAATGCATTCCTTCCGTAAGCTCCATTTTTGCGTATCCCGCTCATTTTTTTAAAATGGAGCTCTTTGTTAGTCATTACATCTTGAAAATGATAACTGATGATAGTCAGCTTGACTGTACAGTGTAAGTAAGCCATATTGATGATGATGGTAACGTACAGTACGATACGCGATAATTCCTGTCCAGGCTACAATTTAGGCGCCTAAATCGCTATCAAGATCGAATCATGTTCGATTACTTTCCTGATAAAGCCGATCATCGATAAAAATGATAAAAATGGTCTTGTCAATGCCTGCAGTTTACTGTTAATCACTTCCAGCTCCATCATTATCAACTTGATGATCCTCCTACTGTATTTGCTGACGTAAATATTTTATACACTTTTCCTGAATGGAGATTACGTATGAAGATCGATTTTTGCCCTAGGTTGTACAACTTGTCCTTGTTGACGATCAATATATACTGTACTGTACTGTCGCGATTATTGCGGTTGCTATCTTGATGTCCATTTTGATTTGAGGTATCGTACGATACCAGCAAAAGATATCTACGTCGCCATATCATAATTATACAGTACCTTTGCCAGGACAGCGATGAGCTAATATTGCTCCTTTTAAATGGAAGTGACTTGAATTTTATATGTTCCCTATCATTTAATTCAGATTTTTGATAGCATTTGGAATAACGATAACGGCAACAAATTACTACAAAATAATAAAAAACAATCAAATTATTATTGCAGTATAACACCATGCTACCGCTGTACAGCTTTCAACTGTACTCGCACAAACGCAATATGCGATCATGCGGTTGCAGTTTTTTTAAATTAGACTGGATTTGAAAGATTAAATAACCTATATCGGTACTGTACAAGTATGCATACTGTACCTTGTAATCCAGGTAGGATAGCGCACTGTTAATATTATTATAATCTGCATTTGACGACAAGATCAGACGGTAAGGAATTTATAGCGGCTACTGCCGTCTAAATATTACAAATAGCAATCAACACTACAGTCGTTATTACACAATCTACGGTATAGCGGGGTGGACAAAATATCCAACTTATTTATGGTAAGTTTATTGCTCTCTGACTCGAAAATTGACACATGTTCGAGGTCTGGTCCGAAAACGTCTCAATAAGAGGGATATTTGGTGGTAAGGCGCCTTCGTTATTACACACCCTAGACCAGACCTCTAGACTGTACAGCAGCGTTTTGCTTACTACTTTCTTCTTTACTACAAAATCCCCCCCCCCCCAAATTTCTCTCCCGTCCATTCCATACTCCAATCTTGAATTCCCCGCTATCTTATTTTAAATCGTGTAGTGTTATGGAGGTCTTGCTCATATGATGTCCTGTGCAAGCCGAAAGCATGCAATACGTAAATCAGACAAATGATTAACATATGGCGATATCAGTGTGATAATTTTGAAGCGATATCAAGGCGGCTTCTGGAGTTGATAGGCGACGATAGCCTATTTTATCTCTTCTAGGTATTAATCAACCGGAAAAAATTGCGCACCTAACGTCCCGCAATTACTCCGCCTCCATCAGCTGCTGGAATGCTACGCTTGAACTGGAGTTCCAAATCAATTTTTGTTATTATTTATTTATTATGAACAATTGCTGCAATCGATACCAAAGTTCAGCAGAAAAGTATTCTACGCGATATCAATCGATTCTTTTTTTTACTGGAAATCTAAATTGCATGGTTCTCCAATCAGCAGTCAGTGCACATTTTTACTGTTCGTACCTGTCTAGACAAGTTAGACCCACTGCATGGAAGTAGATTGTATAATACTTTACTAGCCATGTTCCACCGCGAAAAGCTGTACCAATATAGCCATTTACTGTTAATTTATTATTACTATCACTATTGCTTGATTTCCATTTCTAGTTAAAGTTCAATCCGGTGTTGCATGCAACAAATGCAACACTGGATCATTCACATTTTTACAATGATAGTAATTCATGTACTTGAAAGCTGATATACTGTTTGCATCAGTCACGGTTTATCAAGCTTGTGAAATTGCAAATTTTTCCTGCTATCAGGGTTAGTATTAAGAATATTTAAAAATGGCTAATGATAAAGAAAATCTCGATACTATGCAATATCGTAAACGGGTCTTCTGTTAAGAAATGGATGAATAACCTTCATTTTCACCGTAATCAATATAATAACAGTAGGACGACTTCGATCGAACATCCTGCACGTTTCTAATACGGCATTATACAGTACCTACCAAATCTGCAAACTAGCTGATGGGAAGGCAATTATTTTCTCTTTAGTAGGCCCTATAACTAGCTTAGTGTACGCTGGACTTTTAAACGGCTATAACTGTACTGCAGTAGTTTATTCATTGTTGCCTTGGACAGACTTTCAACATAATAATTTCATGGCTTCATTATGCAGTCCTACGCGTTTACACTGTATAGATACAATCTACAAGGTAAACATGAGTAAAAGGTATAGGTTACGCACTAATTCACCTGTGTTTAAGTCATGTTGGCAGATAAAAAAGGGAAATTTCAAGCTACTATGATGAGAACTATCAGACATAAGATTCTCAACAGTGAAGCATTCCAAATTTAAAAAGAAAAAATTCATTTTCAAGTCTAGTAACTCATATACACTGAGAATATTGTTTTATTGAATATCCATAAGCAGTGAGACTTGAGTCAATGACAGAAATATATACTACAAGATACAAAGATAGAAGGTTCATTGGCTACATTGTGGTCTATTCCAAAGCCAGAGGTATACGATATACAGTATATTCTGGTCTTTTCAATAAGCGGTTACAAAAATAAGTACGATTTCGTAATTTCTATTTCATTCAAGTTATGGATAAATGATCACAGTATTTATCAACTATGCATTGTACCGCAAGGTCCATTTCGAATCTTATACTCATATGAAATAAGTAAATATTTGTTCCAAACATGTCTGAATTTTTCGAGGTCACATTTCACAATCTTGCAATTTAATATTAGGGGTGACCATTTTAATTAGTGATCGATTCATATTAAAAGATCATACAATGCAATATGGCATATACAAATATAACCTCAAATTATAATTGCCCGTAAACAGTTTTTAATAATTTGACCTTTGTAAAATGTTTAAGGGTTATTCCTGGTTTGTAAACCTATTTACAGTCTAACGCATTGGTGATATAACTAACCAGTAGCGGCATTTTTGAATTAGTTATTATTAAAATTATATTTGCATCCATCCCTAAACTATTACCAAATTTCCTTTTACCTAACTCTACGTTATCTGTGTTCATAAACCAATTCTTAGATAATTCAAATTAAAATAAAGCTAACATTTTTCTCTCTGTTAAGGGTCCTAACTGTAAACTCATCTATTCATATAGCTGTATATGACATTGAAAGCAAGCAGTTAATAGAGAATCAATGCCCTTGCAGACCTTCAGTCAAAATTTGAATAGAGACTGTTAGGTTGTAATAATAGTGATTAAAAAGTAATATAATAAATATGTCGTATTCCTGCATATAGAGTAAGTTAAAATATAATACCTTGGATTATTGTAATTATTATTTATCACAAAATTTCCATATTATGGCTTATCACATTGTTATAAACAAAATAATTATAATTTATAAAATTTTAATCAAGTATTCAGCTTGTCCTTTCTGAAATGTCGGTTGCATTTCTATAAACTGTTGAAATTCTTTGATAACATCTTCTAGCTTTTTATCACTCAATATTTTTAATGTATAATGATGGCGTAATTGTTGCCTTAACTCTGAACACCTGCTTTTATAAGCATCGATAACCCTTTCAAGTTTACCTATTTCCTCTTGGTGTTCCTTATTAACTGTGCTAATCTTGTCTTCAATTTCAACAATGAAACCTTGTCTGAGTTTAACCAAAGCTTCTTCTTTTTCTTTATTCATTTTTGTGGCTAAATTTTGCATAGCTTCAAATTTAGCTTTTGTATACTTTCTGACATCAGCCTGTCTCCTTTGTTCATATTGTCGAGAAGTTTCTCGAGCTTCTTTCTCAGCTAATGCTCTTTCAAAAATTCTACCTTCATTAAAAGCTTGCTTTCTAAGTTGTTCTTCGTTCTTTAATGTTGACATAATCTCCATTTTTAACCTAGCTTCTGCCTGTATTCTTTGCTGTTCCAATCGATTATACATTGATTCTTGCATTTCATCCTTGATTTTTTGCGTTTCACGCGCTAACGCTCTCTTTTCAGACTCTTTTGCTGTAGCGAGAGCACGCTCTTTTTCTAAAGCCGCGGCTTCCAACACCTCCTGTAATTCTTGTCGTTTTATTTCGTTTGCTTTTTTCCATACTTTCTGCTCGGTACTATCAACTGTCTCTTTAACTAAGCGATGATTTTTTTCTTTTGTATGTTCTTCTATGCTTTTGCCTATATCTAATTAATTGATGAAAAGTGTTGATATATATTTCAATTAACTATATAAATAGGATAATATTCATTGCCAACACTGTATCATTGGGTGACTATGAGGATGATACTAGAGGACTCTAATTTTTACCTAATATAGATTTATGCGACAAGGCTTGAATATTGACGGTCTTTGTTTCTTCATATCTTCGGGGTAATAATTTACCGAGATCTTTTAGTGACGGTCCGAGTGGTTTAGGGGGTGAATATTTTTTTCTGGGTGATATTAATCGATTCGTACGTTGACTAGATGTTGCCATCGAGATTGATCAATAGACGCTAGTGATAATGAATAAGTTGATAAAATAAGTAAGTTGTGATTGATATCGCCCTAAGTAATTGTTCAACATTAGCACGCGTACTAATTTACTAGATTGTGTACATGAATTGTAGTAACGTAAGCTGTTCACTTTGAACGTGGGGCAATCAAAACAGAAAAAGATGTGGTTATTAAAGGCGATATCTAATTTAACGTATTTATAAAACAATAAGAAATCAATTGAATTTATTGTAGCATAATGTTGTATGTTTCGAAACTTATTCATGACTGAAGTTCCATGCTAGTAAAGCTAGCAGAGCCATTCTGGAGTGCACTTACTATTTATTTTGCAGCATATTTTTCAAACATAGTACCAAATAAGTGTACGTGATGATATTTTATTATTCCTTGCGATTAACTGATCTTGAAGTGGTGAACTTGAATTACCAGTTTGCTCTATCTGTAGAATGAGTGACGGGAATACTGAAAGTACAGTATGCATTAAGCCTAGTGCCAACAAAATATTTATAGAACAGTTTGTGCTCGTATCACAATACTACGCATATATAGGACACTACTGTACTGTATGGATTTCAATCTTAGCTTAGATAGCCTAAGTGTAGGGCTTGATTACTTGGGGTGTTCGCTCAAAGTAATGTCCAGGAATCTAACTTTGGTATAATTATTGGCAGACTTTAAAATATTGTATGAACTTGATCAGCTTTGTCGATATCAAACATTTCAGCGCTGCTATGGTTACCGTTGAGAATGTCGAAGCGTCGAAGTTTCAATGACTGCGCAGTCGCACAATTATCGAGTACCTGGAGTCACAAGCTGTGACATCTTCTTCCAGCTAATTCTACTTGCTATTTTCTACGGCTAAACTAGCAGCTAAAGCGCTACAATATTGGCATCGAGGTTCAAGCATTTCCTTTTACCATGAAATGTCACTGTGTAGAGTACTACAGCACAGTGACTTGCATCAATCTCGATAAGAAATGCAGTACGCCAGAAATTATTTGATTTATGGTCAAGTATGTCAACAGTCCTTTGAACAACTGCATGGAATTCAACATGATGTAGTTACATTGGATACCTACATCTTATCGAGATTTGTGCAACACTGCTGTAGCACAAATCTCGATAAGAAAGTGGTACACCAGGTAATATTTGATTTATGATCAATCACACTGCATCGAGTTGAGCATATCTGTTGCGAGCAATGTACTCTTATTACTGTACTGTATGTTTTATACAGTACAATGCTGTAGCCTAAATCTAGACAAGAAATATATGCCAGATAATATTGCATTTATGGTCAAGCATACTATCTTTTTAAGACTGCATCGAGTTCAACATGCCGTAGCACCAATCTCGATCAAAAATACAGTACACTAGATAATACTTGATTTATGATCAAGCATGAAGTGGGCATACAATGCAACTACACCAGTGCACTGCTGTAGCACAAATCTCGATAGGAAATAATACCGTACGCTAGATAACAGTTGATTGATGGTCAAGCATGCAGACCTTTAACACTGAATAAAGTGGGTATCCAATGCAACTACACCAGTACACTGCTGTAGCACAAATCTCTGGATATGACACTGCATCAAGTTCAACATGATGTGGGCATCCAATGCAACTACATCACGACTCTGCTGGAGCACAAATTTCGATGAGAAATAATACAGTACGCCAGATAATAGTTGATTGATTGATGGTCAAGTATGCTGTCCTTTAACGCTGCATCGAGTTCAACATGAAAAGGGTATCTAAATACAGCTACACCAGTACACTGCCGTAGCACAAATCTCTCGATATGACACTGCATCGAGTTCAACATGGAGTGGGCATCCAATGCAACTACATCACGACTCTGCTGGAGCACAAATTTCGTTGAGAAATAATACAGTACGCCAGATAATAGCTGATTGATGGTCAAGCATGCTGTCGTTTAACGCTGCGTCGAATTCAACATGAAAAGGGTATCTAAATGCAGCTACACCAGTACACTACTGTAGCACAAATCTCTCGATATGATACTGCATCGAGTTCAACGTGGAGTGGGCATCCAATGCAACTACATCATGGCTCTGCTGGAAGGCAAATTTCGATGAGAAATAATACAGTACACCAGATAATAGTTGATTGATGGTCAAGCATGCCGTCCTTTAACGCTGCATCGAGTTCAACATGAAAAGGGTATCTAAATGCAGCTACACCAGCACACTACAGTACTGTAGCATAAATCTCTCAATATGACACTGCATCGAGTTCAACATGAAGTGAGCATCCAATGCAACTACATCATGACTGCTGGAAGGCAAATTTCGATGAGAAATAATACAGTACACCAGATAATAGTTGATTGATGGTCAAGTATGCTATCCTTCAACACTGCATCGAGTTCGCATATCCAATGCAACCATTGGATCATCAGTCTCTGTCTGTCCGAGACGTCTACTGTATTGTACGATAGAACATTTTGTGGGGCCATAGAATGCCATACTGTATTGGTGGTGTGCGTGATATCCAAGTCAAGTGAATATACTTTACTATGATCGGGATGGGGCAAATGGGAATGATGCTGAGTGGACAGGCATTGCACTTTCTTCGGGCATTTCTTAACAAGCTTCTGAAACTGGGCAAGATTGCAGCAAAAAAGTTGTGTCTTATCCGATATAGCCAGAGACTAGAACATTCATCCATTGGCATTGTATTGAGGTAATCCTACGATAGACGTATCGTAGGATTGATTTAAATCGCCAGTATCGAGTAGCAATGGCTGCTGAAGTAGGTAACCCTGTTATACCTGGACAACGCCTTGGCAGTATTGATCAATTCTCAGCTGGACTTGGAACCTATGTTAGGCAAAGGCATATCTATGCAAGCTTAGTAGGTTACAAAGATATTATTAGCCAAGCTGGGCAGGTAAGTCTTGCAGTAAATAGAGCTTGATTTGCTTCATCAATCACTGGTGTAGGATCTAATCCAAATTTTATACCATGATTGATCTTGACTAACGTTGGATTAGAATTAGAAAGCATCGTTTCAAGCATGCAACTTGAACATCATTTTTGTTGTTTCAGCTACCCAAGATTCAGATCAAGACCGGCAATGTCTCCTGTAATTTACCCACGATTGGAAAAGTTGTTACAGCTAAGGTGATTGTACTCTTTTAACATATTTTTCCTATCATTCGTAATGGAAAATAATATTGTTACCCGGTCTATTCAACGAGCATGTTACTTCGTTCATACATCGAAAAATTCACAGGGAAGATGGAACACTGCTATACTGCATGATACTACTATTACGCGTATTTCGCTAAACGATTAAATTGCTATGCACGTAGTCTACTACTATACATACAGTGTAATGCATAATAATAATGAACTCGCTGTGATAAATGCTCATATTAAAAGAGGATCAAACATACTGAATGCAATTTAGGTATTAAACGTCAATCCAAGATTTTGTAGAGTGCTCATTATCTGCATTGGAACGACGCCATTAAAGGAACCCTTCAAAGGCACGATAAGGTAGCAAAGATGGCTGTCATGATACCTTTTGTACTAGATGCTAAGGCGATGATCGTCTTTACTGTCATCAACGTTAAGACGATGTTTTATTGTGTGTCTTTCAGGAAAGAAGATATTAGAGCCACTGAGAAAGATAAAGTTTGTGGATATTCTTCTTACCATCGTTTACTCTTCACCACAAGTAATGTTGCTTTCGCTAGTATCAACAACTGCTTTGTATATTTACTATTTAGGTTGATATGTACAATTGCTTTAAACCTGGAGACGCAGTCTTAGCTGAAGTCGTATCCACACTATAAATCTACTACAGACTCCTTCCTACGCAAATATTGTCATTTCACGTTTTACATGATTGAAATTTGTTTCTCTTGACATACTCATCCTGTACACATAGATATCACTAGGTGATCCAAGATCTTATTACTTATCGACAGCAAAAAATGAGTTAGGAGTCATTTTCGCTAAGAGTACAGCCGGTATGATCCATATCGCAAAAATTCTAATAGTATAGAAATGATAAAGTAATTCTTATGAATAACCGTGTTTAACTGTCTATCTAAAGGTCACCCGATGGTTCCAATCAGTTGGACGGAGATGCAATGTCCTCATACGGAAAAAATAGAATTACGAAAAGTTGCTGGGATAAAATATTGGACTGATAGCTGATGCACATTTTGTCATCTATTATCTCGTCACTCATCGATAAATGCCACACTTTTACTAGTCGCTAATGTATGGATGTTAGGCAGCAATTTGTCGTTATTAAAATTGGATAATGATAAGATATGTATTATCAAAGTGCATATATATATGTGTATAACACTTTATATACAGTACTACTTTACTTTAACGTCACCATGCTACATACTTGAAATTGCATGATTTATATGTATATATTTACATTCATCAATGATTCAAATAAATGAGGCGTAGTGTTGGCCTTATCATATTGAATGATCGATTTTATATGTTATTTTTTTCCTTCATTCCGTGTTAGAGTATTGTACTCAATTTTATAGTGAACTCTCTCTTTGATAGTTAATATAATCATATTGCATAAATGCGAATAACAGTCACTCCGTTTGTCATTGCGTATGCACATATTGATTTATTTATCATTCATTGCAATATACTACTGCATTATACTAAGGTAGATATTGATATTACGTATTCATCATAAATTATAATTCAGTCATTTCTTAATACGCAAAGTAGATGTAGCAATAGGCATATAAGAGCAAGTACTACCTAATTTGACACCAGCATTATCTGCATTAGTAATAATCGATTATTTATAGTCTCTTGTGCAAGAGCGAGAAATTTATTTATAATAACGTATGACTATTTAATGGTCTAAGACTATCACAGATCTTAACATTAATTGAAATTGAACGTATATTGCATCTATGCTATGTAGTAGCTGTAGAGTAATTGCTGGAGCCACTTCACAGATTAGATTGGGAAGAAATTTTATTCTTAGCAATATTTTCCCTAGTCTAAATAAGATAATAACTACGGTTACAGTAGTTGTTTAAGTTATTTTTATTGACATCGTATTCTACTATCCAGATCTAGAGTTTGCATGAAGGATTTCATTGCTCATTTCATGGTCATGCTGGCGTGCAAGCATTTCCCACTCTCTACAATTATCTTTTGTACGTTTATATAGCTGGTGTAATTCAGGAAAGTAATCAGTAATGGCCTACGCATTATGTAACAATAGAGAAAAGTTAATTGTAATTCATAAGTAAATTTGCCTAGCCGAAGCAATATCAATGCTATTAATAAAAAGCCTAAATAAAAAAACTAAGCGCAATCACTCCACTCTTTTTACCTCATAAATTGGTATGCAAACATTATCAATAAATTTAATTTGCATCTTCGGTAGTAATTCTCTCTTATTTCTATCCAGCATCGCCTAAAAATCATAGTACAAACAATTGCATTCATGTAATGTGAGAAATATATTTATCTCCACGATATCATACTATGCTACCGTATAAGATACGGTCAATTTTAAAGCCAGAAATTAATAATTAGCCATACAGTGGGTTGCTTATTCAACTTATGCCTCGCCATGTCTCCTAAGGTAAAAAATTCTTCCGCAACTAATTGAGCGACCTGCAGTTATTTAGAAAATATAAATTTAACTTGTATCTTTATTGCATGTTAATTCCATCTGACATATGCCTTACATTTGCTTCTGGATTATCTATATTATTATCACATAAAATAGGATATCTAATTTGTTGTACTGATGATTGAAACATTTCAGAAATAATCATACTCTATATTGAATATGCCAAGGTTTTGTTATAGCTCCCAAATCGCAAACAGTCATCAACATAGCCCTTATAAATACCCAATTGAAAACAGGTATTATGGTTATTGATGAATAGAATTATATCAGCCAAGAAAAATAATTATTACCAGTACTTTGGACATACGTGATAACATATTGTACATAAAGCATACATGATTAGTGTACAGTACAGTAACATAATATCAAATATATTCGTACCTTAATAACTTCCTGTGTTCATATTGAGTAAGGTCTAAAGTCCTTGATCGTAATAATTGCAAAAACTGATCACGTTCTCTATTATATGATATTAAATGTAGAATATAATTCTTAAATTAATCTCACCTCATTTTAAAATAAATGAACAATCATGCCTTAAATAATTTTAGTTACAATATAAATAAAGATAATGATGACTTCAGTACAATTTAACAAAATATTTATTAATTATCATTGAAATATTTCATACTTTAAGTGAAGAGCTAAATCTGTTGATACCACAGCGTGCTCCATTATATTAAGAATTTCTCGCCTTTCACTGTCGTTAGCAGCAGCTAAGATATTGTTGTTCTAACAGGAAAAAGCAACAAGAAATAAAAGTTTAATAAGGAAATTATAACGGGTAGGGATAATCGATACTTTCGAGGCATGGTCTCGAAATGATAAGTAGTAAATGATCATTTTTCACTAGCTGTATAGCTAACCACTATATAATATCAATGATTAATTGATAAAATGTAAACAATCTAATACATACAAATTAATTCTATTTACCTCGCTATTTAAAATCATGAGACTGTAATCAAAATGATGATGCTCCATCGTTGATGTGCCATATATTTTAGCCAATGGTGAATTACATCTAGTATTTCAATATGTCAAAATATTATAATTATTGACTTATTTAAGCATTTTTATCATATGCATTATTAATTTATCTTGTACTGGAAAATTAAGAGCGTCAAAGGCTATCTTTTTTTAAAATGATTACAAGTAATCGTACTATATAAATTATTCAGACGTTTCAAATACCATCTTGAAAGATCTGTAAACGATCTAAAATCTTTTAAACTTAAATTATACAGCTAGTTACAGTAAATGATCTTACTCTAACTCAAAACTGTTACTAGTCCCTCGATGATCCAAATCGTGACAAAAACAGGCAATTAATAAGGCAAACGCCTCTACTTTGGAGACATGCTGGAGGATTGTAGTACTCTAAGAATCCATAAATCAAATGATACAAATAATTCTTAAAATATCGTATACATTTGAATCAAGATTGCGCGAATGATAATTTCATTAGTTAGATTTAATATTGCATTAATTTTCATTCACAGCCATATTTCTGTTAAAAGCTAGACATAATAGATAATAGAAAATATAGCTTTCTGTATGGTCTCTTATTATTGCTATTTTACCTGCATAATTGTAAACATCATTTGAGCAACATTAAATGCATGCCGCCAATTATGGTAACAGACGCTTCGATAGTTCTTTTTGACACTTAAAATCCATCGGCACAAGGTCTAAATAATCAGTAGCCTCTTTATTCTAAATCTATGGCTATGATTTAGCAACTATCCAATACTGCAGTTTCTACAAAATCTAATTTTATTGATTAGGTTAGCGTAAGAACTGACCTCTTTAGGAATTTTAAATCGTTTTGCAAATCCGCAGTCTAAAAACATTCGTAAGGAAGACAACAAGGACTGGTGATCATCCAGTAAGGCATCATCGAAGCCAAAGTCAGTAAGATTTAATTCCATTGCTGGAGGAATTTCTACTATCTAGTGACATTAATTCAAGAAGACTTGAGTATTCCAAATAAATTGAATGTTCGATTTAGCGCTTTTCATACATTTATACTATCTTCTAAGTTATCTAAAGATTTTAATATCAAAATGTACTACTATACTAAATTCGATATTTAAAGGATAATAGCAAAAAAAATGTTTTGTTCTGGCATAGTTAGCGTGTTAAACCTAGCATTAATGTATCGACGATCTACTATTTCGTTCATTGTACAGTTACGAAATTTAAAACTTTGTTCAAATGTCCTATACTAATATTATCAAATGATGCTGATCTAAATTCAGTTCATAGACGTTACGTAATTAAATCTAGAGTAAATTTTCCATTAAATGTAACATGATTTATAAATACATTGATACCGCTAAAGCTTTGGCTTTAGTTGGCGAAGCGGAGGCATGATATGATAACACCTGCAGAATTAGTTAAAAAGATACGTATTTACAGCTATTGACACAATTCGAAACCGATAATTATACAGGCTTAAATTAAGACGTCTACTATACATAAATACATGCACACTCTGAGATTACGATAATGGCCCGAATAAGATTTAACTCTGCTAAAATGCATATTAAAAACTATTAAAATGGATATTACAGGAATCGGTATTATAATTGTAATTCTTGTGTGCTGGTTGTATACAACTATATGTACTTCAAATCGAGATTTGTATTCACTGCTACTAACCTCTAAAGCAACATTTTGCTTGGCCAGCAGTTGAGTAACATGAGTAAACATTAAGCAATTATAAATTCCTAAACCACAAAATATGGCAAAAGCTTCAAATAGATTTTCATCATTGCTGTCGAATGGCATTCCATCCAATTTGTTGACCAACTGAGCGATACCTATAAGATGAAATTATCGTAGTTAAGCTTCTTAGTGTTATCTGATCCTTTACTGATGTTAGAGGTCATTAATGGAATTAAAACATTTCAGGTTAGAATCACATAAACATCTATTAGATATAACGAAACCTTGCGTATCAGCTGTGAAGATTTATTACTGTCTAGTTTATAAGTCAAAAATTGATATACCAATTATTTTTTGATCATAGTTAATAGATCCAAAATCTAAAGAGGAACTTGTCGACTTTTGGGTTGGAATTTTACCAAAAATGGGCATGCAAAGAACGTTTTCATTGAATTCTTTATCGAATTTCTTAAGTAATTGAAAATTATCCATTATTAATACAGCACATCGTACTCAGATAATATTGATATGATTTAACAACTATAATTATTGTTCTGATTTTAATTGATCAGTAAACAATCTTTTTCCGTATTAAGATTTAATTATAGAGTGGTCACCTTGAGACTACATACAATTTTAGCCGGTAATATAATTAAATTAATAATACAATCATTTCGTTGTCCATATATCAATTTTATATACTAAATTTTCATACCTCAGTGTCCTTATTTTCATCGTTGTGTAATAAAGCAATGTTGATTGTCTAAAACATTATACGAATTCGTTTTAACAACGTGATCGACTTTACTGTACTCTGGACAGTATTATCTTATCGTTGGCCAAATATTATTATACTCTAGAACTATTATTTTTCCTTAGTACAGCACAAAGTAGGTAATTTCATTCACTTAAATTGAGCAAACTAAAGGCAGTAATCAAACAGAATGTGCTTAATAGATAATTCGTTTATACTATACCTTTCCCGTCCTTGCCACTTGTTTTACTAATCCAATATACAGCCCGCGAGTTCCTGGAATGCACCTTACTTTTTTAATCTTTTCCTTCGTCTCACCATCTCGAATATCCAGATCATAAACTTTACCCAGGGATATATCCTATGTATAAATAAGGTTAATTGCACAATCCAAGTTTAATCTTTAGCCAATACTGACATTTATTGGCAAAGCTAGATGTTTATTGATGAAAGTGTAATCCATTTAGTAGTACAGTATTTACGTTGCTTGAGGTATGGATATCGTTGTCGACTAGGAATATTGTACATCTTCTACAATTCAACAGCTGTCTAGCTTCAACAGTAATCGTGTGGATAATTCGGTCCATGTCATGTTGTTCTTCAAAAATTCCGTGTGCAAGTTCTAGCAATGCCTAGTAATACCATAATGGAGTCAATGTCATTATATTGCTATCTACAGTAAGTGAGTAACAACGTTCACTAATAACATAATAATGGGTTTCTACAATTATGTCATCAATGGATAAATAAAAAATAATATAGCAGAACTTTTACAAGTGTTAGCGTGAAATAAACTGAATAGCAGCCTGAAATGAATGCTTATTTACTGTACTGTACGTCTATAGTTTGTTCTATTCACTGGATAGGAGAGTCTAATTAATTATACGTAGACTCTCTCAACACAGTAGAATCGAGTCGGAATCAGATCCCAGAATCGTATTTGGAGAGTAGGTATGCTTACGCGATTTCTTTGCGATTCTACTAATGAAGTTTCATATATATCCGCATTGGCAATTCCAATTGCGCAAAATACCAAATATTTCTGAAAAACCTGGAGATCAAATGATGAAATGAAATTTTTTTTGAGTTGATGTTGTTATGAAAGCAACTGGTTCTAGGCTTATTTTTTAAGCTGTGACATTAGTATGTCATATTTCACAATTATAATTGCAAATTAGTCAATAACTAGTCTGAATTAAAAATTTTCATAGTCAGTTATCACCTTTCTGATCTTAAATTGTAATCTGCTTTTAATGAAAATTTTAGTTGTACCTTTTCATCTTTCGCCGTAAATTTCTCTTCGCCATTTTTCTTATTGATAACTTGAGCAACACCAATAACCTTACCGAGGATTAAAATTAAAGTCATTGTAAGTTTAAAACCGATTTGAAATGCTTTCGATGAGAAGAAGTTTGATTTACTACATCATTTATGTTCATCAACTATAACAGTATTATAACACACAATTGTTACGTAGTAGCTTTGGCCATGAAAATAGAATACACGTATATAGATTTGCCAGTGTTACTAGATATATTTTTACAGTAGAAGTCTTGATATCTGTTGTATAGAGTTCTACATCTCTAAAGCAAATCCAATAAACTGATGAAACGGAGATCGAAACAGTAGTTATGATGGCGTTAACTGATTAGGGTATCCCACGGATCAAGTAGGAAGAAGTTGATCCTATCCCACTGCTAAAGAGGGTAGAGTCGAAGAGGTATTCAAATTTGAGTCAATACACTCAGATCTTGGGTATCGATAAGCGTTTCGCAAAATTTCTAATACAACTCGTCATCTAAAGATGGTAAGAACGCCTATGATCGATCTGTTTCTTTCAATTAGAATAAAAAATGGTTGGTAATTCAGACATGTGCGATAAAATTGCCGAGGGCAATACAGTGTATTTACAGTAGTAAGGCTTGTTTGAAGGGAAATTTAGCAATAAAATGAAGCAGTCACGAGACGATAACTAAAATGTTCGAACAAAGTGTGAAATAATTTGGATTATTTGCATTCTAACGTGATAATTTAGCAGCTCTCGAAGTTAAGGGGTACAGTACTTGATTAAAGTGGAGAAATTTTGTTGAGAAGGTCCAGTATACGAGTAATGCGAGTAGAACTGCATACCGAGAAATTAGAGTCCAATATAGTGTGACAATATTCTGAATCGTTTGCATTTTAGATTTCACCAGCTTACTGACTTTTTCAATTTGTAAATTACCAGAAGAAAAGCATATTTTAGTGCCAACCAAAAGTCCTTTAATTAATATCTTTCTCAAAAGGAACTGTAGACAAACTCGAGACACGGTCATCATTGTTGTTTCGATAGATCAATTAATCTGACATAGCACGGTTACTAATCCGGAAGATCAATGCCGGCAATATCGTATTGTACGGCTGTAGATGTATTGTCCCTCAGCAATTACTAAACTAAATAGCGACTAAATTTTAATCAGTTTTGAAGTACAAATTGCGCCATTTCTACTTGCTTAATGAACTCAATCAGGTACGGCACCCTGGCTGGATAAGCAAAAAGATTAGGTTAGCAATTGACTGTATAATTTGCTTTTAATCAGCCTTTGCAAATTGCAATGGCACAAATTTCATCCTACAGTTGTAATTTCTAATGACAATTTGTCCTTCAGAATTATTTACACGGGCTGATCACAAATATGAATGGCAGTGAGAGTATTCGTCATATGCGAATTATGATGTAATCCATAACCATCGATACTGGCCTTAGAAGTACCTAATTACTAATACGGCCTAATTATGGAAGTATTTTCTTGATTTTCAGTCTTTTTCTAGTTCGCTTCTTGCGTCCAAAATAGGTATAGTATAATGCTTAGGAGGATATACTAACTTAACTTGCTATATTCGCAATTCGGCCTTACATTACATGACACAAGGTATAGCCTGAGCTCAAATATTAAAACGGATCAATTGAAGTACTCTTACGTTGCAAGGAAGTTTACGACAGATGTTTTATAATTTTATTTTTTGTCTAATTCTCCTATACAGAATTCATCAATAAATTACGGGAAACTCAATTATCAACTGTTATCACTGAATCTCTGCCATTTTTTTTTTTGGTGTAGTATATATCTATATTCTAGCCCTCGGGGCATATTTTTAACTTGCAATGATTTCGAATTTCTTTCAGCTCTAGCTGTATCTTCAATTTGTAGTCATTTCAAATTGTAATCCCTAAATCCCTACCAATCTGTATGATGCGGCATGGGCTTTCTAGGTCACTATGATGCAGTACACGTGCTCTAGCTTTAGCCGCATATTTAATTTGCAATCGTTTCTTGACGATAAGAAAATTGTGCAATATATTACTGTAATCAGCAGTGATAAGATAATAATCAAAATAGGATAAAACAGATAATAGTGGCCATGCCTTCAAAAAATTTTCAATTTCTAGCCTCATGTCTGCGATTATGTTATTAAATCTATTATTAATTGGTGCTGTAATTCTGGATTATTGGCTGAAGAAGGAATATAAATAAGAAAATTCTACTTTATTTTCATATAAAGTATTATTCTATTGCATACAAAAAAGAATGTTGTAGTAGCATATATAGGCGTATATGCTAATATTTTACATTAACTTATTAGGAATGAAAAGTTAACAAATCGAAATGAAACGACGGCCTATTTTTGTTTTTATAAAATTTTTCTAATCTACACAATTCATTAAAAAGTGGACTTACTTCACCTGACTTTTTCTTAATGGGCATACATAAGATACTTTTGGTACGATAGCCAGTATTTTTATCAATTTCTGAATAAAATCTGCAATCCTAAAACGTTAAAAGCCATGCAAGGTATTAGTAATTGTAAAGCAAATACGTCACCTGAGTATCTTATACTAAAATATCGAACATTCTGGGCGTAAATTAAAGTAATATATGGCCAATGTTGTCCTAAGTCTCATCATTTCTCATACGTAATATGTTCATATTTTAACTTTTGAGATGAAAAAGTCTTCTAACCAGACCAAATATATCTATTTACTCTACATTGATACAACAATTTACGAGTCCATGGTAGAAATCGGAAACAAGTTAGCAAATAAATGATTAATGCTAACAATCTTCAATGAGGGGTAGAATGGTTAAGATTGAACAATTAGAAATATTCTTGGATGAGTATTCAAATTTTCTATCTGTAGCTTGTGATATCTTGACAAATTAGGAGATTCAATGTAATGAGGTTACCATAATCAGTTTTTTTTAAATTTCGAGCGTGCACAATGAAGTAAGCTCCGTAAGAGTTAGCATTGGTCAATCTTATGGTAGGCAATGGTACACCAGAGACAGGAGAAATATCGTTAATCAAACTACAAAATTGAACCTTAAATTCATGCAAGCTGCTTTACTACATCCAATGTACCCATGTTAAAAGGTTTCGATGCTGTAATTTTGATCTTCATGACGGATAAAAAAAAGATCGTTACCTAGCCATAGATAAGATGATTTCTTCTTATAAAATCTTTCTTGATTACTTTGACAAATCGTTGATTGGGCCATGCAAAAAATAAATCTAAACTATCAATTGGTTTATAGTATCTGATCTTAAAATGCGGCCATCAGATTATTTTAAAGATCAGACTATTATTAGAGCAAGCTGACTCGTAGATTGATGGTAAATTGGATTAAATATTGATTGGGATTTGGTACCTCTATTTATGTGGGCTATAAATTTATAAATAAAGTACAGTACTGTACTGTACGTATTTACAGTATTTTGACTAATCAAAAGTAAGGAACTGTTTACGATTAAAATTCTTCCATCGACAAAACTAAAGCCAAAGCGACTATTGCCTCGACACGGACGAAAAACTTTTCAATTACGGTACTTTCCTTCTTCTGAATAACTTTTAAATGTATCGCCGATTACGCCCAGAAAAATTAGTTTTAAACTACGAATAGATTTATCGTATCCAACCCTAAAATTCAAAGCCATAATTTTTATTAATGTAGTCAAAAATATAGAAGTGGCGCCTTACTCTCAAAGCAAATTATGCCTTTCTTTTTCCACCTTCTGGTTACTTAAGTTAACGGATCAAACTAATATGGACAAAAAACTGATTTCTATATCAGTATTAAAATAGACACAATTAGTTATGATTGCGGTATTTACTACCATAACATTCGTTATAGACTTATTTGTGTCCTAAATTTTTAACAAAATCGAAATATTTCGATCAAAGAAGTTGAAAAAAATTTTGAAGACCTAAAATCCACATGATCGCTTCATATACAGAAAGCGAATACATTTTTAACAATCAAGTCATTTCATCATTACCTTGCAAGTCTATGAACACATTTTTATAATGGGAGTAATCGCCTGATGAAATTCTACTTACATTGTAGACATCAACGATATTAATAACTTCGCCAGTCGCTGCCGTAGTGCCAGCGATACCTTTACCAAAAGGAACTCGAATTTCTTTCCTGGATTGGGCTTTATCAAGGATTGAGTTAGAAGTAATATCAAATAATTTGGAAACCAACACCTTGCGATCATTACTCCCTCGCACAAGAAATAAGGAACAACGATCACTATTAGTTAAGATATTGACATTGACCAATATTTTATGGGTTAGCTTGATCATGTCTAATTCTTCAGAAATATCTTTAATCAACTCCATAAACATTTCATGCTCATCCAACTGTTTCAAGTATTGCTCTTTATAAGTGTTAGATTGCAATTCATCGGAATCCACATTGAGCGAATCAAATAATGAATTTGGAGCAGTATCGTATTTATTGGTATCATGATCATCATTGACACTTGCAAATGATTCTAGCGAATGAGCTGGAGAGAAAGCACTACCAGTAATGTAAGGTTTCAAAATTTGCTTGCCTGGACTGAAACGCTCATCAGACATACGATTAACTTCAATCTTACTGGATCCTTGATCATCTTCCAGCATCCACCAATTCAGATGGTTTGAACTAATTTTACGACAGAAATATTGCTTGGTAAATTCATCATGGCTATCTAAGTAGGCTTCTACAGTTGCTGCAGTTAATGCCATCGTATTCCATTCCTCTGAAGAGCAACCGTTGTCAATATCAATGTTAGATGAATTAGTATTGGAAAAAGCTTCGGTTTCGGCATTCATTTTAACAGCTGATATGGTATGGCATTACTAATCAGTAAGCATGATAATCTTACTCCTAAATTTAATGAAATTTTCGATTGATTGCATCAATTAATAAATACATTGATATCATTTATCCACTGTTGCCTTTAGCGTCTTGAAGACCATTCGTGATAAACTCTTTTATTCTATGATGGATGTCAATGTGATCTAGATAATGATAGTGCTTAAAAAAATCATTATTATTAGTGTTTCAGAACAAATCAAACTCGTTGGCATTCTTTACTAGTTCTCAACAACAAGGAGAATAACCTAGAGCTAATTACATTATTGTATCATGGCATTTACATTTTGATAATTTTGATTGGCTATTTGACGATCAGATATACGTGTAGTCATGATTGCAATCAACTAGTATGTATACTATAGATATCTGTTGGATTAAATTTCTGTATGGCTTTCGGTTATATAATCTGTCTGCTAGCAGGCATCGGAATGGTTGGTTAATTCTATGCTATGATCGCATTACAAGGCTACAACCCTGTAATTGGGCAAATTGTATAGACATATCGAAAATACAAAATGGCATTATTAGCAAATAGAAAAATATTGTTTTTCCTTAGGCTATTTATTAAATAGCAGGATTATCTATCCTGCTATAGTTGCTTTACGGAATCTGAAGCCTTTTACGGTAAAGTGCTACACGAGAGGAGAGTAGTTACGATTGTGTCTCTATTAAATAATTGATTAATTTAAGGTAGCCATAATGAATTTGCAAATGATTAGATTTAAACAATTACTTTATAAGCTGCTGCTCGGAATTGATTTAAGAAACAAAATTGGGAATTAGAATTGTCCAGCTTTTTCAATGAATGATACAAGACACCATTTAAAGGCTGCAAGTGGGTAAGATTAATCTATCGTCAATATTTTATTTTGTTGCTGTTCCATTACAGTATTATCGATATTTATCGCTGTATCATCGCAAAGAATGATAAAATTACTTCTATGTTGAACCACATTCCGATACTGCTCAGATACATCGTGATGTCTGCTACTACGATACTGTGACAAAAGATAGAATTCTTAATCTTACTTAATGCTTCAGCACTTTGTAATATGCTTTTACAACACTATTACATTTTCATCCACTTATTATTTACAATCTTTTCATGCAGTCGTTCCATTAAAGTTTTTATTAACGTCATTTTGAATTACAACATCTCTTATCCAGGCCAAAATTGATTGCCTTTCAATTGTTAAGAGAACGATATTTAAGTCTAATTCGTTTGTTAACCCTGCTATTGAATTAGGAGAATATTGATGTAGTGCGGCTACTTACATATTATTACGTGTCTTAAAGAGGTAAAAAAAACATGATTCATAAAAAAATCGCCGGCAATTTGTTAGGTCAATTATTCAATAATGGTATGACAGTCTTGTTAGCGCTCTATAAATGATTGCAGTTGTAATTTTACGCCAAATTTGTTCTGATTAATACGTGTCTAAATCAATTGCTGAATTCATTATATCTTTTTCTATTTGTTATGTCGAAATCGAGTTACCACGCTTTTGAAGTGTTGAAATAATTATTTTTTGCTCAACTTTTCTAAGTCTGTCTGTGGCCAAGGACTGTAGTTAGGCTGAGAAATTGTTGAACTTCGATCCAGTATTCATGTTGCAATTCAAAATTAATCTATTATTAGAATTCAGTAACAAAGCAACGATAATAATAATCAGTTAATGAATTCAACTAATGCCGCTAGGACATACACGCATATTTTACGATTGTGAGTCACGAATCTGTAGAGGAAGTTAATAAAACTTGCTTTTATATACTGTTTGGTAATTTTCCTTTTATTGTTGAATAAATATAATATCTCAATTACTTGAATAATACAATTTCTATTTTAATTCTTATCACCACTATTTTCTTGGTGTTTAGCATTAATTAAAATTGCATCCAAGATATCTTCATCTATAATGCTGGTTTGAGAAATATTTTGATAAATATGTTTGACCTTGGGAATGATTTTGCTAGGCTTACAATATCTGTAGTAAATACATTGCCTCCCAGTTTTTCTCCTAATGTAGCATCGATCTTGAAATTCACCTCGAGAGACGCCAATATCTCCTTCAAATGCCTTTTTACACAGATGGGTTAACTTTTCTGATAGATGTCGATTATAATAACCCTGATCGTGTTGGTAATACACATGGATAAAACTTTTGGCTGTTGTATCAGACCAAACTGCAACATAGCTACCAGGATAGCTGCAAATTTCTCGCAAGATGGAATAGCTGAAGGGATACATAGCACCATATAGCATTGGACCCATTGATGATGATCGGCTTTGGTCAATATATCTGGTCTGACTTTAAAGATGTCTTTCTAGCTTCCGTATTCACCAATAAAATAATGATAGAAGTAAGCAAATATACAAGCAGTGCTATTTATCGGTAAGCCAAACTTCTGATACTTAAAATTGAATATTGTGATACTGTTAAAGGTGGTAACTTCTTTACGTATTCATATTTGTATCTTTACTGAATATAGTCACTACTAATGTATGATATGCGAATACACTGTGTGCACTCTTCTAAAAGTTAACCCATACACCATAAAGGTGATAAATTTGAAAATTTTTCAAACAGTCGCTACATATATGTCGAGAGATTTCCAGTTTTCTACTATATATAAAACTTTTTCAAATTTCGTACTCTACATTGTTATTTATATTTTAGTAAACCTGTAAATAGTCAATATCTTTTGTATAAAAGTCATTGACTGTTACATTTAGTGTAACATTTTGGTACTTGTATTTGTGGCAACGATAAAAGATCATTTATATATAGTAAGTGATTACAGTACCAGTAGTTTGTAAATGCAAGTAAGGAAGAGCCAAAAGACAGATCGAAGTCCTGTAGTGCTCTAAAGAGTTGACAATGTCAACTCCTCTTTAAAAGTACTTCTAGTTCAGTTATTCCAGCTTAAATATTGCTCTCACAATACAGGACGTACCGACATACTATTTCGATTCTATGCAAGTAAACGTATGAGAATACGCTGAATGTTTGATCCTGTGAAGCTGTATTTTATCCATCGAAGGTGATATGAACTTGCTTCTGTCAATTACTATTTAATTAGTAAATTACTATCTGCAATAAAGATATAGTTTGACTTACATAAAGTATCATGGGCCACCCTCTAGTATTCCAAAAACAGATTGACTGTAATTACCTTTAAGATTTCGAACCGAATATATTCAATAAATTTAAAGTGCTATCAAGTCCGTTAGCCCTCCATATTTTAACCATAGTATCTTATTTCGGACATATTTTATTCTGTGATTATTTTTCGTAAATGGTTGGATAAGATTATGAAAGATCCAGTGAGTAAAAACAAGTATTACAGCAGCCATCCTATTTTCTAGTTATGATGATCTACCGTGAGATTATTTAGCAGGTTCAGAATTTTTTTAGTGAATAATGTTACACCTAAAAGTGCTAAATATCGATTTTAAGTAATCGAAGTATTGCGAGGCAGTAAGAAGCTGTGACTATATATGTCGATCAGTACCAAAAGTCCTTGAGTTAATTGACGCTCGAATTTTGAGATTCCATCTTAAGCCGAACAATCTAGTAAAAACTGTGCAAGAAGTATATACTGTAAATCTGTAACTAGGCTGTATTACATTTTATGACTAAATCTATAAGGTGGAGGCTTAAATTTGAGCCTGGAATTGCATATACGAATACTTGCATTGCAACTTCCGTTAAACCAAATCTCCTGTTCACTTTTAAAGGAGCTTTAAAAGGACAAATAAAAAGATCTTTCATAACGTACTCTGTCATACATTATCACTCTTTAGGTATAGTAGATCGTTCCTTAAATGGAAAAGATACATATCATTTTGTCGCTAATATTACGATTGAAAAGCAAAGTTCATATTTCTTGTACTGAACTAGAAATAGCAATAAAATTATACGAAAAACTGTCAATTTATTGGTGTGATAATGGAAGCCAATTTAAATGATGTCTTGCCTGGGAATCCTACCTATGAGAAACTAAGAAAGATCTGCTATTTTAGTAATTTCAATAGTTTCATCAGTGTTCATCATACCGCAAAATGGTGATTCATACTACTCGATGTAAAATTTAGAAGCAAAATAAGTATTAGTTAAGTTAATTAAAATATCCCTAAATTAGTATTTGGCTAATAAATGTGCTCTAGCTCTCGTTAAACTAATGAAAACGATTGACTTAGAATTTGCCTTCATGTTTTTTCTAAACGCATACGAACAGTAGTATAGCTTATGTTCTAATTTACTGTTATATACTGTACTTGCGATACATACTTTGATCATGACAATGCTAGTGGTAAAGTATGAGTTCTTAGGGTAGATAATATTTATTTACAAAGATTCACATTCGCAAAATTTAGTTAACGTTGGATTTATTGTCACCTTAACCTGTCAGAACAGGATACGTATCGATTCATTATGAATTTTTTTATTTTTTTTATTGCTCCCTGAACGGAGGAGTTACACATCGATATTGTAGTGATGCAATTCTACCAAAATTACTGAAATTGTGGTATTTGTATGTATGATCTGAATCAAACATATGGAAATCTTGTCACTAAACGTCTAATTATATATAAATATCTGTAAGCGTGTACAAAGTGGATGAATGAGACTTTTATTTGCTATAAATATTAATATCCGTTTCATGTCTGCCTTAATTTGTAAGATTGATGAATAGATCGTAACGTGATCGCCATTTTTACTACATAGAAATACGTATAACGATGACAAGTTGGAATGTTAGATAATGTCCTACATTAATGGTAGTAGTTCATGCTTTAGCAGCCCATAGGTAAGCGTATCATTCGTTTAATAAATTCTATACTACTTTATTAAAATATAAAACGAATTAAGTGAAGTTGATTGTTTGCGACATGCAGTAGATTAATTAATCTGTGAATATATCCAATTAGTTGGTACAGAATCTTTAGCATTTATTTTATGATAACTTTCATTTATTAGGGCGGTAACCAGAAGCGACATGATCCAGATTACATTACTATTGATGATACTATATTGGTATATTTCATCAGTCACTGTTTACTTTTACTACAATATTATAATTGAATAAGCTTTATTATTTAATTGTATTGCGTCTCTAATTTAATGTTAATAGCTATATTACATATCATTTTATTAATAGTTTATGCCTCATTTACATAATACAGTTAGATTGATCTACAGTACGGTACTTTGTCTGAACTGGAGAGGAATATTAAAAATCTATCGTAGCGAAAGTCTTGCACAAAATTGTCCAACATTACATCATGGTTGATGTCATAATGTATCTAATTTTCGTTTTAGGAACATTCTTGTAGATTGTCCTCCTTAACTTATAATAACCTTACATTCCTTTAAATCTAGTATATTATACGAAATTAGGGCCTCATTTACTGCCAGTGATAAAATTTATCACGCAAAATAAGAACCAAATTACGTAATTTGCCTCGATTGGCCCATGTACATTTATGAACGGAAGGAAGAGTACTGTAGGTAAAGCAAGTGTAATTTACATAAAATACAGACTTATTAGTCATTGTTCATATTGTGTTGATTTACTTTGTCGTAGGGCGTTAAAATTGTGCAGGCAGTCATTATCTATTTCAAATAATGTCTTGCGGATGAAGAAAGTAAAAATAAATTTTATTTGTGTTAATACTATTTGCAACTCCTAATGATGTTTCAGTGTTTAATAATTTATAAGTGCAGTCGGCAAAGTTGCACGATTCATTGATGACGCCTGCTATTATACTCCTGTCATAAATTTTTAAATTACTCAATGTACCTATATAGACACATATACACATACATTATTCATCATTTAACTGTCATGGCAGAAGGAAAGGTAGTCCTGTAACGATATGAATTAAAGTTTAATTATTAATGTATTTCTAATTCCTTATTAATATGCTATCATGAGACTTTGTCCGTTGATTTGTTTAACTATTATATTTATAGTACAATACTGTACGTGCGCACGATAATAAGATGTCACGTTGAAAGCTTAATAATGTCATGGATTATCGCCCATGATTGTGGCCAGATTCTATTATCATAATATGATATTTCAGTACGGCAATAACTTTTTTAGCCGATGGGATTAAAGTTAAATTCATTTACTGTTAACAAAGTCCAAATTTAAAATTAATACTACTGATATTTTATACAATGTAAAAGTTCTTAATTCACTTCAAAAATTTGTTTTAGAAAAGTTAAAATTTATTTTCCGTAGATGTTTTCTTGACTGGCACATCGTAAAATAATTAGATGTGAAAGTTAATTACTCGTTCTTTAGTAATGTTGTCTTATTGATGGTAAAAAAGCTTTTAAGTAGCAAATTGAGGCAGTTAACAAGCGTTCGTATCAGAAATTTTGTTGCATTTTGCTATTATTGGTGAGGTAATAGTGGGCTGATCGTAAAGATTAAATATTATTGAATACGAAAGAATAGATTATGTTTATGAGTGAAAAGCATGAAAAGTTCCTTCATAAACAATGCTGTCACTCTGTCTAAACTAATTTCCAATTTGATATTCCTTTTACCGATAAATCAATAAATTAATTAATTGCATTTATTATAATTATTAATAAAGGATAATATTACTTTGTTCTCCTGAAGTATCATTCTTATATACTGGCAATAAATTAAATCTTAGCTGCATTGATTAATTTTACTTTATTCAGGGTGATAGCACAACATCTCTATACGTTACTATGCAGTCAGACGGTTACTAAAAAAATAGATTGTGCTTATCACAAGTGCTGCAACAATTCCGTAGAAGTAAGGTCTACGTGACTTAAACCATATAGGCTATGCTTTAGCATAAATGTGAAATGATTGGTCAATGTCAAGATTAAATCAACGCCCATAACTTTATCATTTTAATTCATTGCGTTCCTAAAGGAAGGACCAAATTATGATATTTATCCTAGATATGTCTTGCATTATGTCAACAACAACAGATAAAACAATCGAAGACCTTAACTTATATTAGAATTGGGCATTATAATATATCACGGAGCAACAGGTCTGTCATTAAATTGTAATTATTGCAATTAATTAGTGATTGATTGCATTGTCTACTAGCAAGGAAAGTTATGCCTTTCGTCATTATATTTAATAGTTTACCCAGCAGTGTAAGTAGTACCGCATCAACTCGTGATTAATTGATACAAGCTATTCTTGATTTAGAATGAGTCAAACGTTACGGGCCCAGTAAAACAAAGTGAACTGTGTTTATTATAAATATTCATAATCATATTCGTTAGATTTGTAAGGTAGTCAAATTATAAACAACTGATTCATTTATCTTAATGCACTGAACATCGTTTGCAATAACTATTAAGTACATATATAATGTCGATAGAATATGCCAAATAAATGGGAGCTTTTTGATTCGGTGTTTAATTTTTGATCTGTTATTGGGCAGAGCAGCGAAAATAATGATCCCAAAGTTTTCGTAGCTAGTGGCTTGAAGTTATATTAATTGGATCGGACTTACGTGTATATCATGAATCACGATTACGTGCAGTATCGCATTCTAATGCTTCCATTCCAAGTGTATTGAATGGATGTAAAATGATAAGAATCTAAAGATCAATGCAGTACGGGAATATTTTCACTTGTACGAGGAATAAGCCATTTTAAAGTTTTATGAATTGAGTAAATATTCATAAAGAAAGGAAAAAGTTTGATACGACTTAATTGGTAATTAAAGCTGTTGATATATAGATAGCATAAGTGATTGATTAGGGGTGAATCATCAGTGCACTATACCTTTAGATGTAATCGACATTGTTCTATATGAACGAATTTTATCAGTGGATAGACCAATAAGACCTTTATTTATGGGCTTAATTTTCTTACAATCAGTTAGGTTCATAATGTATACTTATGGATAAATATCAAATTAATCATGGCTATAAACTGCACGCGTTAGCGAAAAATCAGGTTATCATTTCGTAGGATTGCTTTAAGCCTTACCAATAAGCAAGTATCTCGAGCGCCCACTTCATTTATCAAAAAAATCGTGTACTGGGTGCTTCGTTATTAGCTTAATACATGAAATTACCAGTGAAGAATATTTCAATAGTAAAAATTGTGAGAAAAGATTTCAAAGATTATTTTCTTTAGAGTATAATCGTTATGTTGTCATGTAGCATCGACGTAGATTATAGAAATTTAGCATATAGTAACATTGCAACTTCTTTTATTGAAATAGTGATTCTTTGATGATGTTCGCATTATTTTGAAAAAATCCGTGATTTTACAAAATGCTTATTAACATTAGAAGCGATATTGTAGATGTAACTCTCATTTGTTCATCAATCCTACCTCTCAAGCTGTACCAAGTCATATACTAGGAAAGAAATACCGTATTTGTTTAGTATTCCATAACCAAGTACGTATATATACATTATCATTGAATGCAACTAGTAGTATGCAAGTTGAGTTTAATAGAAGTGGGCCGAATTGGAATATAAGTATAACAACAAAAATCTCCTTTCTCCGTCATCTGCATACCAATCTACTATAGATTGGACAACTTCTATATACAGTATAATTATGGTCTATATTATAAGCCTATAATTAGTAAATTAATGAACGATGCCCATTGGGTAATGGAACGACCGGTTTTACAGAGGACAAACAACGATGTACTGTTGTTCTGTACCATACTCAACTAAAGAAATGTTCGCATATTAATTAATGGAAAGGGGGGGGATATAATTTTTTCTACCTGTCTGACTGGTTAATGGAAAAGTGCCACTCTCTCACGGTGGACTTCTTCCTACGCGTATGCGATCTATAAACTGTACTTGATTGCGAGAACGAACAATGGAGATTCTATGTCTTTCTGTCATATTGTATAAATAAATAAATAAATAAAGGCTGTCAATAGAATAAATAAATAAATAAATGCTACTATTGCTATAACCGTATAATATCATAGTGATGCAGGTGTTATATGGATGTTTAAAGGGATAAATTATATGGCCGAATCGGGTTATCGTCAAAGATTCATGGGAATAAGTGAGCATTAGCCGGACACCTTCAAGAAAGACATGTATTACTCCTCCATTTTTTTTTAATATTTTTTTTTTTCCTTAACTTTACAATATAATTCCTCTTTTGAAGTGTTACTGCATCGCAGCAAAAGGTGTATTAATTATTAATCCAGTTCAAATCATAACTGAATTCTTGATTTTATCGATTAATACCATATTTAATTAGCGATGATGATGATCTTAATAGGATAATAAATAATAAAATAAACTGATTGACCATTCTGTCGTATTTTACAACATGGGCAAGTCATAACCTCGGCACTATACAATATTTCGATTGAACTCATACGTTACACAATCTTGCTACCTATTGACAACAATAAGGATATACTTCCGATTCTACACAGCAATAAGTTTAGAATCAATGCGGAGATTGAGAATTGCTTTGGACGTATGTTTCTCTGACGTTAAGCAGCATAGACGTCATCCGAACATACGTACAGAATGTACAAGGCCACATTGTGCCAATGGATCGAACATACTGTTTCCGCCACCTTTTCAGATGTCATACATAGCTAGGCGAATTATTTTCAATTTTCTGTCCAATTGAGGGTAATTTATACTTGATTTTAGTAGTCAATGAATAGGCTAGATAGGGCTGTGCATTCAGTACACCAAAAATAAACATCATTACGCCGACTTTCCGTATTGCAATGATCTAAGGACGGTATAAGTATGATATCATTATAGACGCATATAACGTCTATTTATTTTTTTTTGGATGTTAGTTCGTATGACTGCATCACGATTATTTCATTGAATCAACAGCTGATTTGATGACTGTGTGGAAAAAAAAAAGATATGAAATATCTACGTTATATTATACAGTAGATTGGTTCTACTGTATACGATTTAGGAGTCTTCAATTAGGAAGAATCAAAAGAAGGAGAGGCGAAGGAGTGCTAATTTTCACTGGCCATTCAGCGATTTCTTTCCTTCTATACTGTACGGTAGTCGTTGACCCAGTGCATAGTGCCAACAGGCTCACTACTGTAGTGAGTACCTGTGTAGGTCAATTTGATAGTAAACATCAGACTGCAGACTGGGGGAAGTACAATACTGTATTGTACGTTACGATCACCATGAGTGTCACCTGTACGACACAGTACGTGCAAGCAGGTCTATACTGTAATATTGAGCAGCAGACGACTTTAACATTTTGATGTCACTGTTCGTCACCATTCTAGACTACCCCATTTAACTCTACTGATCCATTCTTGATTGTTCAACATATCGGTGGCTAACTATGCAAATCCAATTACGCATTTAGTCAAATATAGCAATGGCATAATCGTACAGTATTCTCGCTTTCATTGTTAACAAATACAAAGCGGAATCATTTTGGAAGCTGTTCACACAGTACAGTACTGTATTGTACACGACAGTGTACAGTACACACCTTACAATACAATGTACAGTAGAATGGTGTGTTTTCTTTGTTTCTGATTCTAGGACGTGGTGCAACATGCTGACACGGCACTGGTGAGACTCTCAGTGGATGACTGGCATGCTATATATAGTTGCATGGTATTTGCCTGCAGTTTACTATTGAAACTTTGTTACAACACAGCACTAGTTTAACGTCAAATTTTGCTGGTAGAATCTCGGCTGGAGCTGAGTTATACCGTATACGAAAAAAAGAGCGCAAGGACAACTTTAGTTCTCTTCTTCTTCCCTTTTTCACTTGCCTCTTCTACATACTTCATGATACGCTGAAATTGATTGGTAATAGTGTCTATATTGGCGACATTAATCGCATTATTGAAAGAAAAAAAAGAAATTGGGCATTCATTGTACTTACAGTTCAATTAAAAGCAAATCAAATTACACAGACGCGTATTGCCTAGCTGATATCACCCTCTTGTCAGTTGGACTATTAAAGGGGACTGGATTCTGCTAACTTTGGTATACTATCCTTGCCTCTTGTCTTGACTGACTCCTTTTCCGATTCTTCAAGTTAATTGATGTCAAAGCACCAAAGTACCTTTCTTTTTTTATTCTTGTCGTAAGCGCTTCATCTTTTAGCTTTGGTTGTAAGCTTGCGCTTGATCCCAACAACAGTTAGCCCAAATTACACTCCTTTGCTCGAGATAGTTTGCAGTCAATTTTTACAATTGGTATTTCCAGCTTAATTGATTCAAATCCTACCTTTCGTTAGTCCCATAATCATTAACTCTATTTTGCATTGCTTGCCGAAGCAGAAATAGGAAAACAAGAGTCCTACAACGCTACGACTTATCGTACATGGACAGTACTACTCTACTATTGACACGGTCATAGAATCCAAATCTGTTCAACTCGAACTTCCAAATTACTATTTACATTAAGGTTAAACTGTTTCCTTACTAATTGATTGTCGACTTTTATTGAAATGTATTAACTTTTATTAGTTAATCCTCACGTCGTTTTTAAAGTAATTAAAACACACATTAATTGCCTATTCTAAAAAAATTATTGATACCCTGTAGCTGCTGTACTGTACTATACTGTACAGCTCTGACCATTGACGCTTAATTTTGAATTTTTTTTTTTTTTTGGTACTGTACTTTTCAGTACTGCCGACAGTGCAGTGCACTATACAAATTACATTATATGCATTACCAGCGCGTAAGAATTACCAACTTGCGTGTTTTGAACTATTTAGCACTGGATTTTGTAATTGATTACAGTGCTGAACTGCCTAATACTAAATTTTAAATCATTTGCCTTACTGCACCAAATTTATTATTACATATTGTACAAGTTAGCAAAATGGCTGAAAAAGGCCTAATATTAAAGTCGATGTCGGTAGAGGAAGTTGCCCAAGCTGCTCGCCTTCGTAATGGAAATATATTAATTGTGGATTGCAGACCTTTTTTGTCCTATAACACTTGCCATATCAAGACATCTATAAACATTTATTACAATCACATAATGAGTCGAAGAAAGAATAATTGCAAGATCTCCGTATATGATTTTGTTCAATGCTCGCGTAAGCGTGACAAGCTATTGAACGGACACTACAATAGCGTCGTTTTTTACGATCAGTCGAACGATGATATTGATTCTATTCCCGCTGAAGATGCGCTATATCGAGTACTTAATTTATTCGTTAAAGAACGCATTGGTAAAGAATTCTTCGTGATGAAAGGTAAGCTGGACTCAGCAGATGCTGCTAAGAGACTAAAAATCTTAAATTGTGCATTTTTTATGATATCATTTGTGCATTGATCATACACTTGAAGGAAAAGAAGAAAAAGTGCCATGACTGTCACAGTCTATTTTTAGTCTATACTGTACTAGTCAACTTGATCAATTTAAGATAGTAATACCGGTTATGTTAATTACGTTATACGATACAATGATAACGGACTGCTAAATATTTCATAATATATAGGGGTATATAATATGAGAATCACTCTTGATGGTCGTATAAAACGCCTTTGACATGAATTAGTTAATATTATTACGGGTGTAAACTAGCTCGGTTTGTCGATATCATCTTTCTAGTTTTAAATTGGTTATCACTTAATTAACTTGGTTTTTCGAACGTTTTTTTATTTCGCTATTTTGTTGGTTTTCAATAGTAAAACTTATTAAAAGTCATACTGTACAATGTGCATGAGCCTTTATCAAATTTTGTCTTTCAGCAATGATCAAAATTTGGAAGTTAATCAATTACCTTCGTAGAATATTTGTAATATTTATAGTTAAAATAATAGGAGTAGGATAGTATCAAACTGCGCGCCTTTACCAATAACTTAATAGATTTAACTCCACTAAAATCAAGCGCTTTTAGTGTCTAATAAAAAACTTACCTTTAGTATTTTTCCCGAGGGTATTTAGCATTTTTTTTTCCGAGCGGAAATCTCAAGGGAAGAATTTTCGGGTCAATTACGATAGATCTGTATCAAATCAGCCAGTTGTTACAATTTGAACCATTAATATCATCAGAAAATTTTCCTAGGTGCAATAGTCCCTACTTTAAATTAGTTTACTGCCAGTTTTGTTTTATAGCATACTACTTTAGTCAGTATAACTATGCTACCAGGGGATCAGATTGTCAATAACAATGCATCAAGCAGCTCTATTTATAACTTAGCTAGCTTCGAGATGTCAGCTTCCATTTCGTTGTAAGGTATCGTTAAGTCACTGGAATATTATATTTACGGCAGTGAATTTGACCTATGTTCTTGTGAAACAGGATTACTTTAGTCAATAGCGCCTAGATAAATTCATAGGCTATGCTAAATTTACGGTTTATTAAGGAGTTGTGAAGCCAGGTACTTGCATTAACGGTATTTTGGTATTTGAGCTTCCGAGGATGTCGGGAAGCCATTAATAACGTGAATAATTAAAAGCAAGTGATCGCTAACGGTAATATTTCTCGTCCTCATTTGTGCGCTATTGACTTTAGTAATTTTTTACTTGCATAGTTGTTTAATATTTTATGTATATTCAGTAACGTCTCACTGGTAACCTTAACATTCAATTTCAAAAGTGATTACAACATTAAATATTGTCGGTTGACTGGAAAAAAATAGCTGGTCATGATCACACAACAACTGCTATTCTGTGCGTGACTTTGAAGCCAATCATTAATAGTCTATAGAAAGATCGAATGACTTGTATTTCTTTGGCGATCTTACACTACTTTTAATTACGTTACTGCCTGTTTACCATGCTGCTATATGCTCTGTAGCAGTTGCAGAAGTTTGCCATGGCACGACTATTTTTGTTTTTTTCGTTCTCATCGGATTAATATCAAAGACTCATTGATATGAAAATGCATGAAAGGTGTAGAAACGACTTGAAGATAAAAATAGCTCGAAAGACAATACACTTCGTAAATGTATAATGAAATTCTAGTTACTCCCTGTTGAGATTTTATTATAGAATTCGGCCTTTATTTATTGATTTATTGATTTATTTTGTAAATGTATGGACATACTCTTTTTACCGACTATTTTTAAAATACAGCATAAACAAGGATTTCAAAGAAGGCTACGTGCTTTGCAAAGTGAACGATTTACGTGTAGATTAATAAATATAAAATAGCGGTACAGTAAAATGGTAATAGTTATGCTAGATGGCCTCTATAGTTAGTCAGTGGCCGCGTAGAAACACGACTTGATTTAGTCGGAGTAGGGCTGCCAAACTCTATAGTACTGTTGTAAAGGCGACGAGATGGTTGGGACTGACGGACTAGGGACAAAGTTCAGAGTTCGCAGTAAAAAACGTGGGCACCGTACCATACGGTACATGGTAATGCGCACTGTTGTGCCCGCTCACCGGCAGCTGCGACTCCTAAATGAATGAAAAATAGACATGGATTGCGATAATATGTGGAAGATATTAAGCTAACTTGATTAACCGTACTTTACCTGTACATATGGCAACGCAGTGAAGTTATAAACCAACTAGACTGATTAAGCTTTCCAAGTTAATATACGTCCTATGACTGTTATGGGGCTATTTCCTACGTCTATAAATATTAAATGCTACTATAATTACTAGCGAAACCGGTGGAAATTCTACTGAATATAGTCCAGTTTTAGCTTAATAGACGGTCAGAATTCGATTTAATAACGTGACACACGTACAATCGCATTAATATGATTTGATTATTATTGATGTAGCAAATTATGGTAATAGGTATTGTAGTGCGCCGTGCTTCTAAAACAATTTACTTTTCCCTTCATTATGCACTAGTAGATTAGCTAGGAGCTTAAAACTTATACTTATAATGGTATTGATTAATTTCATTTTATTGTTTCAGGAGGGTTCGATAGATTCCTAAATCAATACCCTACAACATGTAAAAAACAGCCACCGACCTTACCTTCTATCCAAAATTGTCATTCATCGTCAGCACGGCACGCAATGGTCAAATTATTACCTGCAGCTTCGTTTACAAACGCTGAACAAGAGCAAGCTATTCGTGAGGGAAGAAGACCCGTCGAAATTTTACCGTTTCTATATTTGGGTTGTGCTGAGCATTCTTCCTCCAAATCTGTTTTAGAAGAATTGAATATAACGGCTATACTCAATGTAACCAAGAATTGTCCGAATTATTTCGAGGATTCACTCGATTATAAAAATATTCCTATTGATGACTCTCTTAATGCTGATATTCAGAAATGGTTCGATGATGCTGTTGGTTTTATTGGTAAGAATTGATAGTACTTCGCTTAGTTCGACTAACAGTATTACATTAACTAATTGTATTACCGTATTTTTATCCTGCGTCGTACTGTGTCTATAGTATAAAATATAGCATTACTACAGGACAGTGACGCATGGACCGAATATAAATTTTAATACTTTCCGATATAGTCTAGTAGTTGCTATGCAGTCGTACCTAATGTACAATCGAATGTCGATAGGCCGTAGACACTGTTTGAAAACATTAATGTTATTCCAATAGGAGATCCTATTATATTAACTTCTATTTTTCTTATCAGCTAAGGTCAGAAGTTTACACGGCAAGGTATTAGTTCACTGCGTTGGAGGAGTATCACGCTCTGCCACTATTTGCATCGCCTACTTAGTGCATGCATACAGTTACTCTGTTAATCAAGCTTATGATTATGTAAAGAAAAAGAGACCTATTATATCTCCAAATTTAAATTTTATGGGTCAATTAATGGCTTATCAGAGTAGGCATAATGTTAGCGATTGTAGTAATAGTGACGAATCTTTATCACCTGATTACGGAAATGATTGTCATCCTTCCGCGGAAATGGATTGCTCATCATCAACACCAGTTAGTGGTAATGGTGCTTTCGATTTTAATTCTGCAGCTATTACATGCAAATGAAAAGAATAGGAACATTATTAACTGTCTTTAATTACCTCACAAATTTATCCATAATAAATTGAATTACCGTGTTTATATTTTTAACTGAATATGAAAATTATAATAACTGTACTATCTTGCTTTTATTGGATCAAAGATTTCAACCACTTTACTCCAACTTCAATTATTACGAATATATCAATTATGAATACCATTTGATATATATATTTTAATTGTTTCAGAAGTTGAATCGCTCATACTAATATTTTGTCTCATAGAAAATTGCATGCATGCGTAGCTCCGTATCTAAGCAGTGGCTTAAGATGCTAACTCTGAAGTATTGATATGTATATTTGAGAATCTTACTCTTGTTGAGATTCGGTTAATTCATAAACTTCAAGTTATCTTTTTAACGTACATTTTCTACATTTCTGTAATCGCTGAAACTTATTCGATGATTGTAAATGATGTAGAAAGACAACGTTCAATATGCAACTATCTTGCTGTCTATACCGTTCATACAGTAAATTTATTTTCATTCTAATTCTGCATTCTAACTTACTGAAAATGACAAAATTATATTCTAATGTATCAAATCCTATTTTAGCATGCAATGCGATCACTGATATGACAGCGTTCTATTAGGCTAGCTTAACACTGATAGCGTATTAACTTGTCTGCTTTATTGTTGTAACTTTTTCTTTGTAAGAGCTCTGTATAATAGTATATTCGAAGTCGGACTATATTTTCGATGGATGTAAAAGATTTTGAAGTGTATCTGTCAAAATTTAAGGGCAGATTCAAACGTAAGCGAAAGTTGGTATCACCCCTGTAGCTAACAAATCCGGTAATATAACAATTCTTTCCATTTGGTTGTCCGTGATAAAGTGAATTCTCTTCCGAAATTTTTTGATCATGTCTGATGGGATTAATTATTTTTGAAAGAGGCTAGTTAACTATCCCTATCAGTACGGGTAGTAACTGACGGAGCACCTACGTACAGCATTGTTCACAATTAAATGTTTAATGTTATGTTAAAATGGCCTTGTATACTTACAATTCGATATAAGAATATGCATAATCCGCTGTATGCAAAGTAATTCATTACTGGAGTTTATCGTTAATTCAAGTCGATATGTGATTACAGCTATGGCATAATTTGATGTTTTTGTATGGACTCCTAACGGCGATATCATTTCAGAAGCTAAAAATCGGAAATAAATCCTTTGAATGCAAAACGTTGTGAAATTTTTCTAAGTAATCTAAAGTTTAGTCAATGTGATTAGTAGAAGTTATTTTAAGAATTAAAAATTTTTTAAAGAGATGAGTATGTAGCTCATCAGAGATTAACTAGATTCGCTTGACCTCGTACTGTGCTGTCAAGTCACCCCGAGTGCATTTATTGTACAAATCATAGGCATCTACTGTATTGTGTACGAATGGCGATCCATAGAATGCCAAAGCTAATTCCTTACCGCTACCTGAATAGAGACCTAGGGGTTACTTTGGAATAAAATAAATTTAGTAGCTTAACATTTATTATCCGAACAAATGATCACATATCATATCAGTTTTTCTAATTTCTAGGTATTAAAGTCATTTGCGCTTTTGTCAAAAGACAGATATAATCGAACGCTAATGAAGCAGTAGATGGGTATACAGAATAGCACTGATCTAAAAAGTGTGGTAATATTTTAATAAACTTTAAAAAACAATCTATTAATTAATCAATATTGTTATTGATACAGTTGCATACATTTGATAGGTATTTCCTTTTGTGTGATCATTTTTAGAATATATACAGCTTAGAAGCATTGAAATATCAATAACAATATGTGATATTATATTGGTAATAACCACTACTGCTATCAGCTGGACACGGTTAAATTTTGCAAATATATATGATATAATACACCCCTACGCTACGTAAAATATGACCATATGTACTAAAAATGAACTGGATGTAAAGTATTTCAAACGCCAAATAAGTTGCGAATTTTCAATTGCAAACTCGCAAACTTGTCTACAATTTAACCAGAAAAGTATTATGCTGTTAAAGAAATCAGATAGGGTAGTTACTCACTTCCTTTACTTGCATCTTTATCAAATATATAGACTCAACATGTATATGATTCTAGGCTTGCAGTTTATAAGGTATAAGCGGCAAGATTGAGTTTGTTTTTATGACAATCTAACATAAAGCCGGCATAATATATTCTCGAACAGAATTGACAAACACTATTTCGCACGAAATGAACTTGCTAAGTCCTATACAATTAAATACTGTATGTATTATTAATATACGGATATATATGTTACAATAGTACAGTATATTAATAGCAAAATATTACTAAAGAAATTTCTTATAGACTACCATTGAAGAAGTGTTGGGCATTATTATATACTGTCACAATCATCTAAATACCGCACGCAATAGATTGATTCCGTACAGTTTTCGATTTTATATGACCAATCTATATTACAATAAAAATGCCAGACGTAGCAGTTTTTTATAAATCAGTTAACACCACGAAAAAAAGGGAACTTTATCCTGAAAGCTTTGGGTGAAACTATCGCTAATAGTCCTTTTATGTCCTGAAAGCGATCTCTTTTTTTCCACGGTTATTACTGGCATTTGCACTAGCCGCAAAGGTGATTTACCTTCCCGTAATGCTTGTACCAAATTTAAAATCTATAAAACGAATAATGAAGGACTCCAATAAGTATCGAGCATCATCTTGGTGCAAAGGTAAAACGTATAGCTTCTCTATCATAAAAGATCACAATTTATTACCTGTCCTCTCATTACTGCCATCTGCTTGTCAAAGGTATTTTTAGAAAAATCTTTATCTTGCTAATATAAGAAAGCATATGATTTACAGTTATTAGAATAAGGCGGCAATACTCACACAACAGCTTTTTGTAAATCAAGTAGAAACCTTAAAAACCGCGTATAAATCGTCAGTAAGTTCTTGAACAAAATTCATATCCGATAGATTGGCTAGCACCAAGTTTTTAGTTTCTTCCGAAAAGGGAAGTTTAGCTTGAGGAAGCCAGGCCCAGTGGAAGGGATCTATTTAAGATAGTCATTATTTATTATAGCAGCTCTTGTCTGCAAATCTTGATAAAGCTGTCGTAAATTATTATAAATACTCAAATGGCACCTACAAGCTCTCCATGAATCCGGGTGTTTATATGGAAATGCAAGTCCATTGTCGATAGCAGCAATAGAAATATGTGGAACTGATACTACTATACATTCGTCAGCTTCCTAAAATAACATGAAATGATTATATATCGTAAAGCATATGAACAGTGATTAGTTTTATAATAAGCATAATGAAACCAATTTTGCAATTAACCTCTTCCCCTTCGTGCTCTTCTAGTTCGAATTTATCATATTTTATTAACCAATTTCCGTTGCCACGATCAGTATTTCTAATAATATAATCTAAAACCACTAATTTCTCAAACAATAACTGAAATTCTTTGGCTGTTTCTTCCGGTAATGGTTCAGCTTCGAATCTTCTCAAATGGAAGTCAGCATCTTTATAATTATGGACAAATCGCTGAAACGATCCCGCCTATGGGATATGATTGAACTCTTTAATACTGCGTAATTAAAATCTTGAAATAGATTAAGCTGAATGAACAACATTGGTATGCTTGGTATGATTATATAAGTAGTAATTACTTTTCGTGGCAAGCCGTGTTTAACACGCTTGCCGAGACTTTCAGGAAGTTTTTCTGATGTAAAGCGTACTGTTCTGGTCCACGCCTTGTTCAGCTTTGAATAATTGAAAGTCTTGCTAGCTAGCTTAACCACCTAATTATACGAAGTATGAAAAGACGAGCGTTAAATAATGGCTTACAAGGGATATGACATCATTCAAAGTAATCTTTAAAATAGAACCTTGGTAGTTGGGACGACATTTAAATTTAATTTTGCATCTACGATGCTAGCGCCAACTTCAGATAAGTAACCCTGGTTAGGTACAAGACATGCTCTACCAAAGCAACAAGGACAACATGACCTATGAAACCATTTAATCCATTTCGGATTCATGGGACCGTAGGGTTCTTCATTTTTAGGTTTAAAAACTCCAACGATATCCTGCAATGGAAAAATATGTGCATAGCTCAGGTCAGTGTAATATGACACAAAAATTTGATCGAATTAATTTATGAACTATTTGTAGCTACCCCTTTTGTAAGTACTAGAACAAGTCAAAAATTAAATTCTATGCTCATGCATCCAATTCGCGGATTGCAAGTTATAAAATCGAGGAAATACTGTTACACTCCACTGACGGAAATGACAATTAGACATCATTTCAATCTGACTGCAATTTCAAATCGAATGATTCGATTTCTCTCACTAATATAGGCATAATATGTACAATTGACTTTACTGTCAATATCAATTATTACGAACAACTGATGGCTACTATTTCGTTTGGTTGTTTTACGTGCCTATAAGTGTTCAAATTATATAACGGTAGTCTGAGACAGCGACCCGATCATAGCATGCTGTGGTTGTAGTTAGTAGCTAAACAAGCAGTTGGTAATGTCTCAACTATTAGATCGAAATACATGAATTTATACTGGATAAAATGCGGCAGTTATAGGCCGTACGTAGAATTTTGTCTGTAATATCGTAGTAATAAGGAAAAAGGTGCAAATTATTCGACCGTAAATTTATATTATAGTATAGTTGCCATCATTTGACTAGTATATGATTGAAATGATGAATTTATAATCTGTCTGTGCTGTGTTGTACGAGCACTGTATGAAGCTACTGATATTTTATTTTTTGTAAGGAGTCTAGTAGTAATTACTACCATCGGTTGAACCATAACTAGAGCTGATAGTTATAATTTACTGCATTTGCATCGTTAGAGCCCATGTCATATTCTAAGAATAATTTCTTCTATCTAGGCTATTACGTTATATCATCGATTAAGTCTTGATGTTAATATTTATCCATTACATTTATTTATCTATTCCTACTAGTTCAGGAATGGTTTGCTTGAATTACAACATTCATATCGGAAAAGTTCGGTGATGCCACTTTAATTAAACTGCCTTGTCATCAGCCAATATAAATGTAGCGCCTATTTGGAACTTTTAATTCAAATATTGAATACGTTAGCTGGCTGTCTATCGTTTTTTTGGGCGAATTCCGTCTCATGGTACGATACGGATGATGTTTACGCTCGGAAAAATGAACATACTTATAAATACGATTCTACCGTGAATAATGTCAATGGTTGCAGTCTTACAGAAGCGATTAATGAGTGACTATGAAAGTCTATACGATCTCATGAAATGGAGATTGATGACTCTACTATCGATTAACGTCTACAAAGTTGTGTTTCAAAATGGAGACTACAATAAATTATTAGTAGAGATACAGAGTCCTGAAGTTAGCTGAACCATTTTAGCAGTCTCTAACTGAACGATATCATTGGTTATTATCATATTTACAGTTCATTCAGATACGTATTTCCAGTCAACTTCCAGTCATAGGCTAATCATTGAGTTTTTAAAAATTCAATGACTATAACCTTTCCACCTGACAGAGAATAATGGATTGTTAGTTTGAAAGATTCGGTTAACTTTGTCCTTCAATCTATTACGGTACTCCTTGCTATCCAGAAGTAGTATTTCGAATAGGAAGGTCAATAGCCAGTCGATACTATCGCTTTAAAGTTTTTACTGACGATCATCATTTAAAAGTTGCAAAAATGCTTCACTACTTGATTATTTACTTCTCTCTGAATGAATTATTACTTATTATCATTACTAAGCATGCTTGTGACTCGCATGAGACTGAATAAAAAAGAAAGAAATGATTGAGCAACTGTCACAAATGCACGTACATAGCTCAATAGGAATTTATCATTTTGTTTAGATCCATCAATCAATGCAATTGTAACAATATCCCCCCAAATTGTGTTATGTTCAAGAGGGGGGCAGCATGCATCCATTGGCACACTTGTGTATTAGCAGTAGAGTACAATAAATCAAAATATTCCTATTTATTATTAGTAATGCCATAGTATGGGTATGCTGATGGATCACTAGTCGAGTGGTCATCAAAATAAATACAAACTGGGATCACTATAGGAATATTCAACGACGAAGTCTTACAAACGCGATTGATATGCATAATACGTCTATAATTTCGGCATGTCAAAGGTTCGACTCTGTACAAAACTAATTAGTACTTACAGTACAGTTGTAATTACTTCAATGTTGAAACTACTGTCTTTGCATGCAATGGCTTTTGGTTCGTTGACTAATTTGATCACTTATCGCCTGATGGTAAAATCTTCCATGTACATTTGTACACTGTACTGTACATGTACAGTACTGCAGTGATAGGCATTCAGGGACTTCTAAGGTGCAGTCACACGATGGATTCTTCCCTCTTAGAAGTCCCTGATGTTGTGTTTTGCATATGCTAGCACTATATCATATTACTGGGGGTAAATGAATGTGAAATCCTTTAGCCATGAAAAGTTCTAAAAAAAACTCATGGTATGTATGGCGTTGTGGTTTTCGTCTTGATTATAGCAGCAAATACAAAGGATACTGTAGTTTACTGTTAACGATGAACTTGTAATCCAATGAAAAAAATCAATTCAGATATTATTGGATTACAGTACAATTCTACCGCAGGATTGATTAGTCGGTATGCTTAGCTGTAGTTTTTGTCATTTCATTCATGTTAGCCGATTCTTCTGCCCTGTGAGAAGACGCTTATTATATATTATAAATACTGATTAACAAGAGAACAAATGAAAATAAATGCTTCTACCCGGAAAAATTTTCGAATACCAGTTTAGCTAATATTAACCTTAGAACAGACCTTCATAAAATAGACTCAACACTATTGTACTGTATATCAATTTAACATAACAACCCCAGTATCAAAGTTGATTTGAAGACAAATGCATTTACGTTTTTACGACTAGTTCCATGTCGATAGGACAAGTAATACGTATATGACGGTATATCGAACACGGTAATCGGGCAATTGAATTTTCTCCTATCGCTCAAATAAGATAATGTCTACTTTATCTACAGTTTCGCTAGTGATTAGAAAATGGACTAACATTTCATAATACTGTCTCGTATGCCTTTTTGGATCATACTGAAGTCTAGAAGTCACGAGCAGTATAACCGCCTATGTACTCGGCGCTAGTGCTGCATGCCAATTGAATTATCGCTCTGATATCAGGTAAATTGGATGGTTGAAAAATTGGTTGATTTGAAATTGAACTTATTTATGCTACTGTTGTTGTCAACGCTCTCTCTCTTAATTGTCTTCCGTTACGAAATAACTTTCCTATAATAAGGTAGAATCAATTTTTTGCTAGATGTCTACACTATTGGAAGACTATTTCGCCAGCGATTTGAGTGAACGCCTACGAATACTGTACGATACTGTGCCATATTAGCTCGATAACGCGGTAGACTTAGAATGATGACAGCGTTACTGTGCCATGTTGTAGGCAGTAATATCGCCTGAAATCAAGATGATATCGTATCGGGGGATACGGAAAGAGTAGTTAAAAACCTTGCACACTAAAAGATAAACACCTTAGGACTAATTGGATTGGGTCAAAGTAGAAAAGAAGCTAATTCATCATACCCTGTTGGTATTGCGGACGAAATAACTGCCACTGCTTCCTTGCGATATTCTCTCGGGGTAAATGTCTTGATCAATGGCTCTCTCGACATCTTTGATAATACTTTCAAATTCAGGATCATCGAATGAATTATCATCTTCGACATCACTATCCATTCTTGCTGTTAATAAGGGCCTAGTTTCGCCAGACGTACTATTATTACCAGTTTGGAGTCGCACTAGATGCCGAGACCTGGATTGACCATGATCTGTCCTCGTTGGATCGGTATTAGGAAGAGCAGATGTATTACCGAGGCGATTCTGATTTCTAGATAAGATGCGAACATCTGGTAAATCCTCCTCTATATTATCCATGCGACTTCAGTTTTAGTAGTAATATTATTCCTCATCAAAGTTGTAATATTGCTGATTGGCTCAATGGAGATGGGCCATATGTCAAGTCTATTCTTGGCTATTTCTTGCCGCTGTTGAATGATTCTACCAGGGTGCACTCTGTATCGTCTCGTCTGGAGTGAATAATGCCTTATCTACTGGGTTTACAACACAATTCGATTGATCGCTACAGTATGGAATAGCGATAGAAATCAAATTGGATCTGCTGAATCAAAGTTAAAACAAGATATGGCTAATGGACGACTGAATGAATCCTCTACCATGGAAGCGTAGCAGTAAAGCACAATGTATTATCTCTTGCGTGTGCATGTTACAGTATATTAATTAAAGGTCATGAAGGAAAAGGTTAATTATTCTTTAGTTCGATTGACTCATTTGATCATGGCAATTACAGTACAGTAAGTCGATTACCCCACCGCTACGTTCATATAGTACACATACAAAAGCTGTATATTATACAGTACCAATGGATCTTGTATATCGATAACATATACAGCATTGGATATGTTCTATTTTTGTCCATTGTAGACTATCCACGAATGTCGGAGTCGTGGAATGGAGTAAAAAAGACAACCCGAATCTGATTAACCCGATCACATGGTTGATTTTCCAACCCGAAATGAGTGCCATCGCTATACAGTACAAAGAGTGTATCACGAGAGAAATGCTTAACCCGAATACCGCCCTCATGTCGGGTTTCGGGTTATACGCACGACCACCATGTCTACTTGAGGACGACTAAATTTAGAATGGAATACACTTAATGCTTGCTTATATCATGGACTACGACTATGCAGTACGCCAATGTCTTCCAATCAATAAATAGTATAATCATGTCTACTTGAGGACGACTAAATTTAGAAAGGAGTACACTTAATTGCTTGCTTATATCATGGACTACGACTAGACTACGACTATACAGTACGCCAATGTCTTCCAATCAATAAATAGTATAATCATGTCTACTTGAGGACGACTAAATTTAGAAAGGAATACACTTAATGCTTGCTTGTATCATGGACTACGACTATACAGTACGCCAATGTCTTCCAATCAATAAATAGTATAATCATCATCAGTGTTGTTAAGACTTGACTAAAGAGAAGACAGCAAAGCAAACTGTATTATTTATTTATTTTTATTTTTAGATCATGACATAGCCCTCTTTCTTGACCACTGCAGCACAGGAGTTGATGACGTCAGACGAGCAAGCACTCCAAAGGTAATGTTCTCAACGTGAGCATTGGAAGCCTTGTTACACTAGGCTGGATGAAGGAAGAGTAAGCGTCCATTTGACCATAAGAATGGAAGACGTAATCCGATTCATTCCATATTCTAAATTTTTGCCATCCATTTGTACAAATGCATGGTTATAATAGGGTTAGATCGCTCTTGAGTTAACTTAGCTAATTTTCATGGGGATCAAGATCAATCAATTAGTCGGTAACTTTGTATAATAAGAAACCGATCTGTATACGAAGGTTCATAACAATTGGTCTTTTTGAAGCCTTTTTACCAATAGCTTTTACTATTTAAATATGTCGAAGAAAACGGATCATAATTATACAAGACTTTTGAAGTTTATATTACAGTTTAATATGCTTGCTCTGCATAATGCATGTTGTTCAATGATTAGAGTACAGTACTGTACTGTGTAAAATAGACACGACCATGTTGAGGCCAATGTGATGGGCTTCCTGTACTGTATTATCTTTATGCTTTGCCTTACTCATCATGATCAAGCTGAACATTTGATCGTAGTAAAGTTCAATGGAAATGGTTGCCATCAATTTCATCTGACGGTGCGTTCTTATATCCGTTCATCATACAGATAGTGGGTAGCATTTCTCTCTAGCTCACTTGTTAACAGTCTCATTGATGCTAAACTGTCTTCAATATCATGACTAACCTACATTTCTACAACCAATTAATAATTTAAGAATAAAGTTTCAAGTTGATTAACCTCAATGAAAGACTCTATCAATCTTGTGGACTCTTGCCTACTTTTGTAAGAAAAATAATACAATAATTAAGCTTCAAAATGGGGTGGGGGGGCAACTCCTGACTGATTAACCACTTGTATACTGTAAGTGCTCATTCTCGCCATCACTCTGATTGCTGTACCACAAAATGTTGCTACTGTATGCAAACCACTCAACATCAGTTTCCACTTAGCAGAAAGCAGGCTATTCGAATCGTGTCCCTACCGTAGTTATTATAGAGTATATAGGCGTAATTCTTGTTGCTTTCGCTTACCTGCCGTCCAAAGTACAGTACAGCAATTTTCCTTTGCTAGTACTCTACAAAATACGACTGTGCAAATAACTCAGCATCAGTTTTTCATCTCCTGTAGTCGCTATCGTAGTTATTATACTTGTACAGTACTGTACTATATATGTATGTACACGTAATTATTGTTGCCTTGGCTCATCCTACCTTCAAAAGTACAGAAATTTTTCTTTCCAAAATGCTACATATGCAAACAACTCAGCATCAGTTTCCTCCTAGCAGAAAGCAGGCCCTCCAAATCATGTCCCTACCGTAGTTTTCATACAGTATAGAGGGGGTAATTATTGTTGCTTTCGCTCACCCTGCCGTCAAAAGTACAGCAATTTTCCTTTGCTAGTACTCTACAAAGCACTACTGTGCAAATAACTCAGCATCAGTTTTTCACCTTCTGCACTCTATAAAATGCTACTATACAAATAATTCAATATCAGTTTTTCACCTGCTGTAGCAGAAAGAAAGGCCCTCCGAAATAGTGCCCCTACGGTAGTTATTATACTTGTATAAAAATGCTACCGTGCAAATAAGTCAGCATGACTTTTTCACCTCCTGTAACAGAAAGCAAAGGCCCTCTGAAATAGTGTCCCTACGGTAGTTATTATACTTGTATAAAAATACTACTGTGCAAATAAGTCAGCATTACTTTTTCACCTCCTGTAACAGAAAGCAAAGGCCCTCTGAAATAGTGTCCCTACGGTAGTTGTTATACTTGTATAAAAATGCTACTGTGCAAATAAGTCAGCATGACTTTTTCACTAACTGTAACAGAAAGCAAAGGCCCTCCGAAGTAGTGTCCCTATGGTAGTTATTATAATTATATAAAAATGCTACTGTGCAAATAAGTCAGCATCACTTTTTCACCTCCTGCAACAGAAAGCAAGGCCCTCCGAAGTAGTGTCCCTACGGTAGTTATGATACACGTATACAAATGCTACTGTGCAAACAAGTCAGCATGACTTTTTCACTAACTGTAGCAGAAAGCAAAGGCCCTCCGAATAGAGTAACATCCCTACCGTAGCTATTCTACACATCTATACAGTACTGTAATTTGCTATAAATAAATTAATTCATTAATATATTCTTTAATTTAATGTTGCCCCCTACTTACGCTGGCGTCCAAAGTTGCAGCAATTTTCCACTTGCTAGTACTGTACAAAGTGGATATCTATACGTACCATACAATGTGCAGGATAAAGCAGAGTAGATTACTGTAGTGTCCACGTGTATAGGACACTGTACTATGCAGTTGGAAGGCAGTTTTGCCCATTTTGAGCGACAGGCAATTGCATAAGTATAGAAATGATTGACTTTGAACCGACAGAACTAAGAGCAGTACAACAGTAGGCAAAGCTCGCGATATTGGATCGAGAAAAGAACTAAACTATCGGCAAGGTAGATGATCAGCAATTTTACTACCAGCAACAATCTTTGATCTTATCAACAGCCAGTTTATGTTGGAAAAACACCATCAACAACGTTATAATGCAGTCCAAATGGAAAAAATCCACTGTAGCTAAATACGGTATAGGTGAGTTGATTAATTAATTCACTGCACTAGAGATCAATGAAAGGATGGAACAATTGCATTGGATTGCAGGAGAATGAAGAAGATTGACTAATTTCAATTCCTAAAATGGCATAGTATAAATAAACTACACTCACCCATTTCTTGCTTGATCGATTGCAGGATATTTTGTAATCATCAGCAATGCTATCCTAATCAATGCGTATTGACAGTATGGCATTTTTTGACTAGTAATCGACAACCAGAAAATCTACAGTAGGATGAATTCAAGGCATGAAATACAGTACAACTGGATTATTTAATACAGACGAACGTTGATATCAATTAATCAATAACTCACTTTTCATTATGAATACTGTTATAAGTCAACCGCTGTTTTAGTAGTAATGATAGAAGAAATATCTTCAATATTGATTGCAACTGTCCACGATATGAAAAATTCTCTTGGACAAGTTGTTTATTTTATAGTACAGTACAGTACAGCGCTACATCATATGGTCAACGATATGAGCAACATGTCGATGCGACTGATATAAAAATATCATCAACATCGCCTTAGCCATTTCTTGACACGTAGCGAAAATGCCTTACAGTAGTGTCGTAAGAAATGATTCAATAGGTCTTGCCATTAATGATAGCCAAAATTTCACTTAATAACGATGCATTTTCCATTTTACTCACTATCATCAACAACGATCATGCTGCACATTACAGAAAGAGACTGCATACGAAAGGTCTCTAGTGTGCATACGACACATTCAAAGTATTGATAGAGTCAATTTTTTCAGCAATGGTTACGATTGTCGCATTCTAACTTGCTAATCAATCATAACTAAGTTGAAAATCAAAATGGAATGGTAATAATCCAATAAATGAATACGCTAATCATATCGTAGAAGAATTTGGGGTTCACTCAACTAAGGAACTGTTATCAAACGATTGATCACCACGATTGCTTCATGGACTACTAGTTATAATTATCAATATACTATACTATCGTAGTCAGTCGCCGGAAATCGGTCTACTGGATGTGTGTGTACTGTGGTAAAAACATTCTTTTCTTACCTCTTTTCTTACCTCTTTACTAGGTGGCTCTACAGACAAAAGTAACCACATCTTAATATTCGTATTTGTAAAACTATCCCATTGGAATCAAATTCATTAATAGATATACAGTACAGTAGATAATATTTTGCAGTATAAACTGATTGATCGTCACGATTGATTTCATACATTATTACTTTAGTTCAATTAATCCTGACGTAATTCATCCCTAGGATCTCTCTTAAATAAATTATGCTTCCCTTGCGTTGCCTTTACTATGCGGTTTTACTCTCGGCAAAAAAAAAACAATCAGATTCTAATAGTATTAACTTGTTACATTTGAATAGAATTCATCAGTGGGCAGTATTCGCTATTAATTATGTAACTAGAATACATGGTTGATATTGTACGATAATATCATTAGGGATAATAAAAGCAAATATCACAAGTTTTTATTTAAAAGTTCCATTCACTTCTGCCTTGCCAATAAAAGATAATAGAGAAAAAAATATAATCAATCAATCAGTCTACAGTACATTATCCAACGACAACTTAATTCTAGGAAGATACTTGTTCAAAGATTGATTGCAATGTCCATTGGACATGTACGGTATAATAGACCTTCAAAAAAATGTGTACAATATCTAATCGACCGTAATACTGTATACTGTACAGTTCTATCCTAGCAAATAGTCTATACATTTTATAGATGGATATCTACCCAGTCTTTTAACTAAATGAATTCGTAATAGTTTCATGATCATTTTTCTATTGCTTAATACGTTATATTTTATGATAGCGTGTGATTAATTCCTATTAATAATTTACACTTATAAATATCGCGATAGCGTTAGTATGGCTACACTGCAACGATCATAATCTTGTAGCTTGTAAATATTAGTACTAGAAGTAAATGCTGCAGTAGAATGAGCGCGTTCGTATTGTAGACTCGCTCTCACCCTTTCTTGTAATTTACGCTACATTAAGAGACATACGGTATATCAAAAATTTAACCTTTTATTGTTCTATTAATGTAATGTAACTATGATAGAAAATTAGATCGATACTTAACTTCATCAACTTTTTTTCTACCATCTTTACTTATTCTAGCCATTTACAATTTCTCACTGGAAGGAGAGCACTATTTACCCTTACAAGTTGGCGATGCTGTCCATATCTTAGAAGAAAATGGGGGTAAGAAACAACCTTAAGATTATATCTAACTTATACTGTACCATGATAAAAATGATTTGATAGGCGGTATATTGACCTACAGTAATGCCTATGCTTTTAGTCACTACGGATATTGATCGAACGATCTAAAATACTGCAATAACTAAATTATTAATGTACATTCAAATAATACTTACAGTATAGCAATTCTACTCAAATGTCGGCTCTCTAGACGCTAATCATTGCTAGTTTTGCTTCATTAGGTTGGTATTGGGGATATGTGGTACATAACGAAAGTCGAAAGGTAACTTTGCAATTAACAAACATATGCTATTTGTTGACCAATTAATGTTTAGTTCATTATTTTATGTCCTTTAAATGATTAAAATTGATAATACTGGAATGTAAGGTAATAATTTGTGAGTACATAAAAATATGCCAAAGTAATTTATGAACCATTTGAATACCTGATATAATACTTAAAAATAGGGAGTATTTCCAGCCAACTATATTACCCTCAAGGATTACGTCTTGGAAAAGCAAGGGTAAAATACCTGTCATGAAATCGTCAGATTGATTTACTATCTTATAGAATGGCCATGATTCGTAATAAATTATTTATCTTTATTCATGCAGGGTTATGGAAAATATAATTCCCAAGGAAAAACCATTAGTTATAGAGACTGTCGAAAAATTACGTGAATACGGAGACATTCTGAAAATGCTTTACTTGGTGTGTTGTTAAAATAAATATAATTCTGCGGAATGCTACTGGAATTCTTCACTTCTTTCATTGCCGTTATACACAAATTTACTAATTCATGCATGGAAAATTGATAGAATCGAGATCAAAAGTTTTTAAATTTGGTTGGATTTATGTACGAATTGATGGAATATCGTCAAAAGATTATTTATGATGATGTTACACCTGTAAGTTATTGATTGTGAATAATAGCCATATCGCTCAAGCAGTTACTGAAAATGATTATATATGAGCATTGCACATGCTACACTTTTTCTTTGCTAGTTAGAGTTGAATATTTATAGTAATAAGAAAATTCTAAACTCGTATAAATATATTTAATATTGTAGGAATTGATTCATACTATCACTGCTCAAATAACCTATTGGAATAGGTATGTATTTAGTTATTTGTTCGTAAAAAAGTAATTCTGATTAACACTATGATCTGCTAGAGTTTTAAAATTAGACGTGACTTTACGAAATGAGCGTGGTGATCGCATTGAAGAAGATGAACTAACCGTGATGGAAATCTACGAAAAAGTATTGAACATAAGCATTTCTACACAGCTACATATAAACTTTACTTGCTTATGCAGTATCTCAATTTATTAATGGCTCAAATCGTTATCATGACATGCATCTCATCTCATATTTAACCTAATTTAATTTACATAGCATATGGACTCCTGTACAAAACCTGAAATCAAATCAGAGACGGTATCTCCTAGATCCTTAAATAGATGGACATGCTTTATATCAATGATATAATAATTTTTCGAATGAATTCATTCATTCTCTCTTCACAATATATGCGGTAGCACATAGAATTTGCATATTAAACATATGCACACAGAATTCGGCTTATTAATATTGATATACTATACCAATCTTCCGCAGGGATTTAGGAATGAGAACTCACAGAATTATTCCGACATTTATAATCTTTTTGTCAATTTTAAACATGGTGTTCTTGAAGTATTTGATCAGTGTGATGCTATTTTATCACTATATGATGCAACAACAGATAATTTTATTAGGTAAAAGTTACAGTAACAATTACGATAATCTTATAGTGAAGACGTGTAAGTGATAAAAACATTATTTTTAAAGTCATTACGTCGATGTAATTAATCAATTCTTTCCTACAGTGAAAGCATGCAGATTAGCTTAAATGAAAAAGGAATGCCGGTAGATCTGGCGAAAGATGTTGAATACGATGCATTCTTTACGGTAACTTAAATTATCTTTGGATGCAATGATACTGCAAAGATTTTAATCTGTTATTCGAACAGAATAGAATATTATTCCTAAATAATGCAAATAGTGAAAATCTTAAACTTTTTTCGACTGCGTAATAATTATGATATATCTGATTTATTGTACTGTATAATACATTAATGATCCTCTTTTTTTTGTATTAATAGGACCTTGACGATAAAGATATGAATTCAAAACTGTTTTTGGTATGTCAACTAGTACGAATTGGTAAGAAAAAAGATAGATTGTAAACGGATTGCCAAATTCATGCATGTACAAATAATCAAGGTTTTATCAGCTAGATTTTTGAACGATAAATGTAATCTTTTAAACGATCTTCAGGAGCTATGCACCCTAAAAGCATCAGAGTTAGAGATCAAAATGATCTAAAGTCTGTCTTAAGTCGGCATAAAGATCCCAAAACTTTTGGCTTGCGCCGACCTTATGGTGTAGCCGGTGAGCTAACTTGCTTTAAGTTGCCATTTACTTTGCCCTATATCTCTATGTACAATTCATATTTACGATTTCTGATCAATACCGTTCTCTGCTTTATCTGACAGTATCTAATCTGTAATTATATACTTCATTAATAGTATACGACTTAAAGAATACATTAACCGAAAAAATTGACAACAACGATGTACCGATGCATGTCGTCTGTTATGATAACGAATCACTATATAGTACTATCAAGAAAGCTATTAAACAATCGGCTGAGAAAAAAGGAGCATCAGAGAGTAAGCTTTCTAAATTTGAAATTGGGAATTAATTATCATTGTACTAATTATAACTTAATGTTATCTTCATCAGGCGTATGGGTATCATTGAAATTACTGAGAGGCTATCATAAAGACGTATGTATTTTGATATAATGATTGCTATGATAATGCAAATTTTCCCCAAAAAAATTCATTCGTACAACTTCTATTTAGTTGCGTAGAACTCATCCACTAATGATTAAACAAAGTACCAAAATAGTAGGCAAATTTGGCTTTCCTGAAGTAATTGTTCCTGGTTAGTAAAATCTTGCAATTTCAATACATAAAATTTGATTAAACTTCTTTCAAGATAGTATTAAATCACGGTAACGATCTATAAATTTACTTATTTATTCTTAGGTGATGATCGTAACGACATGTTTATTAGTATAGCATCGGCGGAATTAGATAAAAGTAAATTAAATTTCATCTTTAACTAACTCGCATTTATGCAATTTCACACGAATCATCACCTGATACCCTAGAATTTTACTTAAACCTTTGCATTCACTAGCCAAGAAAGGAAAACAGAAAAGCTTACAGTTATTAGCGACTGTCGTTGGCGCTAAAGGAAATGATGTTTCGGTATGTGAATTGGTACCTCATGCATAATACACTTTAAAATTTCATGCAAGACTTTACTTGGAATTTCTTATATTGCAGTAATTGCTTCTATCTTTACTACAATGTCCTACTTAGAATGGCATTAACATGGGAAAAAATGAGCATGTTGCCACATATTCTTCTGTTGTTTACCACCAAGAGAATTGTCCAGTCTGGATGGAAACATTTAAGGTACAAGCATGATACTTTATACAAATTTATTAATATGAGTGGAATGTCGCATTAATCTCAATTAACAATTTATCGATCCTTATTCGATTATATTATATTCAAATACGCAGCTTGGCGTAACTCCAGAAAATTTTAAGAACCTTCATATCATATTTCGCTTTAGAAATCGGCATACTGGAGAAGGTCAGTAAGAGCAACTATGCCACATCATCATTATTATCCTTAGATGTATTACACTAACTTCAATTATAAACTGCTTTTCGTTCTATCTAAAATATCTTCTTACCCAAACTCGGTTCAGTAAAAGACAAGGATTCAAGAATATTTGCATTCTCTTACTTAAAATTATCCAACCCTGATTCAACTGTTATTGCAGATGGGAGATATGATTTGGTCATTTACAAAGTAAATTGATGGTTTACCTTATCTGACTATCATGGTCTCTTACTGAAAATGTGTTTTTCATACAGAAATCAAATTGAAACTTTTTACTTTTAGACAGATAAGCCTATGAAATTGACTTCAGATGTGTATTTGAGAAACCCATCTACTTTAGTTGAAATTATAAATGGAAAAGATGTCCATTTTCCAAATAATGATGTTCAATTTACCACGAAAGACTTTTTGTCAATTCATATTCGCGTCTGCTCTACGAAACTTACACAAAGCGGTAGAAATGATTCATAAGTTATATTTAAAGTTCTAAAACGATAGCTTAACTAACAAGATATTAACTCTAGTTGAAGATAACGAAAGTTAAAATTTTCGAAATTAATTGTCTACAGCAGTAGTATTTATGGAGCTAAGATTTTGCTTTTGTAAATAAATTTGGTATAACTACGTGTCTTTATGTCGCAGCATATTAACTGATCGTAAATAATACCATTTTAAGTGATTATTAAAGTTGCAGCAATTAAAAATCTCTTTCAGATTGATTTACTACGTATTTATTTTATTACTCTAACAGCAAAAGTCTTAGGATTACTGAAATGGAATGCGTCAACAAGTACGCTGAAGAGTACAACAAAAATTCTGGAGAACTTTATGGATGCTGAAAAACCTGAAGTAGTTAAGGTTAGTCATTCAAATTAATAATGAATTATATCTATATGCCTAATACCTAAATTATAGCTAATTATTTATTTTGCGATCTTGAACGTAGTTTTTAGTGGCTATACTTGATGTAATATTCAAGATCTTGTCTAAATCGGATCAGTCTGGGACATTGCCTTATAAAGCCCTGGTAAGATTATTATTTTTTTGTATCCTTATAGCGTTATTATCGATAGCAAATCAAATTTGTGTAATACTGCAATAGCTGTACCTAGCCAGATAATAAATAATCAGAACACTAATATTATGTATGTAATAGATACATTTTCTTTATATACGAAATAGGTTTTTGTTCTATGTACTATTGAAGCTGAAAAATTCAGAGGATTCAAGAAAGTGTTTGATTCATTTATCGAAAATCATTTTAAGGAGACATCCGTGCATTTGTTAGTTTTTACTAATTACGAAATTCAGAGATATCCTATAATCACGACTAAATAAAATTTTTGGTTGTTGCTATGGTTATGTTATTAGAAAGCTGCTAATTGACATTAAGAAAGTTTTAACTAGCGGAGAACAGGGAGTTCCAGATACGGTCAACGTAAGTTTAACCCAAAAATTAATTGAAAAATAACGTCATTAATAACTGCACGACACTATTGAGTTTATAATCAATACAGCTCAAACCAAATTAAATAAAATTTGTAGAACAACTATTTCACGATAGTTTTAGGACAAGTACACCCTACAATCGCTACATGTGAATGTTGTAGTATGAGTTGCATTGAGCTTATGTGCTTTATGCAACAACAACCACATTTGTGTTAGACCCAAAAATTTTTGCTATAAAGATGGAGAACATTTACTAACTTTATTTCACAAAAATTTTGCATTTGCCTTTATGTAAAGGTTTTGCAACAATTACTTCGCCTCGCTATCAAATCGGAAAAATTGCATGAAAGGTCAGTGAGAAGAGAAGTTCTGTATTATATGATCTGAAATTTTTTAAAGCAGTCATGACACAATATATGTATTGTGGTTATATGAAATCGAAAGTGCACTTGTGTATCTACAAGGCGAAGTTTTAATATTCCTGCGCACAAGTACCGCTGCTTTATTTGATCAGGCTTTCAGGACAATGCTGTATCTAGAATGTGAATTCTTTCGTTTGCAGCTATGCCATATGAATATTTGCACACTTATAGTTCAAGTGATAGCTAATAATAAATTATAACGAGTTTATTTTCTTCCTATCTTCAATTTCACGTATGATAATTTCATCTATTTCAAGGGATACGAATTATAATAAATTCAATATTTATCATAGACGCCTACTAGTGACGTTTTTCATTTTATGAACTGTTCTTCATCTAAAAACATAATTTTAGTACAAACATTTCTAGAACGACTGCTTTCGACCAGCATTTATTTTTCACTTTATCTCTTTTATGCAAGAGTGCACATGTCTTCTTATACTGCAATATTTGCTTAATACTATAAATTAAAGCTTTGAAAAATTTCTATAGAACTCAGAAAGATTCCGACGGTATCAGGCAACGGTTCATAACGAAATTGATTGATGTGCTTTCGGCAATCAATAATTTGATGCCAATCAAGTCTGAATTCCTATTGTCATCGCAGGTACTAGTAGTTTTGAGAAATATGCCCTTTAATTAAACACAATAAACTTTACTTAATACTTGGCAACAGTAAAGATGCGCAAAATTATTCTTTGAAGTTAAGATAGTATTTATATATTGATAGGGGTATATAACTTTTTATCTCTTTATTTCTTGTAACAACTTTATTTGCAAACAGATGCAAATTTTGTCATCGTATGCAATATATTGCAAAGAAATACTGAACGTTCTAAATCCACATAAACTTAGGTAGGTATCAGTTTATTTTATGGTATTTCGTATGTGTTCAGTCACTGCAATAGTATTCAATATTATTCTCCTTAGTTAAGTCTTGTATGTTTCGTAGTAATTATGATTATCTTTTTTTCTTGCTCCTGAATATAGCGATTATGTTCACGAATTCTTACAAAATATCCCGCCGGATCGATTGATTGAACCTAAGCTAATTTGTTTGCGTAATATTGTAGAAAGTCCTTTATTTTTAGATGTCGGTAGGCGAAAGTTGATTTTTACACACATAACTGCATGGTATACACTACTATTTCATTATATTATTAAGCTAACTCTTTCTTTAACATCGTATTTTCGCTTATGTTGCAAAAGATGGCCGTAATAAGATTATGGCAGATATTTGTCGGTGTGTACGACTCTTGTTGTTCAACATGAAAGAGCTGGGACCTTGTTATTCATTGCTAAAGACGCTTTTCAATAAACTACAATCCAGGAACGTAACCGAGAAGGAAAAATTGGTTATTTACTATTGCCTTATTTTTGAGCTTTGTTTCCACTTAGTAGTCAGTTATTTGACAGTGATAATAATGCTTTGTAACGCTTTAAAGTATATTTTTGTTATATATTTTTAAATTTAGGGGCCTATCCTAAATCATGTATACAACTTGGTGGAGTTGGTATTAAGACCCATAATGTCTGTAGTCAGCAAAGCCGATCCATTTTCAAGTGTTCATGTAAAATACATATAATTACCTCCTATATGCTTTTGTTTTTCGTCAGAATAATTACTAATATTTTCCTTTACATTGTCTAGCTGAATTACGCTACTCTAATGATTGCACTATTTTCATTGATGGAAAAAGATCACTTTAGCACTTATTTCGCATCTTTCCATGATGATGAAGATCTCATTGTAAGTTAAGATATCTGTGTATATATAATACTTTTTTAAGAAATACGGCTATTAAAAATCTCTTTTACTTTAATTTCTTGTCATATTAACATCTCCCATACATTCTTTCCAAATATTAATCGTAGGACCTATTAAACGAGATTTATACAACTTTTCTGGATCTAATTCGAAAACCGATTTATAAATCTGATTGGCACATTATGCTGATGACTCAAAATGCGTATGAAGCTTCATAGAATAAACTTTGTAGATATAACGATCATCAAATTTACCTTGCCTTTTACGATTAAAATTAAATTATCTGAACCGCAATGTGTCTTATAGGATAATGTTAAATGTAATTCGTCAATGTTTTACTGCTTTAACAAACTACTATTTACACGACAATGAAGGAAGACGCTTCAATTACCAGGTAATTTCCATGCATAAAGGTATCAGTAATTTCAGGTCTATCTCGCAAAATAGTTTTATCTTATCTATTGGACCATATCTTAGTTCTTTTCTCTATTATTTGTTACGTCTCTATTATATCACATAAATAAAGCTCGCGATGCCGTCACCTGATGTAATGAAGAAATTAATGACTCTGTATTTATTTTTGTAATATATTCATGCTACAGTTATGGAACAACTACCTACAATTATCAGTTGCATTCGTTACACAGGACGTACTTCACCTAGAAAAGTATCCATTTGCAAAATATAGAAAGATCTTAAGAAGGTAGAATTGTAAATTGTTATTCATAAATGTTCGGCAAAAATATTTACAGCTTCAGAGTTACCATTTAAGTTATGAATTACTGTAGATATCAAGATATGCGGCTCATCCTAGGACTCCAAATCGCAAGTGCTTGGAAAAAGTTGGGTTAGTGTAAAATTGCACCATCTTACTGTATTTAGCTTTCTCGTATCATTGATTTGCTTCATGTTAATGGATATGCTAGGCAAATTTAAAATTAATTTCATTCCTGGAATTGTTGGCCCGCTCTTAGAAGTTGCACTACTACCCAATCAAGGTTAGCATCCTAGAAATTTTTGGGTGTTGCTAGCTCGATGATTACGTAGCTCCGTAATTTTTGTCATCGTAATAATTCTTTGTATTTTCCAAATTAAAACTCAATAAATATCCTGGAAGATCTTCGTGGGGCTATTATTCCAATTTTCTTTGATATGATGTGTTGTGAATACACACACAGTGATGAAAATTTCAATAATGTAAAATGAATGAGTATCAAACAAGATTCTCGTCCTCACTTTGATTTTCTTCCAAAAAATTTGTTAGTATAGCGATATATCATTTTATGCCAATTTAGGTTGAATTGGAAATGATTCAGAAGTTAGATATATTAATTGAAAGTGGTCAAGGCGATAAACAGTATCAAGAAATGTTTCGCGAAATGTATTTCGATAATCGAATAATTGATATAAGAAAATTCAGTATATCCTAACTAAGGAACTTTTTCTCCTTAGTAACAGCTTTTCAATGTTTCAGAATGACGCGCCTTTGCAATAACAATATGACTATTAGTCCAGCTTTGAGCTTTCCTTTTGTTCAGACAATCACGTTGCTAATTGAGAAACTATTGGATTATCATACTGTTCACAATACGTACGAAAGTTTGCATAGTCGTCTACATTGTACCGTTAACCTTTTGGTAAGTGTAAATATCTATATATCGATTTATTGAATATACGACATCATTAGTAAATAATAGGAACTTAATTCTGCTTAATTTTTATGAAACCAATGTACAGAATTTCTATAAAGATATTCAGAAAGATGAAATGTACGTGCGCTACGTTTATAAGCTAAGAGATTTACATCTTGAGGCAAAAAGTTATATTGAAGCTGGCTATACTCTCCTGCTGCACGCTGAACTTCTCAAAGTAATCCGAACGAAACCATTCTTAAATAATAAAATTTTAGAAATTATTTATAATTATTATTCGAACTTGCCATTTATATTTATTTCATGTTTTACCGATCATGTTAGTGGATCGATAGTAAGATACGATTGCATAAAGTACACGGATATGACTCTATTGGTTTAGAATGCAAACTCAAGGAAAAGCTATATCACGAAATTATTGATTACTTCGATCTTGGTCAGGTCAGCTTAGCCTTTGGATTTATCGTATCTTAGTGATGTTACTACGCATGGAAGTATATTAGTAGGAAGAGCTTGGCACTTTTAGTCATCCGTAGCCATTGTACTATTGTACTGTTCGCAAAGTGTAAGCTATATCTCTATTAATATTAATCTAACTTAGAATTGGGAGGATGCCATTGGTATTTGCAAACGCCTGGTCGTCCGTTATGAAACCGAAGAGTTCGACTACGAAAAATTAAGCGCGATACTGGTAGGGACTATCAATATAATGAATGAACTATTGATAACTACAATGAATCAATTGTAATAAATACTTCTGATTTATATCTTGCAGAAAAGATTGGCTGAGCTTTATAACAAAATTGTAAATGAGCCAATAAGACCAGCCTCTGTTTACTATTACGTTGGTTGTTATGGGAAAGGATTCCCTTCGTTTTTAAGTGTTGGTCTCTTATAATAAATATTGCTTATTTTGTGGATTTTCTATTGAAATGTAAATATTCATCGTTACTCTGCTGATTTTCTGTTCATTTCAGAACAAAACATTTATTTATCGCGGTAGACCGTTAGAGCAAATAATTGACTTTCAGCATAGGATGCAACGTATTTTTCCTGATGCACAGGTGAATTATCTGCTTAAATTTATTATTTACTGTAATAGAGTATCGGAAATATGCTGCTAAGGTAACATGTTACTACTGCATTATGTATTGAGCCTAGTTGATATAATTTCACGAAGTCACAAGGCGTCTGTATAACTTCAAATATAGAATACAATTCCTCATTCATCATTTTGTTGAGGCTTATATATCATCGATTATATACTTGCTATAAAGGGTTCGATAAATTTATAGGAGTAGATAAAGAAGCTATTATTGATATAAAACGTAATATGTTAGCAGGAAAATACATGTAGTTTCTATATTACATACTGTAATTTGAGGAAGATAGAAGATACTTAATGCAGATCAGCGTATAAGCTGTTGTGGAAGTAGAATTGGGTAACATCCATAGCACTAACAACTGTAACTGAGATCAGAAAAATAAATCAGTTGTACTTGTAGCTAGCAATCAATCGAATCTGAGTACGAGTTATAGATCACAATTAAGCATGCATCACTAAAGTGTAGGCTAACGATACATGAGTCTATGCTAGTAACGCTGATTGTAGGTTATTTATCCGATTAGTCTACAGTAATGTACCTTTCTATGTATATGATTTATATACATAAGATTTTTATTAACATATATTGTAGGTGATATGTAATATTTGTAAGTGTAACCAAATTCTGGCATACTGTAATGCTTTAATGTTAGTAACATTAGTGATATAATTGCTACGTATCGTATTAGGTTTTAAGCACCTTGGATCTTCCAGAAAAATCTAAGATGGATTCCGATAAGCAATGTGAGAAACACTCTTACACCCCAATCATCAAATACCCTTGATCAATAATTTTAATATTATTTACCTTTAATAATTTGAATTTGAGTAGATCTTCAAATCTGTAAAGCTGATCCGGTTTGTGATATGGATCGATTTGCTGATACGCAAGCCAGTGAACGTATAAAAAGGTTCTATAACTAATTCTTACACATTAGAGTTTATGTGAATTTTAGTACCTACTCCACGTGACTAGTAAAGGACACTAATATTTATACACTACATGTTCATACGATAAAAGATACTATAAAACAAATCACCTTCAAGTCTTTCAATTTTCAAGACCATTCCATAAAGGGAAAAAAGAAACAGAAAATGAGTTCGCTGTAAGGGACAATACTGAATATCGTAAATGTATCACCATGCGAATATAATTGTGCTATTGCATTTTAGTTACTTCCTTATATCTGATAATCTACGTAAATTTAGACACTGTGGCTCAAAAGAACAATTCTCAGGACAAAATATGTACTACCCGGCATCTTGCAATGGTTTGAGACTGCGAGTCCGGAAATTGTGAGTGTTTACACAATTTCATTTTATCTGTTACTTTGTACGTGTCGTAACAAACTCGCTGATTTACTGTAGTTTGAAAATATAAATGGCCACATTTCAGTCTTAAGATGTTGCTATTGTATGCTAGATTGAAATTGATCCTTTAGAGTATGCAATTGAAAGTGTGCAAATGAAGGTGATGGAATTGAAAGATGTCATTGAAAGAGCGAAACAAAACCCGAAAGGTAATATCAACAACCTTGGGCTACAGTTAAATGGAATTCTTGATGCTGCAGTAAATGGAGGAATTGCTCAATATGCGAAGGTATGCAATTGCATCTTGTAAACATACAAAATCTTATTTAAATTTAATTTCTACATTTATTATGTCCTTATACAGGTTTTCTTTACATTGAAATACCTAACGGATTACCCTGAAAGAGAAGCTTCCGTCAATCACTTAAAGGAGCTTATCCTTTATCTAGTGAGATTTCATTGAAAACTGTACAGTACTGACCTACAAGCTATAAGCTAGCCTCACGATTGATTCACTTGGCTCTCCAATTGTAGACCCGAGTAGCTGAAGAAGGAGTTGAAGTTCACGGAGATTTTGTCAAGACTGGAGCACCAACTTTGCAGCCATTACATGATAAGATCACTAGTAACCTTGTAGAATTCCAGGGAAAAGTCAACGAATATCATAAGGTTTACTGCAAAATTCAGCATTCACGATAATGCGTTGTATTTTCCAATCATATCTAAGCCAAATTTTGATACATGTATATAATTGTAAGCTTTAAATCGGATTATAACTACATTTATATATCAATCTTATCCAATCCTGCTCATGAAACTCCTAAAATTAGTTACTGTATTGATAAGTATTTAGTAGATGCATTTTTATTTTAAATGCAAATAGCCATTATATTCAGTAATTAAACGAAAAAAAGAGTCTCGCACAGCACGTCGTATCGCTTCTAGCAAGTACCTCTCACACCGTCCCAGTATTGTTCTGGAAAAAAAACCAATTTCCTTAACACCTGGGTATGTTTTGATTTATATATATCTTTTCGCATTTTCGCTACGCTAGGATATTAGAAAGCGACTTGGAAAGTTAACCAGGGTATCGCAGTTAAAAAGGTAGCCTAACAAAACCTAACCGTTAATTCTGCTGTTTATTGCCTAACCGTATCGTAATGTCTAAATACTAATTTGGCACTAATTGTAACTATGAGATATTGTAAATTTTAAATTTATGCTGATAGCGCTGTCTAACGTCCTATAACATCATGCTTCAGCATAATAATGGGCTATAAGCACTACGCATTGCATAACCCGTGAAAAAATTATGCGGCCTATAACATTACCACTAATTAAACAAACAAATACTTGACATTTGCTATGCTCAATTACGAAATGATATTTTAGATATCCTTTATGACAAATTATGACGCTTTTTTTATGTCAAATATGTGGCAATGGCCTTGTTATAACAGAGATGGCAATGATATACTTACAAAGAGCAAAAGATCTCAAAGTGCTGGACAACTTTTTGATGACCTACGAAATGATCTGGTAAAGCTAGTCAATACGTTATTACACCTAGAATTAAAATTTTCATTAAAAATAGCGAATACATCTAAATATGTTTAACTTCGTTTTACTACAAAAAGGGTTGTGCTTTTAATTCAGTTTCCATATTATAAGTTCACCAATATGCTAACCCATTCCGTTTTTAACCACCGGTACCGTAGTATATTCACATAAGCATAAAATTTGCAGTATGTGAGTATTTGAAAAAGGTTATAGATAAAATTCTTGCCTTAACACTTTCTTCTGATATGTCATTCATTGCTATGAGTTAATGGGCCGGTTATAGTATTTGCAAGAATATAGTCATATTCGTTGGGTATTCGCAATATATCGTTAGCAAGCCGTTAGTTTCGCTTAAAAGTATAATATTACAGTAAGAATAATAACGTGTCAATTTGATATTCTAGTTCTACTAGACTCATTTGAAGATATTGTGTTAATCTTTCTTGTTACAAGAAGACAACAATCTTTCTTGTTACAAGATACAAGAGCTTTCGAATCGCAATAAATAAAGTCATAAATTTATTTGTATTTCACCAGGATTCTAATAAATTAAGTGATTCCAGCAGTTGGTATGGCTATCGTCGTGATACCATTGCTGACAGCCGCAGTAATCCTGGAAGCCGAAAGTCTAGCCCAAGACAATCACTGACCAATGAGGATCTGTTAAAAAATATCATAGATTATTCTTCTTTGAAAGCGAAGCAAGGTAAACTATCGATTCCTATTGCCAGTAAAGCATTTATCTGGCGTGATATCTCACTAATGTGTACATAATATTGAATAACAATTACAGATGATTTTAATCAAGGACTATCAGGTTTTGACCGATTGACGACAGAGTTGAGATTGTCAGCTTCATCCGCAAGTGATGTCGATAAAGATGAAATGCCCATACTACCGCCTAAAAATACGTCTCTGCAAATTTCTGACAGTAGTCCTGGTGCAATACCTGCAAAACCGCCTAGATACAGATCGACTAGTCGAGACGGATCGAGTGAGAATTATTTATCATCATCACTGACAGATTCATCTCACGCTGGACCTTTAAATGTCTCTCCTGCACTACCTATAAAAACTGTCCCGGGACGCCATAACACGATTGACAGGAAAGCTAGTAAAGATTCTTTTGACGATTCGAATCGAAGTTCCACCCCGGTTTCGGATAAACGGCGCGATAGTTTACCTCAGTTTAAGCCACCAACAGTTTCATCAGATGAAAGTAGTACGCCAAAGTCCGAGACTGTTGTCTAATTAATTGTAGTATGCCTTATGAGTCAGGACTAATATATTTAGTGTTGGTTATATTCATATCAATGAATATTTTCTATAATCTACACCGAAATACTACTAATTCATCAATTCCGTAGTTAGACTTTCAACAGTGGCATTATATTAATTATTATTGTCACATTTCATTGATTAAAGGCTCGCTAAGCACATATTTTAAGCCGATAGAATTCATGACAAGCTAAATGAAATGCAACAAATTTAAATAGTACCCTATCTGATTCTTAAATTGCTGTAACGTGTTATTAAGCCATTAAATTAATATTGTTAATTGTTAGAATGAAATGATACCATTTATATTACTAAATTATGATTTCGGACTTGAAGAAAATAAGACGCGGCATGAGCGCAGATGAACATTAACTATTTAATCTCGTTACTGAGCACTAGCGTTGAAAATTAGTACAATTTTTTTAGGTAAAATCGTCTTTTTTATTTATGATTATCTCAATATTATAAATAATTGCGAATAGTTTATTAATTAGTGTCAATCTGATTTAGCAAGAAGAACATGGCTTGAGTAATGTTTGGTTTAATATGGAATATCGCTATAGATGCCATGAATTTTCAATTAGCAGATATTCCTTCTCATCTTCAATTTCATCAACTGGATTACAACACTTTACATTAACAGAATTCTATTTACCTTTATCCTTTGTATCGAAGATGCCAAATTATATTTTTATTGTTGTTGTTACTAAAGATCTTTGCAATTTTTGGATGTACTTTTAACGAATTAAAAGCAACGTTTCGTACTTAAATCTTATCATCTCAATTGCGGTAGTAACCATTGTTTACGCTATTATTTAAAGATAGTTTATTGCAATTGATATCGTAAAATCTAAAGTATCTGATGAGTCTGCATGATACAATTTGATATATTTTAGTTAACAGTGCCTTCATTTGTGTAATATAATCTCTATACAACTGCAGTAGTACTCAAAAGGTAATTATTAATAGAATCAAGGTTATCTATAACATACACCTTTTCTAGTAAGTATTATTGCGTAGGTGTCTGATACGCTAAGTTAAAGGAAAAATTGTTTATACGTACTTAATACTATTTAGTATTGCAGCCAATAATACTTTTTAGTCCACTGCAGAAATATAGTCAACGGGAAACATTTTTTTCTGGTAATCATCACTATCAACTCATTACTCTATATTTAAATCAAAACGTCTAACCTTGAGAAAAGTATTCCCTTGATTTAAAAATAACTGCATTTTCAATTAATGATGACCATCTTATTGAATTAAGAGATCGATTTATCTTTAAAAGCATGTTATATTAAATCGGTACTTAATAATACACTATATACTTTTTACGCGTATGAGTATTAGCATATCCCTAGTAGCCCTTTCATCAAGTATAATATAGTATACTAATGCAGCAATATACCGATTTTTAATCACGAAATTGCATCGAATCCGGACTGCAACATGCCCTCGATGAATAAAACAAGCTACGAGACAATTTGTCGAAAATTTACATTATTCCTTCTAAGGAGTGAGTTGCGGTAAGGACTATACATAAAGTGATCGTAATTGAAGATAGCATATTAACCTATATTTTATAATATCCTAACAGGCGCATTATTATCAGTAAAAAGTATTCCAAAAATATATTTAATAAATAATATATCGTAATAGGGAAGTTGGTATTACTCATTATCATATAAATTTTATAGTTCTTAGATCAAAATAATTATTTTTACTTGTGTAGTTATATCAAATTAATTGGATAAATACGGCATGAATGTCAGTTGCGTTCCTTGTAATTTATTTTAATTTATGACAATTGTACATGATTACGAAGATATTTCTTTCAAGGAATATAATTCCTTTTATTGTCTTATCATTAATATTAATATAACCAAATAACAAGAATAGATGAGAATAAGAATTGATAATATATCACAATAACAATGTGGATATGGGGAATTACTTTTATTCTCTACAGATTTACTAGTAAATACGATCAGATGCACAGATATCAGATGAATACTGTATCAAATATAAGCTAACGTATCAGGAAAACAAGTAATTTTTTTATCACAGCTGATTCTTTATCTGTCTGTTTCTATTAATTAGTCTAATAATAACGGATGCTGTTAATATGTCGAAATATTGCACAGCAAGTGTCTGTAATAATAGAATAAAGCTATCGAAGCATGTAAAATGTACGTTTCAATTTTTATTTTCATCTTATTCAAATTCATTATGCAAAAAAGAATAAGATTAATTTTGATGAACTTTTTGTTTGAACCGAGTAAATCTGTTACTTGACCGAAATTCCATCTATAGCGATAAAAGCAGCCAGTATAAGCTCATGCTAAATTTTTGCAAAATGCACGGGAATAGAAGACAACAAGGATCATATCGGCATAAATTACCATGGCAAAATTGGATATAACATAATATCGTGATATGTCATTAAACCAATTTTATATTTGTAATAGTATCAATCTAATGCACTAATACAAAAGACTAGATAGTATTACTAGGGAAGCATATCAATTTTGAAATGTAATATCAATTTAACAATTCTTTTACTTGATCATATTTTAATCTGTAAGCTAGTATATCAACTTTAGCTAGTTTTGAGTTGCTAAAGGTTTCCTTTCAAGACCTTGATTTAGCCTATAATAATGGCTTGTCATGCAATCTTGCTTTTTACATTACGTTCATCACAACAATTTTTAAGCAATATCCATCAATATGAATAGAACCCGTTATTTTTCGTATTCAAGAGTAGAAATGGTTGTAGAATGGAGGCACAAATAGAAATTAATTGATCGAAAGAATAGCGGATATTGAAACGTAACAGCAAAACATTTTGAAGCGTAGTCATTCAAAACAAAATTAACATGATAATGTCAATTTTGTGACATTAGTTAGTTTTACCCTTTAAAATTGTACTTATATTGTTAGTGTTTATGATCGTAAAATAAGAGTCCAAAGCTCGTAGTATAACATTAATTAAAAGACAAAGTTATTACGAAGCACAATATTATAAGTAGTCTTGGTCGGTAAGTTATTCTATTCAATTCAACTTACTTTATACCGATGCAAAGAACCATCCACAATGAGTAGTAGATGAAATTTTAACAACAACACAATGACAAAAAAATTTACTACTATAGAGTAGGTGATGAAATATGATCCAATAAATATCAGTTGACCATGATATGACCATAGCGGTATTATTATTATCAGGATATTACATAAGAAAGAGAAAAAAGTAAACATTTTGATATTATGATATATTGAAAGTATAATAGGCATTTTCCATAATTCAATTATTAAATAGATTTTTGATGAAAGAGGAAAAAAGGGAGAGGTGGCAATGATCGTTATCATTTATTTAAATATATGTATTTACGTATATACGTATAGCAACATATTGTCGCACATATGTATATGACTGATTAGCTAATGTACCTTGTTGTATTTGATTTATATTTATCAACCAAGAAATTTAAATAAATAGAGGCTTTTTATAGTAAATCTTAATCATACGCTGATGATGATGATAGTAGATTGCTTTTCAAATAACTCGCTATCAAATGAGCATAGAATAACTCCTATCATTAACAATCATAGCTATGATGACAATATCGTTTGGTATTTTATTATATTAAAAGAGTGTTACTAGGCTTATATCGAATAATATTTGAATACCGCATATATCCACATCAACCGTGATTAATATTATAATATAATTACATGTTTTGGAATTAGTTTTCAATACTATTATGGTGTTAATAAGGCATTCTAATGGTGCTATGTATATAATATATATTCATATATTGATATAAATGTAAATCATAATTACAGTATCTTCATGATACTGTATTAATGAATTGATATGATCAAATAATTGTAATAATCAAATACTAATCATAACCATTGAATAATTGAAATCATTTTAAATGGTATTACGGATAGGCTATTCAGTATTAATGGCACCCACATGTTTCAACTACCATACCGTCAAATTCATTAATTTGGATCTCATGGTTAGCATTATAAAATAAAAATGTATGACTTCTTAAACGATCTGGTGTACAACATGGCAGGGTAGGCTGGCTATTTTGACCAAAGTAGGACATCATAGCGCGAAGAGTTGCATGTAATGTTGCATTAGTATTACTTCCTAAAGGATATTTACAAACACCGACACATTGATATGCATTGAAAGATCTCGGTGAAATGATCCATTCCCAACCAATATCTTTAAAGTCGACAACTAAGTCTTCTCGATGGCACGGACTATTAGAATAATCTTGGGGTAGATATCCTCGACCATTGGTATCACGACGCTTATTAACTGAACGCTTACTACGTGATGGATGATCTTCTTCAAGCTGATTACTATTTTGATTGTTCTCCGATGCCTTATAATGCAACTTTTTCCCTTCCACTGTTTTCATGACTTCTGCTAAATTAGCCAATTTTGGCAACTGAACATTAGAACTGACTATGAGTAATGCTTGCTTAGAGCGATGATGTGGTGGATGCTTAGCAAATTGGTACAAATCTTGATGCAATGGTTCTTCGCTATTGAGCTCCGTAATTACAATCCTTAAGCCAAGATTATGCTTTGGATAGTGAATCCAATAACGGACAGCAGGAGAAACAGAAAAAACTTTCCAGCCATGGCTGCGATGACCAATTACCTGTGAATCAATTAATCGATCTTTAAAACCACGAGGCATAATTTGGAATACTTTAGCGTTATAATATCCACGATGTCCATGAGGTAATTTAATGTAATGGCGTAGTCGAAAAACTCGGAGTTCGGCACTAATTAATTCTTCTTTATCGTTGATATCAGAAATGTTAAATTGAAATTCATTTTTTCTGACAACTGTACCCATAATTTTCATTCAATCCATTTTGGTAAGTATAAAGAAAGAGAGAAAAAAAAATTGTAAATTAATCATTAAAATTACAAAACAACATCGAAATACTTCTACAATTAATAATTAATGCGTATCATATAAAATTATACTAGATATCTATTTCAGGTATATTATTCTCCATGTTGGCAAAACTACAACTCAATACCATATAATATATCATCCCAAATAATAGCAAGATTTCAATATCCTAAATTTGCCCATACCGACTTCAATTGATGTGTAATACATTATTGGGTATAATTTAAAATTGAATTGATTTCGAGTTCGAAAATAAAGTAATTGTTCTAGATGGCAAGACCAATTTCAATTGTACTATCCATTAATATTTTACGTTGATAACGGAATAGACTCAGGATTTTGGATATAACTTATTTATATATACAAACTAACAAATAAATTATATTTAAAAATAGATATTGATTAATGGAGAAGATTACTATAAATATTTTTTTCATGGCTTTATCAGTGAGGTTGTTGACTCAGAATAATACGATTATTAATTATGGTATTGAAGAATATCAGTTAAAGTTCAATCCAGTTTGATTAACCTAATTCAATCATCGTGTATCTAACTGCAAATAGTCGTGGTAATCATAAATAAAAAATAAGTTGCTCATATAACCTTGATCCGTATACAAGGAAAGCGATATAATAGAAATATTCCACTGATGACCTTCAACCCAATTACTACTCTTCAGTAGTTTACGTAAAAACGTCGTTTCTTTCATACGTTGCAGAAGCACTCCATTGATTGCTTATACACTAAGGATATCCTTCACCCCGATAAATTGGTCTTGTGCTTGTCAGGAGATTAATTTTATTGCTTACCGTAATATCAATTAGTAGAGAATGAGTCAATTTAAAGCAAAAGATACTACAATGGCAATCGTGATAATTGCAGGTTGAATGAATAAGAAACAGTAAAAAGGTAGTGAAGGTAGAATATCCCTTATGTCTTCTTGCTTACTATACTCTTAAATTAGTGGATACTGGGTAACTTGAATTTAAAGCAACAGCCATGATAACTACGTATTCAATTAACAAAGAAATGGTAAGAAGATGAATATTAGTTAAGGTTACAATATCTCTTTCATATTCTTGATTACCTTAGTATCAAACTGTATGACTAGATAATAGATACATTGCAATTAAAACTAACTAGAATACTGGGTTTGATAGCTACCCTAATGAGTTGGTGATAAATGGTAAGAAATTGAATTAGGATACATTATCTTGCTGTTATCACATTATCAGGCTAGTAATGAATTGTCAAGATAAAATATTTCCTCTATTTCCTTTAGATAATGATAGCCAACAGCTTCAATTGAAGGAATAAAAGTCCCTAGTGTTTTCTTATTTTTAACCATGACTATATGAATATGTTATAGAGCATGAAATAACAATCAAGAAACAAATAAGTGAATAAGATTGTTGATATTGAACCATCATTAAGAATGGAGATTTCACTCTCCCCGCAAGAGAAAAAAATATTGATAAAATTCAGTATTTCATCAATACCACCTCCACTACGACCACTTTTTATTGAATTAAATTATAGTTAATTAAGAATGAAAAAGAACCATCTTGCCCCCTTGTCCCGTTAAAAGTGAGATAATACTTCATATTTTATCATTAAGATGATTGGATTAGTAATTTACAGTAAACACATTGCCAATAGGATCAACTTTTAATGACAATTAAGACGTTGACTGTCAGCAATCTTATTCTAGCATATCATTTTGTAGGATAATCAAATTAATTTTATTGCAATCAACTCAGTCTTTAACTTTATAATGACGACGATTAGCAGAAAAACAAGCTAATTTTAAAGGTCTGATTTACTGCTGTATCATATCAAATGATCATTTCTTGGAAATGATTTACGTCAAATTGCAGTCAATATTTTGATAAAACGGAAAATAAAATCCGTCAAGTATTTTTCTTGAAGCTATTTCCTAGAAATAAAAACGACGACAATCGCAAAATAGAGAATGATCCATACGTTGGTAATTAAAATTTGATGACTAGATTAAATAGAGTGCAAGACTGTAACACCCTAAAGTGATGAATAAATTGGCGTCTACGATGTTGATTTGAAAGAATATCGTGGTGGTGGTAATGATGGGGATGACAAGAATTGAGTAAATGCATCTAGGAGCACAAATGGAAGCCTGCAGTCGGCCGATGAACAAGGCAAGAATAAGGCCAGTCATAACAATAAGTAAACAAAAACAACAACAACAAATATTCAAGGACATTATTGATGTTCTACCACTATTATTAAGTGAACTATTTTACCCTTTAATGTACCGACTGATTGACTGTCCAGCTGAGTCTAAGTCATAATATAAGGCCAAGTTATACATCAAGCTATCTAGGGGCGAGATATATTCAGTCAATAGATGAAAATATTCACGACGACAGAAATTAGGTCAATATTTGCTTAGCAACGTCAAATTTCATGTAATCTACTACAGTAACAGCAGATGAAAACATCCTCTTTTTTACGCAGGAAATCAAGTCCAAACAAGTTTTACAATCTTGATTGCTACATTCATTCCACAATGCTGTTGGTTATTAGTTTTTACTATTTTTAAATTTGCTTGTATTTTTCGAGGATAAATAGATGCATGGACGTATGAAGATGAAATGATATAATTAAGGAGCCGATTTAGGCTTCATTTAAAGTAGTAGTTCTTTCAAAAAATAGAGGAGAAAAAGTTGAATAAAAAATAGTTGTGGATAAATTGGATAATATCTTGAGATAGCTGTGTAACGAACGATTCAATGTAATTGCAATTTTAATAGAACGATTACCAAACAAATACGAAGGGATTTATCCTCACTTTATGCAGTATAAGAAAAAAATTACAAAGCTGTGTGACCAAAAAATACTAGTAACATAGCTGTTTGATAGAACGTACTTAACAAGCTTTCAACCACAAAATCGCTTATCAAGACATGTAAACCATTATTCTTCATTTCAAGTACCGAATAGTTAATGTGGATTTTATATTAATACAATCATATCAACGATGTTAACAAGTCTAATGATGACTATTAATTACAGACAAAAGTTATTCATCCATCAGTAAAACAAGCATGTCAATAAGTTGGCCTTGGCTAATAATTTGTTATCCTTTACTTTCATCTTAAGTTTATAGTCTATATCTGGCTTGTGAACTCAATTTATTTTCATCATTGGGATACACTAGTAAGACTAAGGCTCCTATTGACTTGATGTCGAGGTGTACAAATATCATCCAGTCGAAAACTGGCATTCCATTTCTATTCTACTTAGATCGTTGTTTTCCTATTAGCTTTCGATGGATCCCTATCGTTAATGTTGTTTAGCTCTTGAATCAATACGGTAGTCCTAAGGTCATAGAGACGCTAAATTGTAAAGGCAGCCTTGATCATGGCTACTTGAAATGAGACAATGCTCTTTAGTGTCATCGAGCAATCTTTTAATTAGAGACGAAAATTAGATTATCTGATGGTAGCTATTGGAAGATATGCTGATCTTTATCAAACTGATTTAATCTATTGGAGAAGCATCATATTTTATTATTAATGCCCTTGATTCACTGCTTTGTTATCCTGATTTTTTGTAGTGGCGAAATATTTAAAAATGATAATCATTATCTATTGTGATAGGATAAAATAATTACAAGTGATGAAGACGATAAGCATAGTTATGATCGATAACTGCTAGATTGATTTAAGTAAGGTAAATTTGGCTTTTATCATGGCTGTATAGCCATGAATGGAATAGAAAGATAGTTCTTTTTTTTTATTTTCAATCAATGAAAATAATCATCAATAAGGATAGAAAATAGTTTTTCTCTTCTTTCTTCTTGTCGACTATACAATGTCACTTTATATTGAATTGATCAACGTAAGATGAAAGCACAGTAAGGGAAAAAATTATCAAATTGCCCAACAAATAGCATTTTATTTTGACGGTAATATAGACAAATCAAGGTATGGGGTATTATTGGAATGATGAATTCAACCTGATTCGATCTTGTCTATCATCAACATGGGGTATCTAGCCTTCTCTCGATGCTATTGTGCTCAAATGGAAAAGTTAGATTATTTTACACCGCTCTTAATTTCACTTCTAATTAAGCTATAGTTAAAATGAGAGATAATTGCTGACGATGGGGGAAAAAGATGAAGAATAATGACACGGAGGACATGAACTGAGTTAGTGGTTGTTGTACATTAGACTTGAACAATAAATTGATTCTTATATTCATTCTTCAAACTGCATCCAATCTTGGAAAATCTTACTAATGGAGACAAAGATAGAATAGTCCTCGTTGTTATAGTAGGGGTCTATATTAACTGTCAACGCATTGAAGATAAATCATGACGGAATATGCAAGCGTTATGATTGTTACTCCAATGTTAAAACAGTGTTAAGAAATTTCTTAACAAATACATGTATAAAGTAAATAAATCATCCATTCCGTTAATTGATTGATGTACGTCAACTAGAAAGACTACATCAATTCTTCTAGTCATGCAAAGCATAAAATTGGATTGGATCATGACCATGATTAATCAATTGCAGAATTGAATGAGGAAAAAATAGCTTCAAATTTGAATCGGGTTCAAAAGGCATTCTCGAATCGATTGCAATCAAGGAATCTTGTCCAATATATAGACAAGGAATTGTAACCAAATATCCAATCGATGTTAAAGTAGAAAGAAGGAATAAAATCGACCCAAATAGAGAAAGATAGTATTATGCATCTCTTGACAATAGATGAGAATCGAATCTATCCTCGGTAACGGGTAAATTTTCTGAATCAATGAAAAATCATGAACAATCCCCTTTAAGGATTGAAGGATAACAATTAGTAATGATAGATCGGAATCATGTCACGGAAATAGGAATGGACTAGTAGAGGAACGTATTTGATCGTCATTTCTTTAATTAAGCTCAT